CATGTTGACAACTTCAAATGAATCATCTCCAACAACAAAGACTTTCAGTGAATCTTAACTAACAATAAAAGTCTTTTCTCAATCCCAGTTTTTTTTCTGTGGACCAACTGCTAAGTCTTTTCTAAACTATAGATTTTTCTGTGTACCAATTACTCAAAGACTTTAACTCAATTAAAGACTATTTTTACTCCTTTTTGACTCTTTTGAATTCATGTACATATGTTTGTAAATACAAATGATTTATTTAACAGGTATGCCTATGTTTTCTTTATTTTTATTTTATTATTGTTTGGAATTCAGATTTTTAATATAAAAAAACCTGGACCACTCTGATTATCTTCACTTTATACTGAAGTGGTGAAAGCTCTAGTTTCCCAGAGGTCTTCTATAGAAGGGAAAATTTCATAGAATTAGGTGAAGCAGGTGGAAAATTATTTTGCTGTAATATTTTGTGCAAAAATGAAATAAAATCGATAAATAAAATAATAATAATGAATAATAAGAAAAGAGAAATACATTTTCTCATGAGGCTGAAAGTAAAGGAACCTGAAATATAGTTATCCCACTTGTTTTTGTCAAACACCATCAGGCAGTGCTGGTTAAGTCTATAAAAAAAACAAAAATTTTCTTCACTCTCTTTCTCCCCCTTACTCACAATATGGTAATTATGTTCCTGCTATTAGTTTCCCTGGTCCACTGATGACTGAACTCTCTTTTCACTTTCCAATGATAATGTAAGTATAAACTTTTCTTTGGTTGTTCCAACTCTGTGCAAGGCTGATTTGAGCTCAACTATTAATAAAATGCTTATATTTACTAAATCCTAACTCCTGGATGAAAAAGAAAATGGACATACCCAAGAGACATTGGCAACTGTTTTCACTAAACTTTGTTTTATGTCACCATAAAAGACTATAAACGTTCCATAATAGAAACCCAAGTTTTTGTATTCTTATTTGTTTATGAACAAGGTAATTTGCCAAGTGCTGGTCTCCCTATACAACTACTCCTCATTGAAAGATTTAATTCATGGACAACTTTTGTTTTTTTCTTGAATCCTTGATGGTCATTTCCTCTATTTGGCAAAAAAGTAAATATATATATACAGTGGAAAGAAGCTGTTATATCTCGTGCAAGATATAATAAACAAAGTAACACGAGTGTTGGGTTTCAATAATAGGTTTATAATCGGATGTAGGTGTGTCAAATACAGAGACAGAGTCGGGAGTATGCTAACCTCAATAGGTGTTAACAAACGAAGACCTCTTGCCTGTCCGCTGTGGTCGTACTTAATCGGCAACCAGTCCGTTCATTATCGTAAATGGGGAAGTTGGGTTATATCATTACAACAGAAGCATAACACTTCTTCTATAAATTGTGATCCTTTGAATAATGTACATAGTTTATTTGGGCATTTACATGAGTCCTTGGTGAATTTTCAATGCAAAAAAATATACTCATAATTCCGTGCATGATACATCTTTCCAATTTTTAACACCCATTTGATTGGCAAATTTATTTTTTGGTTTCTTCACAAATACCATCTAATTAAAAAAAATAGAGATTGAAAAATCTAAAGCAGTCATTGATTCATTGATATTGGTTTTCACACAAAAAGGAAAACTTAGAAAGATAGGATAGTAATTAAAATTAAATGGGTCCCTGATTCATTTTGCACTTATGCTCAGTATTTAGAGAATAAAGTCACCTTCATTTTCAGAAGAGAGTTCATTTATTACTTTGAAAAAGTCTGTCTATATATCTGAGATGATTTATTATGTACAGTATTTACATTAGTCGGACTATTGTCCTCATCTTTGTCACCATATTTGTCACAACGTTTCGGCCATTGTACACTCCTGCCTTCTTCAGGTGGTTGGAATTTCGAACTGAACCCTTTATTTCGATCACTGGGGTAGACTGTTCTAGTTCCATGTGCCATGTTTGATGGATGTCAGTTATCCGTTCGAAACTCCGCCCACTTCATGGAAATAATCAAAGATGCTCCCATCCTATCCAACCAGATGGTGAGCTTGGACGTGGTGAGTCTGTTCACCAAGGTACCCACGGAGGAGGCACTCTCAGTAGTCAGAGATAGATTGACCTCTGACTCTTCCCTAGAGGAGCGGACCAGTATTCCAATAGATAATCTGATGGAGATGTTGACTTTCTGTACACAAGCAACACACTTCGGAATGGGATCACACATATATCGACAGGATGAGGGCTTAGCAATGGGCTCGCCATTATTACCAGCAATGGCGAATATATACATGGAATACTTTGAAGAAATGGCATTAGAGTCTATATCGCTAAAGCCAACTATATAGTTAAGGTACGTAGATGACACCTTCATACTCTGGCCACATCAGGAAGATGTCCAGGTTCTACTGGACCATGTGAACTCAATAAGACCTTCGATACAGTTCACAATGGAGAAAGAGAGTAACAACTCACTCCCATTCCTGGATGTACTAATATCTCGAACAGAGCATGGGTTCAAGACATCCGTATACTGTAAACCAAAATTCACTGGACAGTACCTCAATTTTGACTCCCACCATCCATACAGCGTAAAGAAAGGGATCGTCCGATGGTTACAACACCGAGTAAAAGTCATAAGTGGCGAAGGAATTGGTCAGTATAAGTAGTACCCTACAACGTAACAACTACCCTGGGTACATGGCAGCAGCCCCCAAAAACTGGGATAGGCGGGTACAAGAAGAGGAGGACAACAACACTCAGAAAACAGTCTGCCTGCCTTATGTGAAGGGGTTATCAGAGAAAATACAAAGGATCTGCGGTCCATATAACATCAGGACAACCTTCAAAAGCGTGACAACACTTCGCAGGTATCTCTCACGAGTGAGACCCCCCACAGAGAGGAACATGACTAAAGACTGTGTGTACGCTATCCCGTGCAGCTGCGGAAAGGAATATAAAGGAGAGACGGGCCGCCCCCTCAAGGTAAGGCTTCAAGAACACCAGAAAGCTGTAATATGAGGGGAAGTAGAAAAATCAGGCGTGGCTGACCACATATGGAGAGAGAAGGGAGATCACCGCCCCCTGTCCCCTGTGGGATCATGTTGAGATCATAGACAGGGAACACCATTGGAAAATTCGTAAACTTAAGGAATCAGCACATATGCTAGGCCACAAAAATCTCCTGAGCCGACCAAGCATAGAAATAAATACAATATGGGAACCAGTAATAAGGAGTGCCAGAGAAAAGCAATGATAACAAAGTTGCAATATGAACTCTGGTAAAGACATGCAATGATAACAGCAAAATTGCAATATGAGCACTGGTAAAAATGATGCTGAAAACATTATAATACTCAGAAGTTCATAACCAGATGTCCTCAAGGACACATGGCACAGTGGATAAAGGCGTTGGTTAGATCCAGTGACAGACCCAAAGAAGGTGAGTTCAATGGTTAAGGCAGTGGGGAACTTTGAGAGGGAAAATTAGCAGGAGATAACTGATAACTGGCATCCATCAAACATGACATGTGGAACTAGAACAGTGGAAAATAAAACAGTTCAAATTCCAACCACCTGAAGAGGCGGAGGCATCTGTTGGGACTTTTGGGTCATTTGATTTATCAGAAGGATTTTTGTTATTATCGGTTGCGTACAACGGTCCCAAAACAAATATACAAACAAACGTTTTCAAACAAGGAAAAACAGAGACATATATAGATCAAAACAATAAAAGCATTTATATGCAACAAACATTTACAAACTGGAACAATATGTCCGATTAATGTAAATTGTATGTGTTGCTGGAATGTTTGATGTCTCTGTGTCGTTATGTTTTGCTATTTTCTTGTTTGTACAAATATAATAAGATTTAAGAGTTTTTTGCAAAAGTTTGTCAAGTCTACCTTTGAATGGTTTGTGTCATTTCTTATTTTTGTAATGATTATAAATCAATATGTATAAGAAATTTAGTGGAAAGTTTCAGTCGAAAAATGTTCAGACACTTTGAAAAGCGTTGTTTTTCAAACGTCGTGGGAGTATTTAGGCAATTGCTCGGTGAATTTGCTAGACTGACTGAATGGGGCTGGTAATTTTCTTTATCGTTGGTCAAAAAGACGGGAGTTTGAAATTACATCTTGAAGGTTGGTAATTTGTGCTGTCCGCTTCCACTGAAACTGTCTGCCTTTTTTTATATAACACTTTTAATTCAAAAGTGGCTCAAGTCGTTTTGGCGCAATTCTTGTTTCAGAAGACGATTGACCAATGGAATTGCTTGGTTGGATTCTTGCCATTTCTATTGGTTGAGGTTTTTCTGTAACATACGATGTGGACTGTGCCTTTTAAGGTTAGAGAAGGTTAGAATTAGAAGGCCCAGTACAACGGCCGTTTGTTCAAATATGGCGACAAAGATGAGACAATAGTCCGACTAATGTAAATACTGTACTTTAAAAAATATAAGAAATTTAAGGTTGGTCATCGTCTGGCTTTCAGAGTGAAAAAGCAGACACTACGTTGAAAACTTGCTTATTTAAAAAAAAAATGTTTTGTTACATTTTGATTTGAAAAACAGCCCTTGTTTTTTTAATCAAAACCAAATTCCTCAAATTTCAAGTTTATTTGGAACATGTAGTGTCGGTTATTTAAGGCCCTAACAATGTTCTTACCGTCCAACATCTTTATTAAATTACCACGTTTTTTGAAAGAAAACAAAACAAATCAAAGAAAACCCCTGCCAAGACATGAGCAAATATTTTCGTTTATCGAAAAGTAAGGTTTTGCCAACATCTTTTTTAATGAACGAATTCTCGAATAATTTCAGTATAATCTATATAAAGGGATTTAGATTAAAAGATTTTTGTGTAATCAATAATTGATCATATAAATTGAAATTTCTGAATGTATGAAAAGAAACGAAACAGACAAAACATTTTGGCCAAATTTTTCGAAATGCACTATTTTACTGTGACCGTTTTAGATTATCTCCCTTAGTTTAATCTGCGATTGACATAAGGGAAAATATGGATAACTTTTCCATGTGGGTATTTTTTTTTCGGTTTTTATTCTATTTGTTGTTGTCTTTGGGTAATAATGAATTGATGTTCATCATTTATTATATTTCTACATTTTTATAAAAAATTCAGATTATTTTTTAAAGTGATATCTCTTTAAAATACATTTGGTGTCATCATTAAAATTAAATGCGAGATAAAAATATTAAAATTTACTTGTTTTTTCAGCAACAGAACCCAATCAAGAAATAAAGAATTTTTAAAATCAATACAATTGAATATGAACTATGATGCAATATTGAGCATATTTCAAAGTTCTTATTCAAAGAGAATTTTTTTTTTATTGAATCAACAAAACTTTAATTAGGAATCAATAGGATTATTGGAGTTCAAATTACGAACGAAAAAAATAAGAAAATGTTGAAGTTTGGCTATTTATTCAAATCAAAACTATGACAAAATGAAGTGCACGTCCTCTTTGAAAAATGAAACAAGAATTGTTATTGAGATGCACAAATAAATTTTTGGCAAGACATACTTTTTTTATTTTTACTTTTAAAAAGTCACGTTTCGTTGCATTGATGGCTTTGGTGTCAATTGAAATTAGGATTAAAATCATCTGTTGCAGTTGAAGTGCTCATCATCACTCCAAAAGAATTTTTGTTGAACAATGCAAATTGTGCAGCACAACACGTATTCTTCCTTAGAAAAATGAAAAAATAACAATAACATGAATGAAAAATAAAATGCTAGTCAAATGTTTCTTATCGTACTTTTTAGCGCTACGATGTTTAGTTATTTTTATTTACTAAGTTTTGCACAAAACAAGTATTGGACACTGAGAAAACTCACTAAATCAGTTATGCGTGATCAGCTTTTATGACCAATTATTATTACTACGAATTTCTTTATACAGTGTAACCCGGATATAAGAGAGTTGTCGGGACCGGAGAAGTCTCTTATATCCGGGTTGGGTTTAATTTATATACATTAACACAGGCTCTAATTTTGGACCAGAGAAAATCTCTCTTATATCCGGGTTTCACTGTATAGATTTTTTTTTTTTTTTACACATGATAATTTTAGCAGGCATCACCAAACAAAATTCATGTACATTTTCGTAAAGCTAAAAAAATCGCTACACCCAAAGTTTTTAAAAATGACAAAAAAATAAGGGAATTATCCGATTTTTCCCTTTTTTAGAAAAAATTGTGGAAATATTTTGGCGTGTCATTTCGATATCGTGTGTAGTTTTTTTTTTTAAATTGTTGGGGGTGTTTGGATTTTTTTACAGTTAAACGAAAAAGTCCTGAAGATGTTATTTCAGTAAAAAAAAAAAAAAAAAAAATATGCAATATCAACTGTGATACTGGAAGAAAAGACCTGAACTTTACCAAAAATAATTCCATAAACTTTTTAAATTAAAATAATATTTTTGTTGAAAGTGTTGGTGGTTGCATAATTTTAAAAAACAAAAAAATATTGTTTTCTTTTAGATTTTTTTTTACTTGTAATTTTCAGTGCGATTTTGAAATTCATCCAGCCAGTTCCTCTTCCCGACAAGAGATATATTTTTTATTTCTTAAAAATAAAAAGACATGTTTGAAGAATAAAAATGTAGTTTAATAATGATATTTTCAACTTTCGAGTGTGAACACAGTTTTTTTTTTTTTTTTTGGTTTGGTTTGTTGAACGGCATGGGTCTCTAAATTTAATGCCGAAATTTAATTTACTTGGTATTTTTTAAAAAAATCTATTGCTGGAAACATTTTGTTTTATTACTATATTGCTGAAATTTTTTCTATAAAGTATATTTTTATTATTTTATACCTTCATAGTGTTTTGTTTGACCTCAGTTTGGGGGTTCACAATTTGCTCATAGCTGGAACCCGGGCCAGTTTGGACATGAACAAAATGAGATTTTAACTAAAATTTCAATTAAGAATGATTAATTTATCGTCATATCCACACTAACAGTGTTACTAGTGTTAACTTTCAATTTAATAAGTTTTTTAATCAATCTCCCCCTGTTTTTTACTAGTGTTAACTTTCCCAGTTTAATTAAATTTTAAAATCTCCCCTGGAAGAATTAAAAATAGTACAATGTAAGGAATTTGCATCATGAGGACCAGCATTACCATGCAGCAAAATAACCAGCCAACTTCCTTAGTCAGAAAAAGATTTTTTCTCTTCCAATCCATCATGTAAATTTGCCAACTATTCATTGTAATTTGTTCAGGTTCCAACAAATAATAATACCAAATTTACATAAAATCCCTTTTAGATTCTGTTGAAAGCTGTCGTAGATCTAACCAGGATTTGTTTTCTTTTAGATTCTTTCAATAAATCTATTTTTAATTATCAGTGACCATGTAAAAAAAAGTGTCAGTTTTCTGTGTGAAGTAAAAAAGAGAGAAAAATGAATATTTAAAATAAATGTTGACCAATGTTCCTTTTTCTGAATGCTTGTGGAATTCATTTTTCTTGTTTCAGAACTCTTTGTAAACAGTTGCTATTGCATTTTTCTCTAGATTAAACATGAAGCGTAAACTGTGTTAAATGTGCTTATTAGAATATGACTTTCACCAAAATATAAAATTAAAATTATCACTATTCTGTGGACCAAGGTCAGGCTTTATAAGATCTTGGTTGTCTGTGTCCTTTTATATGGTTACAAGACCTGGAAAATTAAGCCAAGAGATGACAAGCTTATTGATCTATTTCATAACAAAAGCTTAAGAGGCACTTTGTGGTGTAATGGTTAGTAAGCTTGTTTCACAAGATGAATTATAACTGAGTAGTGAATTCATCACCATGTTTACAAGACCTAGAAATATGACAAGCTTATTGATCTGTATCATAACAACAGCTTAAATTCTCAAGACCATATAAAGGCAGCAGAATTATTATCTAGTGTGCCTTTATAAAACCCCTTAATGCTGAGGTATGGTGAAGATGGAAGTTCATTTGACTCACTTTAAGGCAAGGCTCAAACAATAACTACAATATGGCACTGACTTAGTTGTCTGAATTAAAAAGTAGAAGTGGAAAGACTGAAGGAGAGGGAAGCAATGGGCTGGTGATCCTGGGGTGAGATATGAGTGGTAGCTGTGCACAAGGATGAGTTGAGATGTTCTGTGGAGGCCTTATGTGCCTCAAGGCACCAGGCAGATAGGTAAATAGAAATAATTCTTTAAGGTTATATATCCACAAGCAATAAAGAACTGAGTAAAGTCAAACATTTCTCCAATATTTTTTCATCAATATCAATGAGATATTATTTCATAATTCATTACACTTTCAAAAATACAATTTGTATATGTTATTTATATTTATACATATATATAGGGAGTATTTATTTCTTTGAAAAAAATTAATTTAATGATGTATTATTTGACATTATATTGCAGCGAGGAAAAGATGAAACGAGCTGAGGCTTTCAGGCACCTTCAACCAATATGTGTAAATCTGGTGAAATCACCAAGTATTGAAGGTTTGGAATCCCTTAAAGTGATTTTAAGAGATATTGACAAAGGCATCCTCAAGGAAATTCATGAATATATCTTATTTCCACTCCGGTTGATCATAAAACAGAAAACCAACCTGTAAGATTCCTCATTTTTAATTTCCATTGAGCATAAATATTAAAATCAATCTGAATCATGTTTGTTTTTTTTTAAATGTCAGCAAGTAAACAGTTTCAGTTGAGAACATTCCAGAATTAACAGCTGTTAGACTAAAAAACTGGTAATTTTAGTTATAACTTGCCAATTCTGGCACAAGGCCACATTTGTAGCCTACGAAACCAACACACAAACTATACAACACTTTATTGCTATAATTGCTATAAAATCATTTAAACAATTATAGAATATTAATGTTCATATACTGTATAGGAAATAGACAAGATTTCAGCAAATTTATATTAGTAAAGAAAGGATCTTAAGATCTTTGTATTTAAAGAAGTTTGATTAGGCTATGATAGAACATGTAGAGATTTTTGGTTTCCAACCCAAAATAAATATAATATATAGCTATCCCAGCTATGGGGCAGAGATAATATTTAATATAACCCTTAATCTAATTTGAATATTTTAATTAATTTTGATAAGGTTTTATTTTAAAGTGAAAATAACAAGTAGCTATATTATACATTACAAATTGTAAAAAAAAAGACTTATGAGTCTTGAAGCAATACTCATACAATGAAAACAACCATTAATAAATAAAAACAATTATTATCTAAGAGCTTGAATCCTTAAATGTATATAAATAAAAAACACTCACTGGTTTTATGACTAGATTAAAAAATGCAATCTACTTGCTTTTTTCACATAACTTTCTAATGTTTAACTGCTAAGAGCTAATTTATTTTTTAAAAATTGTGTTGTGACACCATTTCTAAAATGTTATTATACTCACAAATTGTTTCAACTTATCCTGATAATGACTCAAGTCAAAAGCTTGGACTATATTACATTTACTTTTTCTTCCAAAATGACGGACAATTCTTGATGGAATTTCCTCCTTGTTTGACAATAATTTAAGATTCATAATTTGGAAAAGACAATCCTTTAAATTAATCAACACAAAATATCTGTCATATTCAATAGTATTTGCCTTAAAGAACATTTGCTGCCTACATATACAGAATTACAAATTTTATATTCCAAAAAATCTTTGATTTTATTTAGTTATATATTACAATATGTAGGTAGTTGATCATATGTTCCTCATTATTTATTTTATCAATATCCATTAAATCTTATGAAATAAAACTTTGTTGCTTGTTATTTTATAGACTCTAACTACAATGTTAATGTCTATGAAATGACTTATCTATATTGTTTCATTTTAACCTTCCATAGGAATGAAAAGATAATAACACAAGTATGCCAATGTACCACAACTATCCTGTCTTGCACAACTATCACTAAATGGGAAACATTTCAAGATATATTTGTCACTTACACAATAATGCTGAGTTCACCTGAAAATCCAAACAATTGTAAGTAAACCATTTCATCTTTTATTATTTAACATTTGATATCATTAGTTTGTGTGTGGCAGGGGATGTAATGAATAGCATCTCAGAATGAGAAATCTGTGAGCTGAGTTTGAATTCCTGTTGAGTCCAGCACACACATATAGGTATAAATGTGGATGTAAACCAAATAATTAGATATTAGCAACTCTGTGGTAAAACTTTAAGTTGCACTACGAACTTAGGTATATGTATATTTATTAATACATGTGTGTCTGTTTGTGTGTAAGGGTGCTGGCAAAGTTCTCTGCCCAACAAACAAAATATTTTTTGTGAGAAGCATATTTTGGTTGTTCTGAGAACTTTTCAGTTATTGAATAATTTTTCAGGTTAATTTTTATTGCATTTTTCTATAAGTTTCTTTTTCATTATAGTATCTCCCATACATGAAGAATTAAAACTGGCCATAGTGGAAGTTCTAAACACATTGGTAAAGAATACTGATTATAGGTGAGTTTATAAGTTTATTAATTGTAATAAGTAAACAATACAGAAATATCTGACTAACTTCTACCAGAATAACTATTTTTATTTTTTTTATTCAAATTTGGATACAGTATAATAAACAATGTCTAATGCATACATATTATTCAATATTATTTCAGTAAGATATTACATTAAGTATTTTTCATGCTTTAAATATTGCTTTTATTCTATTAGATTGAAAAGAAAGAAATATATTAAAACTACTGTGTACAATGTTTGAGTTAAACATTTGATTTGCTGCTTATTCGGAATCTGTATTTTTCCTCTTGTTTCTAGTCTGGCTCTCAACCAATTATACACAGCAAAGAATATTCCCATTTTGGGTCACACAGTATCTCTCCTGCTATATTTGATCCAGGATGAAAAGCTCAGAAATTTACGTATTTTAGCCATGGATTGCCTTGTTGCTTTGAGCCTCTCAGAAAATAGTAAGTTTTTTTTGTTTTTTTTTTTAATTTATTTTTTTTAAATAGGCTTCATAAAATCATAAAATGGAAATGTCTCTAGCATAACCTTCTTGGCTAGCTTGAAAAAATAATCTTATGAGTTAAAAGGTTTTAGAACTATAATTCATCATTCTTTTATTCTATAAATGTTAGCAATATCAATATCATTTATTAAAAATTCAGTTCAGTGATTTTAAGAAGAAAACAATTTTTTTCCTACTACTTGTTGCTAAATAAATCTACTTTTAAGTAGATTATTATAATGTGTCAAATTGATGCTTTCTTTTTTAGCCAGCATTCAAGTCAAGATAACATCTGGCAGTATTTTTGCATCCTTTCTACCTCGCATTTCCACAGTTTTATGTTCAGTGATCACAGGGGATTCAACTCAAGGACATTTTGTTACAAAGGTAAATTCATGAAAAATAGTTCATACTTCTGGCATTTTGTATAAAAATCAGTCTCCTTTGTTTTTTTCACAGTCAAAATTTTAATTTCAAAAATTAGTAACAGCAATAGTAGTTGTAGTAATCAAAAGAAAAAATTAGCAACAGTAGTAGTAGTAATAAAGAAATTTTTTAAAATTTATATATAATTTTGGTAAAAAAAGTGTTGACCATATTTTATGTGATTCTCATTTTGTTTTGATTTGATAATGAATTCTTGAGTACAGAAAAACAATGCAATAGTTACTGAAAACTAATAGAAAAAAGGTTTGTCTGATTTTTGAAAACTTTCGTAAAAATTTAGTCTAGTTGAGTAATAAAAATATTTGTAAGGTAGACTTAACTTGATCAATATTCCATTTTTATAGCAACTTTAAAATCTGTATATGAAAATATGTAACTTTTCTCAAATTATATGCCCAGTATTTCATTTTAACAATAATCATTTCAATTGCTTTCCATGTTATTTTCTCTTTTCTTTAAAGACTGATAATTTTGTTGTATAATAGTGAAGGTATTTGTTTTTAATTTTTTATTAGCCTGTTTTGACAACCTTTTAGTCATTTTTCAAACTGATTTCAGAAAGCAATTGAGACATGGCAGATATTTTTATTTCTCATTATGGATGATAAATTATTGAAGAAGAGCCAAAAAGCAGTGGTCAAATTAAAGGCTGGTATGTATATAATAAAAATTGTATACATGCTTTTTTCATTATTATTAATGTTTGACTAGTTTTGCTTTCATTTTTATTACAAGCTAGTCTCTGATCATTATATAAGATTAAAAGTAATAATTTTCTGAAAATGTACAACACAAAATTACTGATAAAGTATCTGAACCAAAAATATTTATAATTGTTAATAAGATAAAATCTAAATTAATTCATATCAAGCATTTTATATCTGAAATGATTTCATACCCACAAAAATATTCTTGTTAGTTGTCTATTTACTTGTTAGAAATACAGAGCTAAAGCATTTTTTTTCTTTGTGTAGAGGATGCAATCATATAACCTGCATTTAGATGCACTATATGTCCATATTATATAAGTTATTGGTATTCAGTTTGTATGTGTTCAAGAATTTTAAAGCTTGTGGGATTAATCATACCTGGTCTACCAAGATACCTGCTAGGCAGCACTATTTCAAGATTATAAAAGAATAGACATAACCCTTCCTCCATCTCTCTTTTCCACTCTGAAATATTGTAGTATCAACATGTCTAATGCCTACTGGAGAAAAATTACTTTCCCCCAGGTGAGCACCTACTAGATTTAACTCACATGCACATATGCATCACGCACACACACACACACACACACACACACACATAAGTCTGAAGGGAGACAGTTTATGAAAAGACTTTATTATAAAAGAAAACTACACCTATAATAAAAATTAAAAATTGCCCTTGTTTAAGTTTTAGAAATCATGAAAAGCCTAGACAGAAAGCTTATGGGATGTTAGTTTATGAAAACAATTTATTATACAAGGAAATTAAATCTAAAATAAAAAAAATTAAAATCCCTGGTTTGAGTCTTGAAATGATAGTAAGATTTTCTATGTTACATTCTTTGCATGTAGTTTCCATATAGCAGATATGATTTGATGTGTTTTACATTGACCTTGTTATCAAAATAATCTGATTTTGATTTTTTCTTAATTAGAATATATTTTAATTTGTATATGTTCAAGTCATATCAGGAATCATTTTCACATTATTTGTGAATTGGAAAGTAAATATATTTTATTGGTAAATTATTCAAGCAAATAAAAATAAGTTTCTAGTTGGAAGAATTTGAAACATATCAATTATTAGTTTGTTCAGAAAATGATGCTGGTTTTTAATCATTATTTTTAAAATGGCAAATCTTCAGATTAATTTTTATTAATCAAAATGAAGAATCATTAGATTCTACACATTTTTGGCAACAAGATATGAGTGTAGTTATTCCATTAAGTTAGATATTAGAGAGACAATAAGATATTCAAAGGTTTTTTGTACAGCAATTGAATTGTTGAAAACTTTTCCGTTTAAGAAATTGTCAAAATGTTTGAAAACAATGGTAATCAGTTGGTGAGGGGTCAGGTGAATAAAGTCATTGAGGCAGAGTTTTGTAACCCAATTCATTCAATTTCTATAATTTTCATTTTGTATCATGTGGCAGACCATTGTGCAGGAGGATTGGCCCTTTTCTGTTGACTAGTGCTGGACACATACACTGCAATTTCTGATGTATTTGATCAATTTTCTAATTAAGATTTTTAATACATACCATAATGACTTTTCATTTTTTTAAAAATTATCATTGCTACATGTGGCATTGTTTTATTATATATACTACAATAATAAAATTAATCATTGAATTGATAAATATAACAGACTTCCTATAAAATGTTGATAAAGACAAAAAAAGTAACTATTGTTTTTATTATTATTTTAAGTTATTTGCTTCCATTTGAGATCTATCCACATTCTTTCAAATAATCTTTAATGTTTAAGATTCCTGATTGGATTTTACTTTAATAAATTTGAATATTAACTTAAATTAGTTACATTATATTTTTTTAAAGTTTTCTTAAAGTAATTCTACCTTTTCAAAACTCATTATCAGGGAACTTACATTAATTCATTAAAACCATGTTTAATTAAGACTTATCTTGTATTTTGTCCTCCCATCTCATATAATATGTGTATATAATTCCAGATGCTGGCAATGGAAAGCTTCAAGATTTAATTGTGACAAGAGACTCTGAATGGATCCAGAATACTTCAGATAAACTTGGTATTTTGGTACAACAAGTTGGAACCATCAAACAACATTCCAGCTGGAGGGTTCGGCTTTCATTGTTAGATTGGGCTCATAACTTACTTACTAATTGCAGCAAGTGAGTTAAGTTAATTGAATATTTTTAAAATATTTTTCAGTTTAAAATATGTAAATGAATTGATTTAAAATGTATTTTCATTGATAATGTCTCTAAGTACATTCAAAATTAGCTACCTAATTTGAGAAATAAATGTTTAGGATAAACTCTTTATACTAAGTTCAATCATTTTGTAATATTTATTACATAATTATACTTAGTTATTTATTGTATATATAGTTTTACTAATTAGCTATTATGATAATCAGTTAGATAAAGTATGAAATGCTGATCAATGTTTGTGTTTATTTAGTTCAATGTCAAGCAGTATACCAGTCCTGCTGGAAGTTTTAGTGATCCTGTCCTGTGATACCTACTCCAACATTTCATCTAAAAGTAAGAAGGCCCTGAAACAGTTCCAGGAGCAAAGTGAAAAACAAAAATCACGTCCCCTAATGGAAATTCTAGAAGAGAATTTGCTATCAATGGCTACAACTCTTCCTCGACAGATCAGAACGTCAGGTATTTTTCTTGATAAGATTTCATATTTATCAGTGTTGATCATAATAGCCACAATACAAGGTTTATATTTCAATGCTTTTTAAAACTATTAAAACATTAATGAATCCAAATAACCAATTTTATTTTTTAAATTATTCTATTCTGTTACTGTTATGTCTCTCTCTCTCTCCCCCACGCACATACACTACAATTATACATAAAGAAAAATTTAAACACATTCAATTAAATAGAATGGACCTTTTGGAAGAGTTTCACTTGATGTAAAATAAGTCATTTAATGTTAACTTGTTGAAAACTGTGTTATTTTCCCAGTAATTAATTTCTGTATGTAGACATTTTATTGAAATGATATTTCACCATTTATACAGAATTTTCAAATTTATTTATTTTTTTTTTACTATTTGATTCGTTCTTTTTTTAATTTAATTATAATTATTTCAGATGATGACCAGAAACTGAGCTTGATTAAAATAATTTCTGGCTATCTAAAAATATTAGGTAAGTTTCATTAATTTAATTTCCACACATTACTTTTAGAATTCTTTTGTTTCAACATTATTTTTATTGAAGGTTACTCAGAAAGTAAGATTTCATAGCAGAAATCAATTGAGACATGGCAGAAAAATTTGCTTCTTCTTATGGATGATACATTATTGAGGAAGATCAAAATAGCAATGGCTAAGTTGGTATGCATTAAAAGGAAAATTGTATAAATGCTTTTTGTTCTTTATAACATTGTTGTTATGGTTTAAGATTATTTATTTAAAGTTTAACACTTTCACTGCTGCATTGTTACCTGCCTGTACTGGCCAATTTTAGTGGAAAATAAGAAATTGCAATTTACTGGAAATGACTATAAAGACACTGACAACAATTTCTCATGGTCACTGCCATTTTTGTTTCACTCAGACTCTTCAGATTAAGTTAAATGGTATCCCCAACAAAGAACGTAATAAAAGTACATCACAAAAATCGGTTGTATTGTATGCTGATGTATGTCTAAAACTGGTTTGAAAATAGTGTTAGTTTATAACATAAACTCTTGGTACCAACATTTCATGGCCTCTTAAATATATATATATATATATATATATATATATATATATATATATATGTATATGAACATAAGTTTTGTAAAAATGTCTGAAAATATTAATTCAGATGATCTGCAAATTTGAAGGGCTAAAAATTAGTTTGTCATCTTTTTCTTGATTCTTTTCTTACTTACAAAGATACAAGCAAAAATATTTATATAACCTGGATGTGAGAGATTATATTAGTAAATGAACAAAGGGAATGCAAGAAAAATAGGACATAAAATGCTTACCTAATCCCAGATGTCCCTTTATTAGCTTAAAACTTGATTCAGAGTCAAGTTTAAGCTTATAAGTGGACATCAGGTAAAAAAAAAAGATTTATAGCATTGTACATAATTGTTTAATTTTATTATCAAAGAAGTGAAAAAAGTCTTATTTACACTGACTACATTATAGCTGTACATATCTTTTAAGATATTTTATTAAATTTGATGTTACCTGAAGATTATTAGAATTTAGCAATGAAAATGTGGTATTAAAAAGAAGAGTAAAGAAATATAAATTCATAAGTGTTATTATGTTCAATAACCTGGGTATCTATTTTTGTATTTTATTAATTGTACAGGTCCCAATATGAACAGTTTACTCTATTCTTATTCTCATCTGAAGAGGTTCTCCTTGGCACTCATCCAGACACTGGAAATGGATTGTTCTAGTGTCAAAATTGTGGAAGAACAAACACAGATTTTGGGCCATGGTATGTAGCTGAGTAATTCTTAACATATATAACTCTCTTGCTCTCTCTCTCTCTCTCTCTCTCTCTATATATATATATATATATATATATATATTAATCATTCCTAATATCCTAATATAACTCTCTCTCTCTATATATATATATATATATATATATATATATAGATATAGATATATATTATATATTTATAGAGAGAGAGAGAGAGAGAGAGATAGAGTGTGTAAATTTGAGGACACATTGAAGACCATATGAAAAACCACTACATCTTAGAAACAAATTTATTGGCTGGCTTACATGGTTATTTGATGTAATTGTTATTGGCTGTAATAATGGCTTCAGTGTGGAATTGGAATCATTGACATGCATGCATTATATGATCTGTATTGATATTGGACATTACTCACATAATGTCAGTTTACAGGGAATCAAATGAATGTATTGTGTGAACATTGATTAGTCACTTGTTTAAGAATACCCCACATAGTCAAGGGGATTTAGGTATGGCAAGTTAGGCAGCCACATGTTTGGTGTGATGTGGCCATGCAGATATATATATACAGCTTTAACATACCCCAGAATGGTACCATCCAGAAGTAAACATTAGGGTTAGGGATTTACTTCGTCCACTGCTGCTATAACAAGAATTTGTGGACAGGGAACAGGCAAACTATTACATGACATCATACATGTGCTAACTTACTCACAGAGAAACAAGCAGAATTATAATGTATGTATTTGTGTGTGTAAAGTCAACTGGTACTCCTATTATCTGCTTAATGTTTTTTTTATCCAACTTTGATTGGTATAACTTATGAGTTATTTATTCTTAGTTTCAACTTTAAAAGGGAAGAATGTGCAACATCTAATTGCTTTGAACCAATTTTGGTTCTCATGGTTGTATTAGTAATATATATATATAAATATATATATAGCAAAAGATGCATTCCAAAAGTTAAACAAAGTTTAAAGAAACAGGAAAATTTCATTAGAAACAAAGAAAAGAGTGCTGAACTGATATGTAATATCAATTCTCTTATATAGGCAATGGATACTAGATGAAGAAGAGACTTGAGTCAATAGAGATGTAGTATTACAAAAGGATGCTGAGAATACCATGGACAGAGCATCTGAGCAACAAGGAAGTTTTAAGGAAAATGGAAGCAATAAGGACACTTGTACTTAGAATTCTGGGACACATAGTGAGGAGTGAGAGCTTGGAGAATTTGACAACCACAAGATATTAAAGGAAATAGGGACAGAAGGAAACTGTGTAACCTACCTAACATATTTGTATATGGCGAAACTGGAAAGGATAGTAAGGTAGTAAATATTGCTTAGGGTTACAAAGGATAGGAAGTTGTGAAGAACCATGATCCCCCATGTTCCGAAGGGATATGGCACATAAAAGAAGATTCACCTTATGAATTTTCAAAATAAGATTGGCTCTACAGCCAACACTATCATGTGTACATATAGATATAGCAATGATATATAGAGACATCAGAAAATGCCAGAATTGTCTTATGGGATTTTTTTTTTGAATAACTGATTGTCAGTCCTGAAAAAGGAATGTTTTAATCAAGCCCATTATGATCTAGTAGACGTTATGTTGACAACAAATTTATTATACCCTTTCATCTGAAACAGCTGCATAGATATTATTCTTTTAAAATTCATGATTGATCAGAATCTCTTGAATTTTTTCTTTTTTACATTTTTTTTAATCATTTCACCCCAAGCAAGGCAATAAAGACACTAAGCCATAATGGGTTACTGAGTGTGAAAGAATATGAGAAAAAACAGAACATTATTAAGAAGAGCAAACAATAAAAAAAAAACAGGAATTAAGAAGACAGCATTTTTTGCATTTAAAATTTTGGAGCTCAAAGTTAACTGGGAAGGAAGAAGCTTGAAGAGAGTTCCACAAATGAGAAGTGTGATAAAAGAAACTGTTAGCATAGAACTTATGGTTACAGTTAGCCATTTCAACTGTAAATTGATGTGACCTTGCTGCCAATCTAGTACCGTGCTTAAATTCATAAAGTCTAGGTACCATAGAGGAAAGTTCATCAGAACAATTATCATGAAAGTATTTATAGGAAAGGCAGAGGGAAGTATCTCTGATAGTAAATTTAGTCCCACTATATTTAAACTGAGATTATTGTACCAAAATTTTGTTGCCTATATTGTGTATATGTGTTATGACCTTTTGAAAAATAATAATTATTGGAACTTGTACACATATTATATTTTATTAACAGAATTTACCCATAAATATTTCACTTCAGAATTACATCTTAAATAATGTTTATGCAATAATCTCAAAGTATATTTACTCTGGTCTCAAAGTGAAATAATAAATCAATACTTGATCTAAGATTAAAAGAATATCTTAACATTTTCTCTAGTTTTGTATTTTTGTGCTCTCCGTTTTTTTTTTTTTTTTTTTTTTTCAAAAGATTTCTGTATAAAAGTAGTGAATATTTTTTCTGTAACTTCTTCAGGAGCCAGTGCCATAAACTCCCAGGGCAAAGTTAATGTTCACCAACCTCGCAAAACTTTTCGGCATTTCCATAATGATAGTATCTATCAGGAATTAGTGTCTTTATTACAGCTTCTTGGACATTATGGTAAGTAATTACTTTATTTTTAAAGTTTCTTTTTTTTTGTAGCCAAGTTTATTTCATTAATATATTTTGAAGAATTAGACAAAGTAACTAAAAATCATTTTTAGGAAAATTATTTCATGTTTATAGAATTTTTAATGAAAGACTTTTTTTTTTCTGCATTCATACATTGTTCTTAATTTCACTTAAGTAACTTTTTCAGATTATGTATTTTCATGCACATATATTTTATCTAAAATTAACAAAAATCTTACAATTTTGAGTAACTTTTAGTTATGCAGATAGCAAAAGATACTGTCTTCTTAAATTTTATCCCAATTCACCCTTTTCAATGTATTAAGATGACAGTTTTGAAGAATATCACTGACATATGACTTCCAAAGTTTACTGAACAAATTCTCAGAGAATGAAATACTTTGATTTGAATTTCAAAGAAATAAATATCATTGACTTTATTATGTAAGATTGCATAAAAATAAAATTACTATGAAAATGAGTAAATGGGAAACAATCAACATAAAACAGATATTGAAAATTACTTTCATTAGTTTGGTTATGTTAGTAACTTTGATGTGTAGCATCACAAAAACTCTACTCTAACTATGAGCTCCTTCTGGAGAACAAAACAATTGAGTTGAACAAGTACTGTTCTCAGATTGAAGGCAGCAATTGATGAAAAATATCCAGAATTAAGAGAGAATATAAAATTCCATCAGTTTCTTTTGGTGTTCAGACAAAAATTGTTATGACATGGTTGGGAAGTTTACACTCATCTGATGTATTCAACATTTATATTTTATATAAATATATATATTTATATATTTATATTTTATATAAATATATATATTATATTTTTATATTTTCTTTTATTTTTTAAATTGGTAGACTAATTTAGATTTTGTACAAGGTAATAAAATCACTTGCCACTTTATCCAGATGTGATTTAAAATTTTGAAAAATGTTTATAATATTTAACCAAAATATATTAAGTATTGCACTTTAAATTAATAACTGCAGATTAAATGAATTCTTTACCAAGAATTAAACAAAGATAAAGTAAATGAAGAATTAAAATATTTTTAATAATTTTTCTATACATTTTGTTTTCAGGGGACTTGAATCTTCTAGTGGATCACTTTTTAGGTTTATTCCATGAAACTTCATTAAACAGACTGCAAGCCACTCTTATCATCAACCAAATAATGCTTGGTACAATACAGAATTATGGTAAGTTGAAATAACATTTCATTTCATCAGTATTCATCTCTGTACTTCTGACACACAAGTTGATATCTAATCAGTATTTATTATGTTGCTGTGGAGAAGGGGCTTGATGTAAGACTCAAAACACATAATGATCCTGGACTAAAAACATCATTGATGATCTATGCTAGATCATCGAACAGATGCCTTTTATGAAATAAGACCTTTATTTGTCTGAGTTTAATTTAGTTATTTTTATTGATTTAAAATTTCTCCCAATCTACACTTCAAACAATTACAAAACTACACTAATATATCAAGAGAAGGAGGGGAGGATTTTTTTTTAAGTTCTTTATTCTTGGTCTTTTAAAAATGACTATAATCAAATAATTTTTTCATTCTGTTTTTCCACTTCATGTAGCATATAAAGATAATATGTGAACTCATTGACATGTATAATAGACTTTTGTCTTATTTTTAATAATTTAAGTGGTTTGTACTTATAGCCTTGCTAAACTGATATACTCACTGGGTTTTTAAAATTATCTCTTTGATATGCTACCTTAAATATACAGTAATGGGAATTGAACTCTGGACACTGCCAAGTCTTTGATTCTCTGTCCATAAACATTGCTTTCTCTCCTCTAGCAAAAGTCAGTAGAATTAAACTTAATAAACACAATGTTAGAGAAAGAAAAATGAAGCAGATGAAGTGTTTTGGGGTTTAATTGCAGCCACTCAACAGGTAAATCAAATCATTAACAAAAATACAATATATCACTTTTGACACTTGATACTATAAAATTGTAACCTGCCAAAGAAAGTTTTTACTCTATAACGGTATAATTATTGTTATTCTGTTTTAATATTTCAATGTCTTATTTCATTCCACCAGATGAATTAGAGCAACAAACTGTGAACAGCTGTGATAGACAACAAGAATTACAATGTATCATAAGGTAAAGAACAAATAATTCATTATTTGAAGTCAGAATGTTGCAACTTGAAAGGATTTGGAATATTTTAGTCTGTTTGAGAAGACTGTAAAATGTGATGGTCTGATAATTTTTCCCAAAATATTAAAAGCTTTTATTGATTGCCTGTCTCAAAATTTGTCTACCTTCAGTAATCTTCAGTTTTGGTCTGACAACAATATATATATTTTGAATGATCATGATTTTTTTCATTTAATCCAGTGATCAATCAAGTAATTTGTATGAAAATTTGCTTGTTTTGCTTTGATCAAAACTCAAGGATTAGTATATATATATATATATATATATATATATATATCCCAGTCTTTTGATCAGGAGTAGCGATTTATCCTTTGTTTCCAGTTTAGGATTTGGTTTCCAGTTCCTTTGGTTCTTTTTTACTCCCAGTAGCCCCTTGTGTCTTAGTGACATTATCGCCTTCCGTGAGGTGAAATGCTTAAAATATATATATTATGTGAATTGATAGTTTTACGACCCCCCACCCCCCTCCTTTCTCCAACGTTATTGACAGTGGAGGTAGAGGAGGATTGTAATCTGTGTTATTTTGTTTTTTTAACATTTTACATTTTTTTGTAAAATATATTTCTTTTCCAAGGGTCTCTTTCCGATTGATCAGACACGGCCGGGTGGAATCGATTAAGGAACAAACACGATAGGCGACAAACAACAATGGAGACAGGAAATATAAATTTATTAACAAACATGGAATCGTGGAAAAGATAAAACAAAAAAAAAATGGCCAAAACAAAAATGACGATATGTCAAGAATAAACATTGTGGACAAAATAGTGGGAGGAGAGCATCCTCGAAGAAAGGTAAAATAAAAATCAACGTATGGCCTTGTGCCATACTGCCACGAATTTATAGAACATATGCTATACCTGCACAGATTCAAAAAACATCAACATTTTAAGACAATGTGGAAAGGAACATGTAATAAAAGATTTCATGCTAAATTTTCATGAAAGTACAAACATGAAAAAGAGGTACATTTAAGCAAAAACTGAGCACAAGAAAAATAACAAACTTAACTCAGAATAAAGTCCTTTTCCACTAATAATGTCTCTTATTATATCTACTTCTTTTCTTTTTCCTTTTCTGTTTCTTTTTATAAGGGTCTCTTTTTGAGGTCTTTTCTTACTTCCTCTCTGTCTCTTTTCGTTGTCTAGGGGCTTGGCTGACGATTAAGCAGAAAATGCATTCCCTCTCTCTTTCGTCTTAATATAACAGCATTCTCGCTCTAGATGGTCTGTTCTATCTTTCTTTTCCCTCTCATGCTTTGTTTAAGGGCTTGGTGACAGTTGAAACTGCTTTCTCTCTTCGATATAGCGGTGTTCTGCATACATTGTCAAACAGGTCCATCCATTCGACTGAGAGACCAATTCTCCTCACAATTTCACAAACACATCTTTTCGACCCATATGCCGAGACATTTGCGAGACATTCTACCGGCCCACAGGCCTGGTCAAGACTAACTTTTCCGTTTCACTATTCATTTCCATTTTCTTCTTGTCACATGGTCAATTTTCAAAAAACTAACTTTTTTCCATTATGGGTGGAATTAGGTCATCAACCCTCTCTCTCATCTTCAGGGTCAGAGAAAGTTTAGTTTAAAGTGTTTCAACTTCTCCCAACCGGAACCTATCTGTGTAAATCATGCTGTCAACACCTTGACCAAAAGAGAAGGAAAGGGTACACTCTGGTCAATCCTTGTCGCTACTAAGTCTACCTATCTCTTTGGGTTTACTATCTTTACATTTTCTGCAAGTACTGGACTCTTTATTTTAGAATGCTTCTAAAATATAAGCAATGGTATAATTTTTATATTAAATTTAGATCGGGGTTCATAACAATAGTGACAGAAGATTTCTGATTTGTGCTTTTTTTAATGACTTGTATGGAATAATGTTTGTAGTTAAGAACTGAAACTGAAATCGTTTTGCCATTTATAAAAAATGTGAAAAAATCCTTGAGTTACTTCATCCATTAAATCCTGACAAAGTTTTCCTGAGAATGAAAATTAATTTCCTTAAACTGAATATGTAAAGAAGCTTTGTCTATATTCATGATGTGGACTCATCCATTATCCTTACCTTTCCAACCTAACAAAAGCAGAGTCCAAAACGTACGCCTACGTACCTAAAAAAAAAAAGCTTCAACCAATAGAAATGGCGAAAATCGAGCAAAGCAACTCCATTGGTCAATCGTTTACAGAAACAGAAATTGCGCCAAAACGAGTTGAGCCACTTTTCGAAACTCAAATAATATAAAAGGAAAAGCAGACAGCCCCATACAGTAGAAGCGGAGAAGCAGAGTAGCTGTAATTACCAACCTTCAAGATGTAACATTTCACCGACTCCCGTCTTAGTCATCGCTGACCAGACGTTAAAGAAAATTACCAACCCCATTCAGTCAGTCTCGCTAACTCACGAGTAATTGCTAAAATACTCCCACGACGGCGTTTGAACCATAATTTTGCTGGGCGCTTTCAAAGAACATTCACTGACTCACCCTGAACATTCGACGAACGATTCTTGAACCTTTTACTTAGTTCCTTATATATAATGAATTATATTCATTACTAAGATAAGGAATACAAATACGATTAAGGGTAGACTACTTGAACAAACTCTTTTTCAGAACCTTTAAATTTCACTATCACAATCTTGACACAAACAAGAAATTAATTTAACATTCTGAAACAAGAGACATTCATTATTTCAAACATACACATACAACTTACGCACACAATTCACACAGATTTTATTCCAGATTGTAAATGACCAATTGTATATAAATGTTGTATTGTTTTTAATCTATATATGTCTCGTTTTTCTTGCTTTGAACATAACGATTGTTTGTTTATTTGTTTGGGACGCAGTGAAACACGCAACCATTAACAACAAATCCTTCTGATAGATTTAACGACACTAATGTCCCAACAATGACATTCTGGGTTACCTTTTTTTTTCTTTTGAGTATTTTGTAAAATTTAGATAAAAGATAAAAATACATACCATTATATATAACAGATTAATTTGCTAATATTGACATGAAACAGTTTATTACTTTGATATTTAATTATTTTTTTCTTTTCAGTTCATTAATTGATGAATATTTATCTCCTAATAACTTTAACCTGATTACATCACATGTTGCTAAGGAAACCATTCCTGCAGAAGGACAGTTTTCTCTTGTCCTTTACAACAGAACACAGCCAACATTCTATGATTACAATGCCAATATTCTTCAAATATGTCTTTTCCTTGAAGGATTTGCAGTCTTTGCTAAAGTAAGCATCAATTAGCAAATTTTAAAAATATTTGTCATTTGATTTTAATCATAGTTTACAAATATGTTTTGATAATCTTTAACAGGATTCTTGAGCATCCTATTATAGGAATACTTATAGTGAAGAAAAGATAATTTTTATAACTGTGTCAACATTCTTTTCATATGAAAATTAAATGAATCAAGTGAAATATTTCACTGTTCAAAAATTTATATAATGAATGTAATATTTTGTGTTTTCCATTTATTTTATACCTGTATTAGAAATATTTATTGTATATTTGAATCTGTATTTAAATGATATTAGAAACATCTGTTTAAAAATATTTTCTCAAGAAATATTTTAATAACCTCAAAGTAAAGAAACCATGTTTAATTTCATTACAAAAAATAAAAACATTTTGAACTTATACAAATATAGTGTTGGTATTTTTTAATGTAAATGAATAATTTAAAAAAAAGGCAAATTATTCCTATTTTATTTTAAATTCTTATTTTTTATGTTGATATTTATTTTACACTAATTGGTTATTTTATATTTTTGTTGTATTAAAAGCTTATGAATATCCATTATTAAAAAAATGATAATGAGTTGGGCTTTTTATTTTTTCTAAAATCTCCATTAGACATGTTGACTTTTACTTTGTCATTGTTTTTTTAGATTCTCCAGAAAGATTTTAATCCATTTTTGATCACAGTTTTGTATCCAATGTTAGAGAAGCTGGGAGATTGTTCTGCTTACCTGAGCAATACTGCTTATCTGGCCCTCAACAGCATCAGTGATTCATGTGGTTACAAGTAAGTATTTCTTGTATTCACCTTTAATCAGAGTAAATGTTTGTTATTGTATGAAAGTATTACATCTTTGCCATCTTCAACTCCTTCTACTTTTAGAATAATAATTTCTGTCTGAATTTCTGGGATGAGGACTTATCATTATTTACATGGGGACTAGTGTCCTCATCTTTGTTGTTATTATCATAATGTTTAGGCTGGAGGGCCTTCATTGGATGCTTGCCAATCCAGGTAACCTTCAAGGAATTTCAAACTGAACCCTTTAGTTCTTCTATGGTGGTAAATTGTTCTCATTCCACTGACCATGTCTAGTGATATCTCGTCTAGTTCTTAGTATGGCTCAGTTAATGCTTGCTCCATTTGAAGTACACATGGTCCCCAAGGGATTGAATTCATAATTACGATGTCACTAAATTCACGAATGAATGCTTTAATCTACTAGGACAAATCTGGGTAAAGAACTAGCCTGCCTGCTGATGAGTTCTGCTATATATCACACTTGACTGCACACTGCTCTGAAACAAACAGCAAGAAGAATGTTCTGATAATAATAACAAAGATTAGGACAATAGTCTGCATGTAAATAATATACATAGATAAATTGAAAATAATCATAAGTTTTAAAATATTATAAATCTTAATTAAACAGAAAAATACATAACTGAATTAGCATATTGAACTTTTTCATTCATAGTGACAGATAAATTTTGTAATCTAAAAATGACCTGGGCATAGCTGTTCTCATATGTGGTCTAAATGATGTTCAGATAAGAATATGTCATATGTCATCTAAATGACATTCAGATAAGAATATCACCTGGGCATAACACTTGTCATATGTGGTCTAAATGACAAGTACAAAGGACATTTGACCATCAATAGAAAAGATTTGCTTTTTTCCCCCCCTTGTTGGTTTTATCAGAATTTCAACAAGATTATGCCTGTATATTCTATTTTTAAGAAAAAATTCTTTTACATATGAAACATTTAGTCACTATAATTAAAAAATATATTTAATAATGATGAAAATTACTCTAAAAACATACTTGTAAGTAAAATTGATAACTTTTTCCAATGTAACTTATGTTCAAGGATATTCCACAAACCAATTAAAAAGAAAGTTGCTCTCTCTCATATATATATATATATATATATATATATATATATATATATATGCAGAGAAAATATTTTTAAGAAATGATGACTGTTGAACTATATTTTGAATAAAGTTATTTTAAGTTTGTAAAATTGATTATATTCCTAATTGCTTATACTTTAAAGGTTATAATTTCTAATTGATTCTATTAAGGAGTACATTAAAATATTAAAAAAATGCTTTTAAAATATTAATGGTTCATCCATATTTTCTAGGTTTTATGTGGCAATATCATAGCTATGGGTTAAATAGTAGAACTTTTGTCTAAAAAATCATTGTTATTCTTGAAAAAATTGTTAATGCAATATTCACTTGCCAAAAAAAATATTTTTACAAATCAAAATGGCTATAAATAACCCAAAAATGGTTCATAAGAAGTAAAACAACCAATCAATCAATTCATATGGAAATAAATGGACAATAAATAAATTGGCAGTTGAGGAAAATCAACTAATGATTGGCACTTTGTTACACATATAGATGTTGATGTGTCAAAAGCATGGTGCCTAATTTAACTGTTTAAATGTGATATAAACAAGATATATCAGTTCCCATTTCTCATGACTGACAAGATAATCCTCACGTTGAAATGAACAGTTTTTGATTGTGTCTCTTATTTAAACTGGATTTACTAATAAGAATTTTTTGTCTAGGGACATAGAGGACCTGATTCAGCAAAATATTGATTATTTGATCAATTCCATAACCCTACGCCTAAGACATTTGCCACAAAATCCTCATGCTCCAATTGTACTAAAAGTGATTCTACAATTTGGTCATCAGCAGCTTCTTCCTCTCATCCAAGATACCATCACAAATGTAAGTAAATTGGTATCTAATTTATAGATAGAATTTTCTGTGTGTATATCTGCCTGCAACACTAAAAGCAATAAAATTACTAATTTTTATGTTTATTAAAATTAATAAATTTAAAAACTTTAAATGAAAGTTGAGATTTACCTTGAATTAAATAAAATGTTAACAGTGTTAAATAGAGATGACTCTGTTTGCTAGTTATAGAAAAGAAAAAAATTATTATTCTCTTAGCAAGGCCATTGCTAAAAGAAAGGATCTTTGCAACAGAACAAAACAAAAATTATTGTATGTAGGACTTGTTATGAGCCAATGATATTTTATGGTGGTTGTGGGGCCTAACATGATTTTTAATGTTGCTTATTTCTTAACACTGTTTCAGTGGCTTCAATGCTGTTGACAGACAAACAGCAAACAAAGTACTGGATAAAAAATGAACCTAAAGAATATCAGAATAAATAAACCAAATCATTAAAGAAAAAATACAAAAACCTAAACAAAAAATTGAATATTAACACAAAGGCTAATTTATTTCAATTTAGGAGAAAGGAGTCATTTATTTTTTTGTACATAATCAAGTCGCAACAAATTGTTTTGTCACTATGTTAAATCTTTAAAAAAAGATACAAATTATTGAGACATGTAAGTTGTTTTGTCATTTCAAACTGTTCTTTATATTAGATTTGTTTATTTAATGTTGATAGGTCAACTGTGTAAAATGTTTGTTAACTATTCTTTTGAAACTGATCTTTGATTTCAGATTTTAGAGTGTCTTGATGACTACCAGACAATTCATGTTGCTACATTTATGCAAGTTCTCCATGAACTCTGCTGTGCTGTCAGACAATGGTTCCCAAGTGATAAGGTAACACTTTCTGCACTTTTTATCTTTCTATACTTTCTAATCTGACATAACAAAACAGAATCTAGTTTTTCTACATTTTTATATATATATATATATATATATATATATATATATATATCTTACTTATTATAAAACGCAGATTGTGTGTGTGTCTGTAACGTTTATATGTTGGATCAATTTCCTACATTTTTAGCCGATTTCAACAAAACTTCACAGGACTACATAAAATTATCTTGTGATGGTTCTAACGGGGATGAAAATGGGAAAAAATACAGTTGTTTTTAATAAAAATCAATTTGAAAACACGATTAAGACACATCGTGAGAATGAAAGGGGACAACTCACCCATGAAAATGTAAACAAAAGAGCATAGCATGATGAAAAAACGCCGAACTTGAAAAAAAAAAAATTTTATTGTCTAATGTTCATATTATTATTAAAGAGGAAAGATCAAAGTATTTTGGGGGTATTTTTTTTACATTTTTTAATCGTTCCTAGCACGTCTGAAATTTTTTGTTAAAAATATTGTTTTTTTTTTTTTGGTCAAAAAAAAAAAAGGACAGATAATCATTTTCAATCATTTTTTTTTTTTGATAAAAAAAAATTAAAATCTTACTTTGATATTCTTTTAAAAATCAATTATCATTTTTTCAAAACTGATTTTAATAAAAACAGAAATTATACTGTTTATTTAAAATATTTTGAACCAAGCTTAACTTAGCTTCTGTGCGAAAAAAATGTAATTTGAAAATAAAACAAAAGCAGGTCATAACCTTTCGCGTCGCTTGACGATTGACGAAAGGCACATTCATGACGTTTAGATAACTTACGGGAGGAGAATTCTTTCTACGGATGGAAGGAAGTGAAATTATTAAAGTGAACAAATTATTTACCTTGTTACTTTTAAGGAAAACTTTCAGCGCTCTAATTTTTTATTTTTTATTTTTTTTAAATTTTTTTTTTGTACTTAGCTTTCATTTTTACGTTTACAATGCTTTATGGAAAATATAAAGAAATTAAAAAATAAGACTGTTAATAGTGAGATTAAATTTCATAAGAAAAAGGTATCTAATTAATTTAGGTAGCTTTCTTATGAAATTTTATCAGAAAGTGTACATAAAATATTATAATTTTATGTACATTTATTACATTTTACTGTGTTACTTGTATTTCCATTCATTTTATTATTAATTTTGATATTTCATTTATGGAAAAATGTCATAACTGAGATTAATATAAAAATAAGATCATATAAATTAAAGTTTAGCAGTAGTTAAATTTCATAAGATGATACTGTTACTTGTAGGTACCCTTCTCAGTTGAAATTGAAAACTCAAATTAACTTCTCCATACGTGTTTCACAAAAGTAAAGGGCTTAACAGCGGAGAACAATGCTGAACTCAAATAATGCAACTAAATTGTATTCTGGTTGGTCTTCCGTACTTGATAATTACTGTCCGACTATAAACACAAAAATTGCATTTCTTAATTACCATGGCTAATCTGATTGGTCCAAATTATACAATTTTCAAAGCTGCAAGACAATCTCACACGGACATTTTGAAAGGTTGATGTTGCATTTAACATTTTAAAATTCAATTTAAAATTCATTTTTTAAAATTTTTTTAAAAATTAAAGAAATAAGAAATAATTGTATTAAAAATTCAATTTTCATTGAAAAAAATTTTTTGCTTTCAGAAAATATTGTCCATATTCATAAAAACAAATTAAAACAAATAAAAGCATTTGAAACTAAATAATATATTTGTTTTATTGAGTTTTGTATGTTACAATTCACAGCTGATTTTCAGGTACGTTGGCCAAAAAAAAAAAAAAAAAAAAACATGATTTGCATTCTTCAAAGCCTTGTACTTTTAACTATTGTAATCACTAAAACCGATGGTCTCGAATTTCTAGAGTTTTTCATAAAATTAGTTATGGGGGTGTTAATAAATATAAAAAAAAATATTTTTGCCATGACTTTAATAAAAAAAAAAAAACATTTATAATAATTTTGATCATCTGTGAATAGTTTCTGAAAGTTTCATTAACATCTGACAATTATTTTTATTTTTGCAAGATTTTCCAAATTAATGTGTGTAAATACAAAAAACGCGCTAAAAAATTATCTATGTTATTTACTACCTTTGTTGTGACAAAAGAGAAACAAAGTTTTTAAATCAAAATTTAGAATATTCTAAAAAGATGGAAAAATTTTAAAAAATAATTAAAAAATTTAGTCTATCCTCTTCATAAAAAACATAAGCATTTTGACGATAAAATTTTGTTTTCATAAACTTTGGCGTCTTTTTCATCAGACTATGCTCTATGTTTTAGCGATTCCGTGGAGTGACTTAGGTTAAAAAACCCAGGTTGTTTATGTGTGTGTGTGTGTGTGTTTTTTCTTACATTTTTCAGCCGATAAAACAAACATCCACTTTTTTTTTTGGCAGGTAGTATTTCTTATTGTCTTGCACACTTTTTTCTTTATTTACATTCAGAATGCTTTAAAAATTCCATTTACAAGACAATTGTTTATAATAAAATTCTATTCACCAATCGATAGACTCATAACGATTGTAAACAATGTTTTTGTTTGAATTTGGGTTTGACCAATTAGTAAAAAAAAAAAAACTAATTAAGACATGTGTGTCCGTCAACCTTAAACAATAATCTTTGTCAATTTTGTTTTTCAGTCTTTATGATGGTCGATACTTGATCTATCTCTTACTGTTACATCCCCGGCAAACGCCGGGCTCTACTGCTAGTATATATATAATATATATATATATATATATATATATATATATATATATATATTAATAGTATTCTAATGATGATTAATTTCATAATATTTTAACCTTATTTTGATTTGTGATTATAATTATATATATTTAATTCTGATATTACCAGAAGACAGGAATATTAAACAGGTATGTTTAGGTGTTAATCAAGCACAGGTAGAAGATAGAATTTCCTACACTTTTATTATGCAATATAATTAACCAATGTAACATGTAGACAATTTTCATTTTGGAATTAAATAAGTTTCTTGATAATGATTTTGATGATAATTTAAATTTGAAATTTAATTTATATTGATGAAATCAAAATTTGATTGTACTGGTTATCCAACTGTTAAACGTGCAATTGCATTTAGTATTATAAATAATGTTTTGGCAACTTGCCCCAAATGCCTGTATTATTTAGAGGGAAAACGACTGTCTCAAAAGAATTTTTCCCTTAAATATAATTACCTAAAACTTTTATTTAATAGTTTTTATGTTTTTCATATTTTCTACTTTTTTTCAGTGGGTGTACTATTTACTTCTTAACACACCCCTTTGGAATTAAATACTTTTTATAAATAAACTGCTTTGGTTTAGATTAAAATCTCCTTTTCTGAGAAACATTTGGCAACATACTTGACTTTGTAGCAGTTTTTGTTTCACTCCTTTTTCTTCAAACTTTGTTGTGAAGTCCGACATCAAAAGCATTTTATCTGTTCTTCCAATGTTTTAGGTCTTCCATATATATATATATATTTTTATATATGATTATAGTGCCTTTTATATTCAAATTGTTTTCCCTTTTAAGCATATAAATGAACTTCCTGATTCTTTTCCTGCCATCTTCCCACATTTGGCTAGATGCTTTGCTTCCTTATATATATAAATATATATTTATTATATATACTTAAAACTTTTAGGATCATTTTTTTTATATGTTCATGTTTTTGACTTGGTAATAACTTGCTTTTTATTTAAATTTTTCTTTTCTAGCAAACATTAATTCCGCTTTCTGACATGCTTGATTGTAAATTGGGGCTAAGTGTTATACGATAAACTCTCAGAAAATTTTGAAGTGCTTCCACTTTTACTTTCTCAAGACTTACTTTCTTCAACACTCTTTTAAATGTTCCCACAAACCGTTCTGCTTGTCCATTTGACCTTGAGTGATACGCAGGGTTATAATATGTTCATTGGAGAACATCTTACTAAAGTTTTCAAATTCTTTACCCATGAGTTGTGTTCCGTTATCAGTTTCTATGGTATCTGGTATGTTTATCTTGTTTAAATCATGCAAGAAATTTGCTGTCACTGAAGATGTTGGATTTTGCACTTATAAATTTATATATTTAGTATATCATATATATATAAGATAATGTAATCCATTCATAGAACATGCAAAATTATTTTTTTTTTTTTTTTCAACAGCATGTCTGTCTTTGGCCAAGATTCTATCATTGTGATTGGTAGTTTTGCTGCCAGAGAGTCAATTTAGTTTTCACTATTTTTCAATATTTTGGATCATTTGAGTCCAATATACAAACTTCTCAAATGATGTTTCATTTTTGAAATACCAAAATGTCCACTATGAAAATCCTTCAATATTTGAACTTATGTAACACACTTTAGTATTACAACTTTTGTCTTAACATTACTACACCATTTTAAATTTAAAAGTAATTTTTTAAGTTTTGATTTCATTATTTGTTACTTTCTTCCAATTGCTTTTTTTTCAAAACACACATAAAAAAAAAAAATGTCAATTTTTCTGCTTTTTCTTTTTATTTCTTCCAGAGTAAAACTGGTAACTTGGTCTGATACTACATTGTTACAAAAACTTTTTTCTTTCCATTTTTTTTTTTAATATTGATTTTGATATATGACCATGTCCTCAAACAGTTCCATATTTTTAGGTAAGTAAACTTATCCAATCCATCCGCATATCCTAATGCTTTATATGGTTGGTACTCCATTGTGAAGTCATAGTTTAATAAGATGGTACCCCAGCATTGTAGTCTATTAGTTGTGTGTTTAGATAGTCCTTTCTTTGCGACATATATTGTTAATAGAGGACTGTGGTCTGTTTGTTACCTAAAATTTCTTCTATGGATAAATTAATGAAATTTCTTCACAGCAAATATAATTGCTAGAGCCTCTTTTTCTATCTGGCTCTAATTGTTTTCTGATGATAGAAGCGAGTGTGAAGCATGAATGAAGGTTTTCATTTTACCACCATCATATTTGGGTAAAATCACCACTCCAATCCCACACAGCTGTTTAAAGCCCTTGTTTTTGTCATATAGGAAAATCCAACATGGCGCGTAAACGAAATATTTGGCAAAAAATCTCATTCGTTAGTAACATTTTAAACACCTCATAGAATGTAAAGTTCTTAAAGAAAACCTATGCCAAAGTGTTTTCCTGAATCCTTGATGACTTGGCTGTCCGAAAATGGTAATATCAAGATGAAATAATGGAAACTGACCGTGAAAAATACAATTATGCTCAACAGGTTTTCGATCAATTAGTAAACTTCTGGACCTTTTAGGGCGACCTTATAGGATCCAGACGGCTATTTTTTGCACATGGAATTATTCACTGGTAATTAATCTTCGATTTGGCTGTGGAAAATGTCACTCGGCGGTTAGCATTAAGAAATTATGCCCAATTTTCTGAGAAAAATCCCCTTTTTTTTATGAAAAATATTTATTTTTCGCTTCAAAATAACATCATTCAAAATTCATTCCTTTCTCTTTCATTTGGCATGAACATCATTGAATAAAAAGAAAGGCTAAATGGACCGGCGATGGGAAATATGAAAAGATATATGAAGAAAAAAAACAATGTTGGCTGCTAAGTGTTGTTGTCATCACCGGGTAACGGGTGTTAAAAAACAAAACAAAACTCATCAAGCCATTGTTCAAACATAGGTTATATGAAGCCCTAGTAATTGTGAATCCTTTTTGTTTTTTCTTTTTTTTTTTCACTCTTTGCTTTTATCTGGGAGTGGTGGGTTTTATTACAACTTGTTCTAAGGTTTGCCGTCCGTTTATTGCTGGCTGGCTGGCTGGCTGGCCTTTGACCTAGACGTCAAAGTCAATTAGGTTTATTTTCCCTTATCGCTATTTTTAGGGAAAAAAAAACTTTTGGTTTCTGGTGGTTAGGAATTGCAGATAAATCTCTTGCCTGAATTGACTTTATTTAAGTTCAGTGGGTCTGTAGGAAACCTCAAACAGCTGTGCCCATGCACACTAGCATCTGACACCACTACAATTTCTGCTTTTGGATTGTAGTGTGCTAATGATAAATCTGATGTAAATCTTGTTTTTATTTTGACAGTTATCATTCCAGTTCTACTTTACTCCTTTTTTTAAGTAGATTGTTCAGTGGAGCTCTCAAATTATGCATATTATGTACTTATATTTGGCAGTAATTAGCCAATCTCTAGAAAAGCTTGCAACATAGTTTACGTTTTTTGGTGGAGGCATATTTTTAATTGCACTCGCCCTCAATGGATTTGGTTGATGACTATTTTATCAATAATTTGACCAAAGTATTTAATTTTCAGCAAAAACAATTTGCATTTTTCTTTACTGATTCTTCTTGAATCTGTACTCTCTTAGTTTTTCCAAAATTGTTTTTGCATGCCCAACATGTTTTGATTAAAATGTTGTCCAGATACGCCACTGTGAAATTGTAATCTGCAAGCGTGGCATCTATAGCTTGTTGAAAAATAACTGGTGCCACCTTTATACCAAAAAGAAGTCTGTTAAACTTGTATAATCCTCTGTGCATATTTATGGTCATTAATTCTGAACATTCATTTTCAATCTGAATTTGTAAATATGCTTCAGAGAGATCCAGCTTTGAAGATATTCTTCCGCCATTTAACTTTGAAAAAATTTCCTTTGGACTTGGCAATGGGTAGCTATCTGTTTGTAAACAACTGTTTAATCCTGTCGAGAAATCTACACAAACACAAATTTTATTATTCTTTTTCTTTTTATGCACCACTGGTGCAGGCTATTTTGAATAGTTAATTTTTTCTATTATACCAATACTTTTGGGTCTCTCCAACTTTTTATTGACTTATTCCACTTCTGCGAATGGTACACTCTGTTTCAACTTAAATACTGGTGTCAAACCTTTTTTTACTTGAAAATTCACCTTGAATTTGACAGAACATCTGGAAAACATTTTTTTAATTCTTCCTTAAGATTTTCACTCTGACTTTTTAAATTGGTCACTTGTCCACTTACATTTTTAAAATAAACGTTTATCATCAAATTCCAAAGTTCAAATACTTCCATCCAGTCAGTACTGAATAAATTTGTAGCATTTTTTAATACATAAGCTTTAGTTTTTACATGCTTATTATGGAATAAGACATTACAAGTTATTTCTCAAAAGAAAAATGAATTTTCACTAGAAACTGAAATACAACTTTGGAAGTCCTTTTTAATAAAGGCTTTCCAATTTCCTTCCATGTCGTTTCATTGATTATTGAAATATCATTACCAGTGTCCAGTACCATTTTCACATTCACAAATTTCCTTTTGTGACCATTTTTTCCATCACATTGCTATATATGAATTTCTTCCTGCGAGAATTTTTTCTTGCTTTGGTTTTGCAGTGTAACTTTATATGTCTTCGTTTAACATTCTGCATTTTTAAATGGACTGTCTTTTCCAAGATGTAATTTACCACATCTGAAACAAGGATTTATTCTCCTTTTTGTACATTTGTCCTTTGCTTGTACCAATGCACATTCCTTTTACTGAATTTCTTCAGCATTCTGTTTCAGATTTAGCATTGTCTGGCAATTGTGCACTATTTTCTTGCAGTGTAATATTACTGTTTTGTTCAATTTTCGTTAAAATTTTCACTGGTATTTCAGCATCTTCTTTAGCTGTTAAACCTTGAACAAAATTAACCCTTTTATTTGTAGTCATTTCCTTCATTCTAAACTTTTCACATTCTTTGTTAATGATACCAGCATACATAACAAAATTTTCCTCTTTTTTGGTTAGATTCATGCACCTCTCACGAACATTAAACAGACAGCTCTTGTCACTAAAGATTTTTGTCAGAATGTGTTCTGTGTCTTCAAACCTCATATCACCTGTTTTTTTTTGTTTTGGTATTATGTAGTTGCAGTATTTTTCATACTCTATTGGAGCTATTTTCCTCAATAACATTCTTGTTTTCCTCTCATCTTCCTAGCCACTGCGTTCTTGACTGAATACTTGTTCATATCTATGAAAATATGCAGAAAATGTCAGTCCCTCATCAAGATTGTATACAAATTATGATATGGTGTTTTGGACATCGTCTGGCATAAGAGACGTTGAAGAATCTTTTGTTTTGTTCAGGTATATAGTTGGAGAGATAGACAAATGATATTATGTTTAAAGCTACAAATTTCCACTACCAAATTCTCCTATGGGACATATGGCCTAGTAGATGAAAGTTTTCATTAAGCAAATCAAGATACTTGGCAGTCATAAGATTAATCCCTGTGTTGGTTAGTTGTAGTTGAAGAGTTCTAGAAGAGACAAAAATAAAAAAAACAAAACACTGGTCAAAAGCCACAAAAACAAAAACTGACTGACCTGTCATTCAGGGCACTCGATTTATATGTAAGTCAAAAAGTCAATAATTGGTCGAGTTGAAACAGGAATTTGTATGGCGTTCTTTATATAAAACCAGAAGTTATGCAAGCTTTCCATTTTTGCTGGCAGATAACACATATGACACGTCATTTGTTTTGACAAGGTAAATTGCCATTTTCTTCACCAGTGTAGTGAGAAAAATTTATATTGTCTAGTTCATGCAATATCACAAGAATGAATTAACAAGATTCTCTAGCATGAACAATGAAATAAGAATAATCTTGCCTTGCAGATAAAATACAGAGTTTAGTTCTAAATTCATAAAAGGAAAGGTTAACAACTACAACAGACACTTAAAGAAGGCTGAAGAGTAGAACAGCCAAAAACAGTGTAATAATAACAATCAAGATAAGGACATTAATCTGAATAAATCAAATGGTATATACATGAGTGTGTGCTGAAAAGATCTTCAACCAGCTTCCCAAAATCAAAATTCTGTTTGTTGGTCATTGAAACGGCACTTTTTTAGAAGTTAATTGGACTAATAATTTTCAGCACCTAGTTTGTGTGTCTGTGTGTGTCTGCCTGTTTGTGTGCTTGTGTGTCTATGTGTGTGTGTGTTGCTGAACTTAGCTTTATATTATCATGATTACTACTTGCATAATATTGTTAAAACAGTAATGCCAACTGTATTATTTTTGTGACTATAATTAATACTAGTTTCTATGGTCGGTATTAATAGGTTAATGTGATACAAATTATTATAAGAAAACAAAAGAGTTTTAATCAGGCCCAATAACATTTCATTTTATGCCAAGCGTGATGTACTTTTTCATTCATTTTAACCATCTGGTTTTTGGTATAACTATGCATACCAAAGAACAAATAGTTAAAACTAGCTGAAGTAAAAAATGTAAAGATAATCTTTTTACATATATATGTATTATGATTTCCTTGCATTAAAAAGAATATATTCTTGAACAGTTTTTAAGAGAGAGCAAAAAATGCTAGATTTTAAATGTGATGCATTATATATATTTAGGGATAAAATAGAATTGAGTTCCAATTTCAATTTCAGGAAACTGTACAAGAAAATGATCCTGCTATGTCATGTATAGATGAAGAACAGAATTCTGAAGACACCAAATGGTTGGTTGACTTTTTAGTTCAGTATCATAAAGACAAGAAGACTGCTGCTGGAGAGGTTGATGATGATGATGACCTATCCAAAAATGAAGGAGAAATGGACTGGACACCAGCTTCCCCTACAGAAAATGAAATGGAAAATATTGAAGATGAAGAGAAGACATTACCACCTAACCATGTTACAATCATTGTTGATGTAGGTTTTTTTTTGAAAAGCCTTTTATATTTTCTTTATGAATGTATTTTAACTGTGTTTAATTTTAACAGCAATCAATCCAGTTTTCTTTTCTCTGTCTGTGAATGTTTTCATTCATTCCCTGAAAAGTGTGAAATATTCTCTACTACACTTCTCTACACATAGCTAAGTTTCTTGAAGAAACAATTTTGAGAGAAATTACTGTTTAGGGTAAAAAATATTGCCAGTTTTGAATCATAAATTTATGAACTTTAAAAAAACGTTATCCATGTTATTCATTTTAGGAAATCAATGTACCAAATACCAATGTATATTACAACTATTAATATTGGATTTCCTAGCATCAATTTTTGCAATGGTTTTTTAACGTCAAATATTATTTAAGAGCCTCAGATGTTTTTTTATTTACCTTATTAAATATTACTGTAATTTACATAATCTGTTTGAATTTCCAATTTTGTTGTATTTTGTGCAACCAAAATTCATTGGTGCAATCCTAAAAGGGCATAAGTGCATTTTTTGTGAAAACAAAAAAGAAATTTGAAAAGGTTCTAATTCAACATATGCCTTTGTTTTTTTTAAGTTGAGGCCTAACTTCACAAAAAGTCTTTGTATCAGAATATGGTCTTTCATTCTTACAGAGATCAGTTTATGCATTCAAAAAATGGAAAGAAACCAGCAAAAATTGCATGTAAACTTACACCCATTTAGAATCACATTGATGAATTGCAGCCATTAAAATGATAGGATTTTTATTTGAATTTTGATGCCTTTCTTTCTTCTTCATCTGTATATGGTTGACCTTTTCTTGTCTCAATGAAGAGATGAAACCTTTAATATATCACTTTCTTTGGTTGTCCTTTTAAAACTATTTTTGTAATGTTTGACATAATTATTCATTCCATGAATCTCATCCATTGCTATTTTTCTCATTATTGTAGGTGATGTCTCGAGTAAAACACTTACTTTCCTCAGAAGACGTGCATCTAAAACTTATTGTGTTAGACACAATCACTGCAGCAGTATATTCACTACAATCTCATCAAGGTAATCCAGTTATTTTCACAAATGACAGCATTTAACTAAGCAATTGTATTGTGGGGGGGTAAGACAAGTTAAGATATTTGTTTTTTTAAGCTAGTCAAAATGTAATCTTGATAGACCAAATTGCTTTCGAGAAGATCCATATGAAAAGAAAAGCCTATACAGTCCAACCTATTTTATCTGGCACCCTTGAGACCAGGCCACTGCTGGACCACAGATAATAAGACATGATAGAAATCACCCCTAAAAAAAACCTATGTAAACATAGTCTTGCCAGCTCATTCCACATGTATATTGCTGTTTTATCAAAGGTAGAACAAAACATGAATACGTTGAAACAAAGCAACCATTCATACTTACAAACAAGATTATTATTGTTTCATGCAATACAAAAGCTAAAAAAGCCTGAAGCTAAAAATTAATATATACTTACTATCCTCAATAGGTAAATATGCAGCTATATATAAGAAATAAGCAAGATCATATCACCAAAACACTCTGCTGCTGTTAGCTGCTGCAGAAAGTTGTAAGCAATGTATAATGCTGCCTTCATAACTGCTCAGTGAACTAATGGTGGCTGATAAGAAAAGAAAAAAAGTGCTGTACCATGGGAATTGCCAAATCATGCATTGCCGATTTAAAGAGTTTGGACTGTACTTTCTGATTGAGCATTGCTGCTAAATAGTTTTTTTAAAATCTTTTAATATTAAAAAAAAAAAATCAAATATATTTTGCTTTTACTGAGCTACAAAAGTGACTGTCTGTTTTCATTGAAATAAAATCCAAGCTTGTTCCTCAGAAATGCGCACCTGTCAGTTCAAAGTTTATTTCTGCTTTTCTATTCTATTGAGATAGATTAGCTTATAGTAATATTGCATATAAAATATGCAAGTTTGGAACCACCAAGCTGCAGTTAAATCAATAGTCAAAAATGATGTCTAGATTTAGTTTGACCATTTATCATTCATGTAAAGTTTTAACTATATGGGAGACAAAGATTTTAATGTTTGCCATTGGGCATTGCATAAGTTTCCTAAAAGCATTAATGCAACAAAGACAACAATATTTCTGCTGATCAGGAATTAAATATTTTTTGCTACATTGTCACAGGAAACTTGAAATAGACATTAACAACAAATGGAAAAAAGAAACAAAAAACAAAAGTGGTTATCACCTTTGGCAAATCAATTCTGGCACCAAGACTTTATCCACAAAATATTTTACAATGCATTTGGTGGAATATAAAAGTAGAGGGACCAATTTTCTGTTTCAAATTTTCCTTAATTCCGTTTTAGGGAATTCCATTTTTTTTTTGTTTTCCATATAGATTTCTATTTTTGTTTCATTATAATACTTAGTGAGAAAGTGTAACAATATATAGATGTTATTAAAGCATGAAAATAAAAGGAAAATGAAAAATTGTACTAGCTGGAATATCCACTTGTTGGATAAGTTGCTCCAGCTTAATAGTGTTTTGTACCTCATACTTCAGCCCTAACTCTAACTTAATGAGTTTCTGGGGTAACCCTTGCTACAATCTTAAATAAGAAATATGTGAAAGTGGCAAAACCTACAGAAAAGTAGCACCACAAAGACATTTAGAGGCAAAAAGCTACATTATCATTTGGTCACTTTATTGAAATTATTAAATAACAATTCTGAATATAGTATAATTTGTAAAAATTGGCTTTTTGAATTGATGAACTGCCCCCACCTCCATAACCATGTGTGATAGAAAAAAAATATAAAAAAAAATGATGAAATTTTTAGCAGTCACATTCTGTAGGTAAAGAGTTGGGTGAAGTTAGGAATCTGTTTGCCAGTACAATGGATTGACTGAGGTCATGGAGATGATGAAGAGAGAGATGGTCATGGTGGTGACAACAAAAGAGATGGTCATGGTAGTGACAATGACAGCCCACCGTTGTTGACAGCTGGCCTGTTGGCCTGGTACTGTGTCATTTGTTTATGAGGGGTTTTCTTTTAAGCAAATCTGATGGCTCCCAAGCTCAATTTTTTTTTCAGCAATGTATATGATTGGCTATAATTGGCTTTTTTTAGCAATGATTGGCTATTTCAGATTTTTGTTGTGATTCATTTTGTGGTAGTGGTGTGATATTTGGAGCCCCTGCACCAAAGACAACTTTTTTTATTTATTTTGGATTTTGCTTTCTTAGTATGTAGAGTGAATCAGAAAGAGATCTCATTTACAGTGGCATATAACACTAGAACCCACATATTCAGAAACAAGAAAAAAAAAATTCCTTACATTTTCTTGGCAGGGAAATGGAAAATAGTCTTTTTATTGAACTATTGTAATTGCTAATGACTGCAATTGCCAGTGAATAATAAAAGTTAATTACATTTGCATGAGTTTTTATCTCCTTAAAATGTGGTCTTACTTTGTGAACAACCTAATATAATAATTTAAAAGTGCAGAAAGTTTTAATGAATTTCTGCTTCTATTGCAAAATTAGGTGAAGACTTTTGTGCTGTTTCATGCAGTTAGCTTTGCCATCAATTTATTGGCAAAGCAGAAGGAAAATAAGTAGATAAATTATTTAAATTTTGATCCTTAAAGTCATTACAAAAAACTTGGAAAACTTTTAATTTTCCCTTAAAACTTACTTTTGTCTTTAAGAAGTCATTCATTATTTTTTTTTCTTTTTGTCTGTAATCTTAATACTTACATAAGTAAATAACAATCATTATTAAATGAAAACTGATTTTTCTATGTTTATATACATATTGAATATATTAACAAAGAAAATAGCAAACATTTTTGTAATCCAAGTCACAAGTTGAAAGAGGTTGAGACATTAGATGTTCATTAACACATTATATCAAAGTGAGAAATGGTGGTTGGATAATGGAAGTCTTCCCAACAATCATCAAAGAAATGGAAATTAAGTTCTTTCAACATAATTCAATCTCATTTGATATGGTCTTTTAGTTGAGACTGAAAAATAGCAAAAACATTTGAAATGTCATTTAAGATATTAATCTTCTAATCCATATAAAAATCAATGAATGTGCTTGATTTGATCTTAAGGTTTTTTTTTCATGCAAGGCAATATATATTCATATTATCTTATGTACCATATGCATTGTTTTTGATAAATTTTTCTTAACAAATTGTAAATTTCTGTTGTTGCTTTTATTTCAAGATCATCTTCTCCCAATGGTTCATCAGTTATGGACTCCATTATCACAAAGATTCTCAGATACAGAAATTATTGTGAGGATAAAAGTGAGCTGACCATTTTTTTAATTTGGTTTATTTTTTATCTATTGATTAAATATAATCAAAAATGTAAACTATTATGCCACTCATACATTAAGGAAGGAATGGCTTTAAAATAAAAACAGTTTTTCCTATTCATTTGTAAGTGTTAATTTGATGAAATTTACTCTTTTGTTTTTGTTCTCCTTTTTCATTATTGGTTTAATTATAAAGTTGCAATGGCAACATAGTTGAAAAAAAGGTTTTGAAGTGGTCAATAATAATTTGCAAAAGGAACACAAAATAAGATTTAATTATAAAATAGTTTCAATCACTCCATGAGTTGTTCAGATTATTAAATTCATTCTTTATATTACTATTTCCTGAAAATCAGCTTAAAATTATAAAATAAACAATATCTTGTGGAGAAGAGATAGTCTGATATGGAGGGAGAAGGATGGGGTTCAAATAATATGGAACATTGTTGGACAGTGAAGAAATTGAAGAATGCAGCAGCCATTGTTATGTTTGTATGTCAGGCCAGTGTAGATTTCTTTGCCCAACAGGAACAGAAATGAAAAGCAGCTTTAGATATAAAAAGTATGGAATCATTTGTATTATACAGGTTGCTAAGAAGTAAATTGCCTGGGTGGCTTGCATTGCTGGGAATGCACTGAGCCAATTGGTTTATTTGCCATCCTTTCTTTTTGGTTTTCTACTATTGCTAGAAAAAGATTACACACTTTCCTAATGGATTCTTCCCCTGTAGAAATGATTGGCTAAAATGCAGAGGTTAATGACAAAAAGCAACATAACAAATTCAATAATCTAAACAACTCTTGGATTAATAATAATTCTTCTCAAAATTTATAATAAATTCAATCATTAATGATGTTGATGTTCTAGTGAATTATAAGTGAACAAAACCTTTTTCTCTTGAATTTAATCAATGGATGACTTCAGCACTTGTACCAACCTATTCATTAAATTTCTAAATGAGAATAATAAACCTCAATCATTTGATGAATGGTGATACATCAAGTTTCTTAGCAATGACAGTCAAAGTATTTAAAAGTTCATTTTTTTAATGCAGGCCTTCCAAACATTACTGAATATCTCTGTTGTCTGTGGCTCATTTATTAGAAAGCGTACAAACCAAAGAAGTGTTTCCCAGATTGTGCAACTTTCTTAAATCACAGTCCAAACTTAGGTAAGTCACTTCTACTTTTAAGATTTTTTTCCTTGTATTGTGTTGATTAAAAAGTTCCTTTGATTTATTCAGTAAAAATAATTTAAAAAAAAATCTTTCATGTTAAGTTTACTGAACAACATTTATTCACCACTTCTATCCCTCAGTTTTCTGCCATCTTTTAGGCAACTTCATAATTCTATCCTCCCAGAATATTTTAACAAAAGTTCATTCAAAGTGCATTTTGCAGTCTTCTAGGAAACTTTATTTCTCTTCATTAAGAGAATTCTATAAAGACCAGAATAAGAAATAATCTGAGGATGCAATTTCTTTTTGCTTCTCTTCTAACCTGTAATGATCACTTAAGATTATGTGTGTTCTGACATCATACTGATATATATATATATATGTGTGTGTGTGTAATCTTTTAACTAATTCAGAATGTTTTTCATCAATTGCTGCCTTTCAGTTGACCTAATTCAGAGCAGGTCCTTGTTCAAATTAATCATTTAGTTCTCTGACTACAATTAAGATGATTTTTTTTATATGAAATGTTTCTTGTAAAAAGAAATTTGTCTTGGATTTGATCTCTATTTAATTATCTATGAAACTTGAAAAATCTCTGAATCATTATGGTTGGTGGCTAGTGCCACAAGCACAATGTTCTTTTTTGTTACTCATATCAGTAACTGTTCTGTTGCCCTCAATATATCTGAAAGGAAAATAAGAATGTAAAAATTTGTCATGTATTGCTTAACATTCTCGTAGGTTATCTTAATTTCTATTTATCTTGACTTTTTCTAGCATCCATACATCGATATTTTATGACTTCCTAAACATATCCTCAAATTCCTGACACACCTTATACAAAGTAAACTACTTTTATAAAGAATCATAAGTGTATGTTAGAAAAACAATAAACTGTTGATCTTCTTGTAATAGGAGTGACAGTGACTTACCAGGAGCAAAGCGAATTCGTTGCCTCGCGTGTCGAACCATTCTCTGAGAGTCGGTCGCGGCGCGTCCTTCTGCCATTTTTATGCAGCAGACTTATTTGCATAAGAGAACCACGCTACCGATTAAAAACCCGGCGAGTGGACGGGAGGCCACTGCTTTTCTAGGCTTCGCGAGACTAGACGGATTGCAGACAGAAAGCGACTTCTGGACATACGACAAAGCTATTTCGCCAACATGGACGGCGGTTTGATTTAAAGATAATTCCCGAGTTTGACAGGACTGGATCTGTGGTTGAATGGCTCGAGAAATTGGAATTGGTGTCACGACCTATCGGGAGTGAAGCGGCTTGATCGTGTCATCCCCTTCGCTTAACCAGGGGAGCATTCGCGGTTTACCAGCAACTATCTACGGAAGAGAAATCGGAATCAAGGGAGCATTGATGACAGCATTTGCCCCTGATAAATTCACGGCATACGAACAATTCGAGGCACGTATATTACGTCCAGGTGAGACCGTAGATGTATATTTGGCTGATCTCGGAAGCTCTCCGTCCTTTTTGGAGGAGTGCCAGACAGTGCGATGGCATGCGTGTTCGTGCGGGGGGCTTCCTGATCCTGTGAAAAGGCTCCTGCGTCCTCGGCCAGGGCGGATGATATGTCTCTCGAGGAGCTATTGGCCCGAGCTCGGGCAATCATAAAGGACGAGACAGCAGAGAGGGAACCAGTCGCCGCTGCGGTGCAGCCCTCCCAGATTCCCCGTTCTTCCCCAGACATGGGCCCACTTGTCACATGCTATGAATGTAATGGGCCCAATCACTTCATGAGGACTGCATGAAGAGGCGAAGGGCAACTACGCATACGTTGCTATCGATGCAACAAGACCGGTCATCTGGCCAAAATTGTCCGGGAAACGGAGGCGGGATTTAGACTTCAGCGCGGTCCACTCCCCAAACAGCAAGTAAACTTCGGTGCTACCCATCATTACTGTGTGTGTTGACGGCACACCATGCTCGCTCTCCTTGACTCGGGGTGCTCATGGTCAATCTTGAGCGCGAGTTTATGTCAATCTTAGTCGAAGCAGGGTATGGCGGTATCTACCTTAACCGGAGCCACGCAGGCTTGCTGTGGAAGGGGCACCGTCCAGAATTTGCACAGCAACTGGTAATACTGCTACAATCGATGTGCTGGTTATGCGAGGGAAGCCCCTGGATTTCGACCTGTTGCTTGGCATCGACGCCATTAAGGCACTCGGTGGAGTTCGCATCACGCAGCATGGAAGCGTGGAGTTTGAAAACCACGGTCCGTCTGTGCAGCGATTCGTATCAGCGAACCCGATTTCAGTCTGAAATTCAATGAACGGCAGGGAGTTTGGGTTGCAGCCTGGAAGTGGTCGGCAGGTCATGCACCAGGGAAACTTCAGAATCGGATCTCTGAGTATCCAGTATCCACTGAGATGAGAGAGGAGTACGAGCATGAATTACAAACATGGATGGACAATGGTTGGTTGGTGCCGTTACAGTAACAAGGAGTTTGGCCCGCCCAAGGACTGATACCACTGATGGCCGTGCTGCAGACCAACAAGCATAAGGTGCGTCCTGTGATGGACTATAGGGAACTAAATACCTCGTTGAAACATTCACAGGTGCGCGATGTTTGCGCAGAAAAACTGCGAGACTGGAGACAGCATGGTGCTTAACGTGTCCATTCTGGACCTCAGGAAAGCATATCTACAGATTCGTGTTGAAAATCCCTGTGGCCATATCAAACAGTTGTGTTTAAAGGGAAGCGATATTGTTTGACCAGGCTGGGGTTTGGCCTGAATGTAGCACCCCTGATAATGCGAAGCTGTGCTTAATGCTGTGTTAGCACAGAATGAAACTATAAATAGAGCAACGTCTGCATATATTGATGAGATAGATATCAACGAGGATGTGGCGTCGGGCGGAATCTGTGAGGAAACATCTCGAGCTCTACGGACTGACGAGCAAGGATCCAGAGAAGTTACAGGGCGGAGCTAGAGTGCTGGGGCTAGAAGTATGGAAGGAACAGGGTCGACTGCGATGGCGACGAGGAAGCAGAATGGTAGACGGCCCTATGACTATGACACGGAGAGGTATTTTCTCCATGTGTGCGGCTGGTGGGACACTTCCCGTGTGTGGATGGCTGCGAGTGGCGACAGGCGTCATCAAACGTCGAGCCACTGCTGTAACGCAGAACTGGGACGACAAAATTTGTGATGCTCCCTGGAGCGTATGATAACGGACACCATTGCCCGGGCTCAGCAACTGGATCCTGCACAGGGAGAATGGTGCGTGAATACGAAGGAGCTAGGCGTGTGGGTGGACGCGAGTTCGCTGGCTGTCGGAGTAGCGCTCGAGGCTAAGGGAGCTATCATCGAGGGTGCATGCTGGCTACGGCCGATGAAAAACACCCAGCATATCAATGTGGCTGAACTGGATGCCGTACTGAAGGGAATCAACCTTGGCGCTAAAATGGCAGGCTACGGTATTACATGTGAACACAGACTCCTCTGCGTGTACCATTGGGTGACTAATGCCCTTACGGAAAGTCTCGGCTGAACACCAAGGCCGCTAGCGAGATGCTCATAAAGCGACGACTTGAAACTCTAACGTCTCTTTGTGAAAGAGTATAAACTTTCCGTTGACATAGCGCTAGTTAGATCCGACCAGAACCGAGCTGACTTGTTGACGAGAGTTCCCCAGAAGTGGTTCAACAATGTGAAGGAATTTGAACCTGTTCAACCAGTATGTGCTTCTGCTGTAGGAAACCAGAGCCTTGCTCAGTTAACTGAGATTCATCGACACAGCGGGCACCCTGGAGTTAAACGGACACTATATTTCGCACGTGGATCAACCCGTCCATGTCGAAAGCAGCAGTAAGATCGGTCATTCGGGTTGTGAACAGTGTCAGTCAATAGATCCAGCTTCTGTCGATGGCAGAAGGGAGAGCTCAGTGTGCGTGAAACTTGGAGTCGTCTGGGAATGGACATTACACACTATAACGGTCGCCATTTTTTGACTCTGATCGATTGCGCCCCCACACGGTTTTCGATCTGGCGACCACTAGTTCGGCAAGACGCTGCACACGTAATCCGCAATTGAGTCGGTGTTTTTAGAACGTGGTGCCCGGTAGAAATCCTGGCTGATAATGACACTGCATTCCGCAGTCAGCAATTTAAACAATTCATGGAAGAATGGGGGCGTCCGATTCCGACCGCGCTCGCGCCGTACAAACCATCTGGAAATGGTATTGTAGAGAGGTGTCATCGGACAATCAAACGGATTGCTGCGCGAAAAGAGCTGCTCTATTATGGAGGCCGTGTATTGGTATAACATTACACCCAGGGATGATGTGTCTGCCTCTTCTGCGCCCGCCAATCTGCTGCATTCGTACAGAATTCAATAAAAGGAATTGACATTGTGCCCTCGCCTAACCGGGCGACTTCGACTCGGTATAAAGAAGGAGACGCAGTTTGGGTAAAAAATCCGCACGGACGCTGCAAAGTTTGTGAAAGGTCGTATCACGGGAATAAACAGTCCGCAGTCTGTAGTCATCGACGGGATACCGCGACACGTGGAGATGTACGCCCACGGGTCACTTCATTGTTACCAACGGATGATGGCGGTGGCACAACGTCAGGGAGTAATGAATGGCAAGAACCAAGCTCCAGTGCAAGCAGCAGTGACACCTCATCTGAAAGCGAAAGAAGTAGACTTGAACCTTAATGATCCCCGGAATATGATTCAGACCAGGACACATCTGACGATTCAGCCGGGAGGAAGTCATGGTTATACCACTGCGAAGAAGTGCAAGGGTGAAACGACCAGCCCCTCACTGTCACTTATGTGATCATACGATCAGGGGAGTGTAATAGGAGTGACAGTGACTTACCAGGAGCAAAGCGAATTTGTTGCCTCGCGTGGTCGAACCATTCTCTGAGAGTCGGTCGTAGCGTCGCCTACTGCCATTTTTATGCAGCAGACTTATTTGCATAAGAGAACCACGCTACCGATTAAAAACCCCAGCGAGTGGACGGGGAGGCCACTGCTTTTCTAGGCTTCAAGAGACTAGACGGATTGCAGACAGAAAGCGACTTCTGGACATACGACACTTCTTTCAAAACAATCTGAACATAAAAGTTATATTTATACATGAAATATGTTTGCACAAACATAAACTATTCAATTTCTTACAAATTACCAACTTAAGGAATTAAAGCCTTTCATCAAAATTTCAGTATCTTAACATACTGAATATAGTTATCAAATATTTTGTATCGACTACAAACAGTTTTAATACCACATTTTGCATATTGAAAAAGTTAGCAATAATCTTCTTGTTTAGTTCCTTCACTGAAAATGACATTAAGAAAATATTTCATTGAAAATAGCCTAAAAACACAAATCTGAAAATGACAACTCTGTTGTGATGTCATTTCATCACACACAGAAACTTAAGTTTATTAATCAATTTTCTTTTTACAGTCATAACTGTGGAATTGGCTACAGTTTTACTCACGCTTACAAAATGCAGTGCACAATTTTGGACTCTTTAGGAAACCTTTGCATTAATGTAAGTAATTGTTTCAAATGGGAAATCAAATCTGTACAGGTTAACTTCTGTTGTTTTGTCTGGAATCAAATGTATTTTTAAACTTAGACATGTCTTCTTATTTGACATGTGTTTTCTCATCAATTCTTTGTTTCTTGTGAATTACTGCTATAAAAGCATGATATTTGTATTATTTCTGATGTTTCTCAAATATTATAAGAAATTGTGTTAAGTCTTTTCAAGGTATGTTGTTAAAGAAATTATTATCTCTTTTTCTTCATTGACCTAACAAATGTTGATATGCCTTTAGACCCAACAATCAATCAAAAATCTTCATTCTAAATGTATCTACCTTTTGTCCTTCTTTTCTTTTGATTATTTATTTAATGAATATCTGACTCTCTCCCCTTCCCATCTCACTTTTCATTTTCCTATCTTTTTCAGCTTGGCATTCAAGGCAAAGAAGTGGATGATATTGCCACTGCCTGTATTCCCTATTTGAGTGCCCATGGACATCCAGAACTAAAAAAGGTTTGTGTTGTTGAATTTGCAGTGTATATTTTTGCTGTACATCCATTACAACTGATTATTATTAAATATGTCATATTATTATTAAATGTTTATAATGTTATATTTAATTCAAATTATATTTTGGAATATTTTTCAAGCTGACTTAAATTTAAATTTATTCCTCCCAAAGGTTCCTTTATCTATTTCTGAATTAATGACAAACTGAAAAAGTTCAATTATTTATAAAAAAAAAAAAACTTTCTTTTTTAACAGCTTTGCTTAAGACCAAATTTTAACAATTAAAATAAATATAATTTTAAAAAAAAATTGTTCATGGTTTTTTGTTTTAAATTATCTCATTTTAGGTCTGGAAATAATTTCTCATGAACAAATGTGCCTTAATACTGAATATTTATTTCGAAAGCCAATTTTTGAAAATAATTTCTTTCTAAACTTTCACTGTTTTGGTTAAAAACAAAAACTCAATAATAACTATTTTTGTTGTCACTAGATCAAAAATAAATTTTTATGTGTTGTAGAGTGGTTTCACAGTGGAGGCTTGTATTTGTACTAAGTTGGTCCTAAAATAGGTTCGACATACAAAGCGTTAGGAACTTGATATAATAGGTAATGATGCAGAGAAATCTAGTGGTGGTTGCTGATACTTTAATATCCGACTCACGGTCGTCCGACATTGACTGACTGATCAACTCCCTGAGCGACTGCTACTACTCCTATTTATTATAGGTGGGAGAGTCTATTAACAATAGAATTAGGTGTGTTCCACTATAACAATATGTCAAGCAACAAAACAATTGTTTTATTGAATTTGTTTAAATTTACATAAAATTAACAGAAATTGCAAAGTTTGCTGATATTTTCTCAAGAGATTTTTATTACTTGTCTTTTGTTTTTTGTCTCTTTGTTGAGTAAGAATATTGCCTCCCCTGTCAGCAACTATCTATACATGTATAAAGGACAGTTGTATATATGTGTATGTGTGTGTGTATGGCTAAAACTAAAAAATTACAATAATTAATAACAAAATAAATAAATATTCAGACTTAGTATCACCCAACCCACCTTTTTGTAAAATAATTATCATTGTATGATTTGCATTTATGAAGATATTTTAAAATTAAAAATACTTAATAATTGCATTAGAATGTATTCAAAATTCTCAGGATTAAAAAGTGAAAATGAACGGGAATAATTCTGATTCTGTTCATTTTTACTTCTTAATTTTGCTGATAAATTTTAAATGCTTTATATATTTTTAAAACTTTTATTCTCTTCAATTTATTTCCATATCTATAGCATAACTTTAAAAAAATGAATATTAAAACAACAAAGTAAATTTAAAAGAAGAAGAATATTAAATATTCAAAACAAAAATTGTACAAACACAACAGAATAAATACCCATAGATATTTTGGGAAGAATTTTCAGTAGCTTTAATAGAATCATATATTCCATGAACATTTAAGTCAATTTTTTTAACATTTTTAATTGGGAAATTTTAATTATCTCTTTTTAATAACAGGTTTACTTTGAATACACGCATTTTGTTTTTAGGTTTATGTTGTAGAGATATTATCTATCTATTTACATATATAAAAGGCAGTTGTCTGTATGTGTGAGTGTATTATTGACTTATTAATATTTTTTGGCCATCTTATGGAAAATAATTTTTTTATTCAATCTTTAAAAAATAAACTTCATTGTTTTTTTGGTTTGTAACTAACATAAAAAAGTAAATAATTTTAAATTAAATTTTATTAAAGCAAAAATCTATAGCAAGCCTTATTTTTTCAAAAATTAATTTAAGTAAAATATAGCTAAATTTATAAAACAAATATTCAGCATGACTAATGTTGACTGTAAGTCATGTCTGTCACTCCTAATTTTTATTTAACTAAAGTTTTTCTTTTCAGATACAAATATAATTGAAATTTAAACATAATTGATTTTCAAAACTAAATTCTCAATGTGGCTTACATCTACTCTCTTTCAAAATAGTAATTGCTTCTTTCACTTTCTTTAAAAGAAAATAACTAATGTAATGTTTTAAATAGTAAATAATTATTTTTCAAAAAATTAAGGCTTGCTATACTTTAAGCTTGAAAAATTATTATATGTTTAAATATATCTTAATTTAAGTTTATTATTTTTTTTATTAATAATAATTTGGAAAAAGGTTAATGAACTTAGATAAATCGATTTGATTTGTTTGAAAACAATATTAACAGAGTATTTATGTTAGTATTTAATTTGAAAAATAAAATGTCTTTTTGAATAAAAATATGGGGATGATCAGCCCCATGAGCTCTCCTCTCCGAGCGTGGTATTTTCCTAAAGTTAGTTATTTTGTAACAAACCAAAAAACAATGAAATTTATTTTTTAAAGATTGAATAAAAAATTATTTTCCATAAGATGGCTGAAAAATATCAATGCATTTTTAATAATACACTATTATTCAGAGATCTGAGCAATGCCAGGTATCCCTGTTAGTTTTTGCTATTTCTAAACCACTGTTAATTTTGTCACACCTTCTTCTATGTGTACCATGTCCCTTCAGGAAGTGGGCAATCATGGCTCTCCACAATTTCCTGTCCTTTGTAGCTTTTAATAAGTTTTGTTATTTTTGCTATCTCTCCAATTCTTTGTTCTGCCAACCATTTACACAATCTCATTAGGAAGATTATGTGTTGCTTTCCTTTATCCCTCTTGCCTTTAGTATGTCTTGTGAGTATCAAATATATCACTCCACTTGAGCTCATGTTTTTCTGTTTCACCTCTTGACACCCACGTCCAGTCCAGCTTTCCTCCTTATATTCTCTTGTAATGTCTTATTTCTTTTAGGAAAACATCTGTATGTGTGTATATATATATATATATATATATATATATATATATATATACACACATACAATGTTAATTTTATTTCAATATTTCTTCTATCTTTCAGGCTGCTTTGAAAACATTTGACAGTTTGATTGCAATTGAACCTGATGCAATGTGGCTGAAATTATCCTATATCTACAGCCCAAATGTGTACAAATTACCAGCACCCATATTTCAAAAGGTCCAGGTAAATATTGCAAATAATATTTCTTTCAACTTGTATTTTTGTTGGGTTATTAATTCCTTTATACAAACTGTCCCCAAAAATATACACTGGATTTTATTAAAAAAATCTTGCTGTAATTTAGAATTGGTGTTATGAGAGTTCATTTGCATGAATGATAGGGATGGCTTGTGACTGAAGGAAAGCAATTACTATGTATGTTTGTATATAAGACATAATTTGATCAATTTGGTTAATGGTAATCAATGATAATCTAAATTGACCAAGTGGTAAGTTTTATCTTCATTGGCATCAAGGAAGTCAATTAACAAAACTTAAAACAGGATAAGTGCTCTTAAAAGTGACTTTAATAAGATATTAATTATCACCACATAATGGTGATAGCAATAGAGATAATGTCTTGTAGCTTTGCTTTTGGGTTAAGTTTGTTGCTTGTGCTTGTGATTAATCAACATGACCTTGCTTAAATGTAGTCCATGAACTTATTCTGATTTCTCTTTTATTTCAGTTTGATTCAAACAATGGAAAAGAATATTCCAACAGTATAGAAATCCTTTTCAAGAATCCACTATTGCAGAGTAAAACCTCTCAACCCAATGTCAATTAATCTTTTAAAGACATTAATTATTAAAATATTATTAGTGCTCAGATCAAATTGTGTTGGGAAAAGGCTTCTCTTATTTTTTCTGATAAGCAATATAATTCCATTATCATGCTATTTGACAGATAACTGATATGTTTTTAACCATTTTTCTTTAAGAAGTTAAAAGCTGTAAAAAGAAAAATAATAATTATAATGTCTATTTGACAGATATTTATGTTTTTAACATAAAATGTTAAAAGAATTTAAATATTTTGGTAAATTATTGCCTATTTCTATAAAAAATTTTTTTTTATTATTTGACAGTAAATAATATGTAATTTCACTTAAAATCTAAGGTGATTGCAAAGCCTTTTCTCAATATAGTGTCTTCTGAAGAATAAATTGTTATACCAAAAATTTTTCTGTTATTACAAGAAAAGAAATTTTAAATAATTGTGTCTAGGGAAATTACTTGTAAATATTCTTAAACTTTAACTGAAATACAGAATAAAAAAAAGATTATTTATTCTGTTTTATTCTTCATTGGTTTATCACACTTGTTAAGAAATGTATAGACTGTCTTCACATTAGTATCTGTGTAGATAGAAATGTTATCATTAAATAACCAATATTCTTAACCTTTTAACACCTCACCAAAATCTCAAATCATTAAAAGAGTATTTTTATGCTGGTTTTATGCTGTCAAAAGAATTCAGTATTAACAAAATTAGTAAAGAATTTTGGAAATATGGTTAAGTTCTAATTTATTTTATAAAACTTATTGAAAATAAATCCAATGAGTTGACAATGAGACAAACTGATCAAGAAAACTTACTAATGATGGGTTAAATTTTATGTATTAGAATAACTTATGCATTACAATATTCAACTAAATTCTTTAATCAGTATGGCAGCTAAGGACTGTGTAAAATTAAATTCATATAATTATCCTTTGAAAAATGATATCTTATATATACTACACTAATAAGCTCAAACAAAATACTTTCAAAAGATTTTATTGTTTGATATTCTCAGGAATACCTCATTAGTTATCATCAGAAATTATCACATTCTCTTCTCAATGATGTTTTACTCAAATTCTTTCACTCTTAGTAACTTCATAGCTTTGTTTGGGGTGAAATGATTAAAAAAGAAAATCTAGAATAGTATTGTTTGGAGCTCTAAGTTTGTCATGATCAACCCATAATATTAAAATATTTGAAACAATGCATTGAAATGCATACCAGAGGTTTATAAAAAAAAAAAATGATAATTTTCTGTAGAGACTCAGAGAAGGAAATTGGCAGCCAGTTTATATATGAACACCATGACTTGTAATAAAAAATAAAAACAAATTCAAAAAATCTTATATAAAAAAAATAAAGATTTATTTTCAACATAAAATCATTCATATAAAATCTTGATACAATTTTGTGTGTGTAGAATTCATTAAAGAGGATGATTAATTTTTACAGTTGATCCCAAGAGTCACATCTGCAGAAAAGAGCAAAAGATCAGATTAGCAACAGTCACAACCTATTTTCTAGCTTATAAGGGGCTAATTGAATATAGGTCAACATAAGTATATGATAATGCTATACATCAAAGCAAAAACAACAATGACAAGTTTGATGTTAATTTTCATGTGAAATTTTCACCTATATTACTGAATCATGACTGAATTAAGTGCATTGACAAATGCGTTATGTCAAAAAATATATTTGTGTAAAATAAATGCTTTTTACATCATTAGGTCTAATGAGTGATATCCGTGTGTATCTACAGGATGTGCCAGGCAATTGGGACCAAATTAAAAAGAAAAACAGATACACTAAGAAAAAAATAAATCAGTATTTTGTCAGAAAGAATTGGACACATGTCCAACCCAGAAAAAATTCAAATTGACTGGATGCTTTAGATTTAGTAGCCCAGGGGATTTTTCTGCTTTAAAAGAACTTTTTGATCCACAAACTTGAGATTGTGACCAATAACATAAATACAAATTAAAATCACTAATTCAATTAAATAAATGTTATGATTGAGATAGAGGTACTCTTTCAGGAAAATGCTTATAAAAATGTCCCATCTTTAGAAAAACTGTTTCACAGTTGAGAAAATAAATTCTTCAGGAACACTGAAGAATACTGAATACAATAAAATTGCTTCAAGTACCAAAAATGATGCAAATCTGAAATTTGTCAAATATGGTGGATGCTTGAAAATGTCGAATCTCTTCATTTTGAAGTGATTCTATACAAAGTGTTGTCTTTGGCATAGCCATAAAGCAGAATCAGAAATTAATTAGCAATTGTGTTATATTTTGTTCAAATGACTGCAGAAAAAAAGTAATCAGACCATGAGAATATTTTTAAAATTTATAGATAATTAAATGAAGATCAAATCCAAGACAAATTTCTTTTTACAAGAAACATTTTATATTAAAAAAAAGCTATTCCTAATTGTAGTCACCCTAATCTTCCAGAGAACTAAATGATTAATTTGAACAAGGACCTGCTCTGAATTAGGTCAACTGAAAGGCAGCAATTGATGAAAAGCATTCTGAATTAGTTAAAAAGATTATTTATATATATATATATATATATATCAGTATGATGTCAGAACACACATAATCTTAAGTGATCATTACAGGAGAAGCAAAAAGAAATTGCATCCTCAGATTATTTCTTATTCTGGTCTTTATAGAATTCTCTTAATGAAGAGAAATAAAGTTTCCTAGAAGACTGCAAAATGCACTTTGAATGAACTTTTGTTAAAATATTCTGGGAGGATAGAATTATGAAGTTGCCTAAAAGATGGCAGAAAACTGAGGGATAGAAGTGGTGAATAAATGTTGTTCAGTAAACTTAACATGAAAGATTTTTTTTTAATTATTTTTACTGAATAAATCAAAGGAACTTTTTAATCAACACAATACAAGGAAAAAAAATCTTAAAAAGTAGAAGTGACTTACTTAAGTTTGGACTGTGATTTAAGAAAGTTGCACAATCTGGGAAACACTTCTTTGGTTGTACGCTTTCTAATAAATGAGCCACAGACAACAGAGATATTCAGTAATGTTTGGAAGGCCTGCATTAAAAAAATGAACTTTTAAATACTTTGACTGTCATTGCTAAGAAACTTGATGTATCACCATTCATCAAATGATTGAGGTTTATTATTCTCATTTAGAAATTTAATGAATAGGTTGGTACAAGTGCTGAAGTCATCCATTGATTAAATTCAAGAGAAAAAGGTTTTGTTCACTTATAATTCACTAGAACATCAACATCATTAATGATTGAATTTTTTATAAATTTTGAGAAGAATTATTATTAATCCAAGAGTTGTTTAGATTATTGAATTTGTTATGTTGCTTTTTGTCATTAACCTCTGCATTTTAGCCAATCATTTCTACAGGGGAAGAATCCATTAGGAAAGTGTGTAATCTTTTTCTAGCAATAGTAGAAAACCAAAAAGTAAGGATGGCAAATAAACCAATTGGCTCAGTGCATTCCCAGCAATGCAAGCCACCCAGGCAATTTACTTCTTAGCAACCTGTATAATACAAATGATTCCATACTTTTTATATCTAAAGCTGCTTTTCATTTCTGTTCCTGTTGGGCAAAGAAATCTACACTGGCCTGACATACAAACATAACAATGGCTGCTGCATTCTTCAATTTCTTCCCTGTCCAACAATGTTCCATATTATTTGAACCCCATCCTTCTCCCTCCATATCAGACTATCTCTTCTCCACAAGATATTGTTTATTTTATAATTTTTAAGCTGATTTTCAGGAAATAGTAATATAAAGAATGAATTTAATAATCTGAACAACTCATGGAGTGATTGAAACTATTTTTATAATTAAATCTTATTTTGTGTTCCTTTTGCAAATTATTATTGACCACTTCAAAACCTTTTTCAACTATGTTGCCATTGCAACTTTATAATTAAACCAATAATGAAAAAGGAGAACAAAAACAAAAGAGTAAATTTCATCAAATTAACACTTACAAATGAATAGGAAAAAACTGTTTCTTATTTTAAAGCCATTCCTTCCTTAATGTATGAGTGGCATAATAGTTTACATTTTTGATTATATTTAATCAATAGATAAAAAATAAACCAAATTAAAAAAATGGTCAGCTCACTTTTATCCTCACAATAATTTCTGTATCTGAGAATCTTTGTGATAATGGAGTCCATAACTGATGAACCATTGGGAGAAGATGATCTTGAAATAAAAGCAACAACAGAAATTTACAATTTGTTAAGAAAAATTTATCAAAAACAATGCATATGGTACATAAGACAATATGAATATATATTGCCTTGCATGAAAAAAACCTTAAGATCAAATCAAGCACATTCATTGATCCATTGATAGTTGTAATATACATTGGTATTTGGTACATTGATTTCCTAAAATGAATAACATGAATAACATTTTTTTAAAGTTCATAAATTTATGATTCAAAACTGGCAATATTTTTTACCCTAAATAGTAATTTCTCTCAAAATTGTTTCTTCAAGAAACTTAGCTATGTGTAGAGAAGTGTAGTAGAGAATATTTCACAATTTTCAGGGAATGAATGAAAACATTCACAGACAGAGAAAAGAAAACTGGATTGATTGCTGTTAAAACTAAACACAGTTAAAATACATTCATAAAGAAAATATAAAGGCTTTTCATTAAAAACCTACATCAACAATGATTGTAACATGGTTAGGTGGTAATGTCTTCTCTTCATCTTCAATATTTTCCATTTCATTTTCTGTAGGAGAAGCTGGTGTCCAGTCCATTTCTCCTTCATTTTTGGATAGGTCATCATCATCATCAACCTCTCCAGCAGCAGTCTTCTTGTCTTTATGATACTGAACTAAAAAGTCAACCAACCATTTGGTGTCTTCAGAATTCTGTTCTTCATCTATACATGACATAGCAGGATCGTTTTCTTGTACAGTTTCCTGAAATTGAAATTGGAACTCAATTCTATTTTATCCCCATATATATAATGCATCACATTTAAAATCTAGCATTTTTTTGCTCTCTCTTAAAAACTATTCAAGAATATTTTCTTTTTAATGCAAGGAAATCATAATATATATATATATATATATATATATATATGTGTGTGTGTAAAAAGATTATCTTTACATTTTTTACTTCAGCTAGTTTTAACTATTTGTTCTTTGGTATGCATATTCATACTGTTGTGGTGTTCTCCCTCTAAAGAGTCTGCTATAAGTTTAGTAGGAGAGAAGGCTTTGCAGAACAGTGAATAGATTGAGCGCTAGTTCATTCGAGACACTCTTACTAGTAGTGTAATACTCTTCTGGTGTACTTAACCATTTACTTGGTCACAACATCTTGGTGACAAAGTATTCGAAGAAATGGATTTCACATTAAATCATAAAAATCTTTTTTTTTTGCCAATGTCTACAACAATGCTGAAGAAAGGAATTCTAATTCAAGTCTACAACAAAAGGGTATACAGTGTTAATTACAACACTGACAATGAAAAAAAAAGAAACTTTTCAAAACAAGAGGATATCTACAAGTTCAATTCAGTGGTTGGGAAGAAGGTTGGTGAACCTTGTTATTTTTTCCATTTCAACAAGTCAGTAAAAGAACTGTACAAGTCAAACAGACTTATTTAAGAGGGTAAAGAGAAAAAAAATTCCCCCTCGCATTTCTTAATTTTTATGCAGTAAAATGGACGAATTTAAAAGTGTAATGCTAGAGTTGTTGAAACACCAACAGGAACAACATTTGCTGTTGGAGCAGAAATATCAAGAAAGGTAAGAGAAATTCCAACAAGGACAAGCAGAATACCAGAAGAAATTTGAGAATTTGCACCTAGAAATTGAGGTTAGACAACAGAATTCAGTTTCTGTTGTTTAACCTCAATTTCAAATGCTCCTTCAAACACAGAATGAGCAAAGGCACTTGTATATGTCCATAAAAAAACAAAATCAGGACAGCGATAATGCGTTCTCTCAAAACACTATATGGAGTGCTATTGAAAACTTCACATTTGCACCTGAAGAAGGAATTACATTTGCTTCATACTTTAAATGTTATGAGGACTTATATAATATGAATTGTGCAAATTAGGCTGACCATAAAAAGGTTTACCTACTCCTCAGAAAATTAGGCACAGCAGAATATACTAAGTTTGTTAACTATATTTTGCCTAAGAAAACCAGCAACTTGAAACTTAAAGAGGCAGTTCAATCATTAACAGAACTCTTCAGTCCAAAAAAACACTGTTCCACAAGCATTGGAAATGCATGAATCTCACCTGCAAAGAAGACAAAGATGATACTACTTTCGCGAGTGTAGTCAATAAACACTGCGACGACTTCAAATTGGCAGAATTAAGTGCTAATAATTTTAAATGCTAAATTTTCGTCCAGGGTTTGATTTCAGTGAAAGACGCCAAAATACGTTGTTGGGTATTCAACAAGCTTGAAAATGAGCCTGATGTTACTTTACAGCAAATTGCCGAAGATTGTCAATGTTTCGTGAGTGTCAGAGAGGATTCGAAAAACACTGAACAGCGTGGCGAGGCTCACATTAAAAAAATACGCCAAAGAAAAATTAAAAAAATATGCCAACCAAAGAATAAAGTTACTTTGCCTTCAAGACCATGTTTTGGGTGTGGTCAATTACATTGGTATAGAGATTGTCCTTTTAAACATAAAAAATGTTTTAATTGTGATAAATTGGAACACAAAAGTTCCCACTGCAGGATTAAGAACAAGACAAAAAAGTGTTGTAAAAATTACCAAGTATGATGAACCAGAAAGTTGTGACATCAGGAAATATATTGAAGTGCAACTATTTAACAAAAATATAAGGCTACAGCTTGATTCGGGTTCAAACTTATCCATAATTAATTATCAAACATGGAAAAAACTGGGTAAGTTGACTTTGTTAAAAGTGTAACTGGTGATCCTATTAAGTTTATTGGCGTACTTATAACGAATGTGTCATTTAAAGGTAAAACTTTAAAACTAAAGGCGTATATTATGAAGAAGACAAGTAATTTGTTCAGGACTGATTGGTTAGAACAGTTTCAACTTTGGGATATACCTATTAACTTTATGAAAAGTTGAACTTAAAAAAACTTTCCTGATGTCTTCAGTGGAGGACTAGGAAAATACACAAAAATGTCTGCCAAATTTGAGATAAAGCCAGATGTTAATCCAGTTTTTAAGAAAAAATGTAATGTTTCATTTGCCCCAAATTGACGAAGAATTGACTTGAGGAAATGGTAGTTCTGGCAAATGTTGAATATAGCGAATAGACATCTCCCACAGTTTATATTAAAAGAGGAAAGAAATTTGTGTATGTACTGACTTCTCTACGGGGCTGAACAGTACCCTAAAGGATCAACATGTAGTTTATCATCTTACCCAGGATCCAGATGTAGTTTATCATCATACTCAATATGGGCTAAAACCTGAGATGAAACAACATGCTGTAATTGTTGTGATACATGCAAAGCCCAGTGATGTTTGGAAGTTTTTTTTACAGTTTTTTTATTACTAGATCATTTGTGCACAAAGTTTCAAAGGATTCAGCTTCCATCAAGTATGTGTCATCTGTAGTGAAGTGCAAAAAGCATTCATGATATTTTGACAGTATCAGGATGCAAGAATTTGTACAGTCCTGCAGAACATTATCAATAGGAATACTGGAACATCCATGACAGCTGTTGCCAGAGATCTCCAGATGTTTCGAGGGTAGAATCTCCAATGTGGTGCATAAGGATCAAAAAGTGAAAATGGAGAAATGACAGGTGGTTAAGTGCAGATCTTTCTGATGTCCCCCATATCATGTGCACCAAGTTTCTCCACTTCTCTGATACTTTTAGGGGTGGTGAATAGTAAAGGTCACATTATGTCACCATACTTCTTTCAACAGGGTTTTTTATGGAAATAATTGTGAAACTCTGAATAGACTTTGTATGCAACAGAAGCCCATGTTTTTCAGCAGAACCCTGCACCTGTTCAGAAAAATTGGATGGCAGTCAATCTGCATGACCACATCACACCAAACATGTGGCTGCCTAACTTGCCATACCTAAATCCCATTGGCCATGTGGGACATTGTTGAACAAGTGACTAATCAATGTTCACACAATACATTCATTTGATTTCCTGTAAACTGACATTATGCAAGTAATGTCCAATATCAATACAGATCATGTGATCCATGCATGTTAACAATTCTGATCTCACATTGAAGCCATTATTACAACCAATAACAATTACATCAAATAACCATGTAAGTCAACCTTTGCTGCAACTGTGTACCAAAATTTGTATCAATAAATTTATTTGTAAGATGTAGTTGTTTTTCATATGGTCTTCAATGTGTCCTCAAATTTACACACCCTATCTTTCTCTCTATTTATATATAGAGAGAGATAGAGAGAGTGATATTAGTATATTAGGAATAAATTAATATATATATATATATATATATATATATATATATATTATTAATAGAAATCTTATAAGTATAAGAAACTATACTCGCTCGGAAAGCTTTCGGTGTCTTGATTTGCAAATAAACAAGCCAATACCAAAGGGAAAAAAAAGGTATAAAAAAAAGAAACAACCAAGAACATGTATGTTAGCCAAAAATAATCATCCAGCATGCAAGTCCAAGGCCCAAAGAAAAAAAAACCAGGATGCGAGTACGCAAAATAACTAAATAAAGTGCTCAATACGAGTAGAGCAGACCTAGTTAAACCTAGAGAGCCAGACAAACCTACCAAGGTTTCACCTAAGTGGATCGTCAAGGAAAGCCAGCCATCCATGACGATCAGCTTAGATGAAACAGTGGTAGGTTTGTCTGGCTTTCTAGATTTAACTATATATATATATATATATATATATATATATATATATAGAGAGAGAGAGAGAGATATATGTATGTTAAGAATTACTCAGCTACATACCATGGCCCAAAATCTGTGTTTGTTCTTCCACAATTTTGACACTAGAACAATCCATTTCCAGTGTCTGGATGAGTGCCAAGGAGAATCTCTTCAGATGAGAATAAGAATAGAGTAAACTGTTCATATTGGGACCTGTACAATTAATAAAATACAAAATAGATACCCAGGTTATTGAACATAATAACACTTATGAATTTATATTTCTTTACTTTACTTTCTTTTTTTTAATACCACATTTTCATTGCTAAATTCTAATAATCTTCAGGTAACATCAAATTTAATAAAATATCTTAAAAGATATGTACAGCTATAATGTAGTCAGTGTAAATAAGACTTTTTCACTTCTTTGATAATAAAATTAAACAATTATGTACAATGCTATAAATCTTTTTTTTTACCTGATGTCCATTATAAGCTTAAACTTGACTCTGAATCAAGTTTTAAGCTAATAAAGGACATCTGGGATTAAATAAGCATTTTATGTCCTATTTTTCTTGCATTCCCTTTGTTCATTTACTAATATAATCTCTCACATCCAGGTTATATAAATATTTTTGCTTGTATCTTTGTAAGTAAGAAAAGAATCAAGAAAAAGATGACAAACTAATTTTTAGCCCTTCAAATTTTCAGATCATCTGAATTAATATTTTCAGACATTTTTACAAAACTTATGTTCATATACATATATATATATATATATATATATATATATATATTTAAGAGGCCATGAAATGTTGGTACCAAGAGTTTATGTTATAAACTAACACTATTTTCAAACCAGTTTTAGACATACATCAGCATACAATACAACTGATTTTTGTGATGTACTTTTATTATGTTTGAAGAAAAACAAAGTTAGTAATGGTCCTAATTTATATATTTACCTTATAAATAAATATATTAAGACACAGGACTATATTGCCAATTTTGTTCTTGGCTTCTTTATAGGAATGTAAAACAAAACCACTCAAAGAAGCAGTCTATCTTAAATTTAGTAGATAAAAAACCAAAATATAGTGTTCACAGATAAAATATTTATTTCAATAAAACAAAATTTCCATGCATATTGTTCCATATGCTAAATAGTAACAAAACATAATGATAAACAAAGGGATTTACTTACATTAATAATTTTGTCAGTCTATAGAATGTATCATTCTTTAAACTGACAACTTAAACATATTTCTTTTTTCAACCTTTTCTTTTACAATGAAAAACTTGTTTTAAAATCTTTTCTTAACAGTCAATTTCTTCACAATTCCTTTTCACCTTTTTGGGGGCTGAAAGTGAAAATTAGAAAACACAATGCCTAATCTAGGCTAAGATCAAATTTTAAAATAAATAATATTTTTAAAATATTTTAAAATCTCATCTTAAATAGAGAACGAGAATGGGGCAGCCTTCCCCGCATAGAACGACTAATGTTGACTCGGTGAGTCAACAATACAAACAAATCTCTTCCAAATAAATGTCTCTTCTTAGACAAAGTTGAAACAAATCTCCAAAAACTGCAAAGTACCTTTGTTATCTTTAACAAAAGTCTATATTTGCGTCAATACCTCAATAGGCCTTATAAGTCAAATCAAAATAAAATATAACTTTTCTCAAGTTATAAACAAATTTATAACTTTTCTCAAGTTAAAGAAATTTTAGCTTCGGAATTCTACTGGAGCTAATAAAAAATCTTTTGTACGGAGTCGCCTGAAACATAAAAACTCACTATCCTTTCTTCCCATCCTTAAATAAAATCTTACTTATTATAAAACGCAGATTCTGTGTGTGTGTGTGTCTGTAACGTTTATATATTGGATCGGATTTCCTACATTTTTCAACCAATTTCAACAAAACTTCACAGGACTACATAAAATTACATTGTGGTGGTTCTAACAGTGCCAAAAATGGGAAAAATATAATTGTTTTTGCACAAAATCAATTTGAAAACACGATTAAGAGACATCGTGAAAATGGAAGGGGGACAACTCACATCGGATTTCCTATATTTTTCAGCTGATAAAACAAAACTTTACTTTTTTTTTGGCAGGTAGTGTTTCTTATTCTCTTGCACTTTTTTCTTTATTTTTAACATTCAGAATGCTTTGAAAATTCCATTTACAAGACAATTATTTATAATAAAATTCTATTCAATTGGGAGACTCATAACGATTGAAAACAATGTTTTTGTTTGAGTTTGACCAATTCATAAAAAATAAAAAAAATAAAAAACTAATTAAGACATGCGTGTCCGTCAACCTTAAACAATAATCTAACGATCTCTACTGATTGTACAAATACAAACATCGGATAAATTCTTTATCTTTAGGGAAAGATAATGAAATATAAACATACACAAGTCCTAACTAAAAATAATACCGAACGGAAACTACTTTAAATACACATGGTGTCCAATTTTTTACTGTATTCAATAAGTAAAAATCATAAATTGTAAAAAGATTATTATTACAGAAAGGCTACTAAATGAATAAGATTTGTTAGATCATAATTAATAAACCCAAATAAAGTTAATATTTTTTGTATTAGAAACAACGAGTGGAAAATATATTCAAATTATGAATCACCACAAGCAAAATATGCATTTTTTTTACTGTATTCAATAAGTAAAAATCATAAATTGTAAAACTAAAAGAATACAGAAAGTCTACCTACATTTTTCAACCGATTTCAACAAGATTTCACTTTTTTTTTTTGGCATGTAGTGTTTCTTATTGTCTTGCACACTTTTTTCTTTATTTTTACATTCAGAATGCTTTAAAAATTCCATTTACAAGACAATTGTTTATAATAAAATTCTATTCACCAATCGATAGACTCATAACGATTGTAAACAATGTTTTTGTTTGAATTTGGGTTTGACCAATTAGTAAAAAAAAAAAAAAAAATAATTAAGACATGCGTGTCCGTCAACCTTAAACAATAATCTTTGTCAATTTTATTTTTCAGTCTTTATGATGGTGGATACTTGATCTATCTCTTACTGTTATATCCCCGGGCAACACCGAGCTCTACTGCTAGTCAGATATATAACAACGAAAAATCTCTGACTGAAGACAATCTCTCCTGATCAAAGAGAAGCGCCGTCTCCCACCTCCAACCACATAAAAAGGTGTCAGTAAAAAACCATTGTCTACTTTGCTATCAGAGGTGTATCGTTTCAAATTTCAATACATTAAATATTTCTTCACTGAAGTTATTGAAATATCTTCGAATTTTAATATTCTAAAATTTTGCAAATAAAAAATTCTCAAACGTTCTTTGTTGGGGATACCATTGTAGTGGACCGTGGCTGGGATGTTGTTGAGTAGACATAGAAGAAACACATGTGGGTTCAGATTTTCCTGCTAGCTGGTCCAAATACACGAGAAAGTTGGACTTTAATTAAGTCCAAAGAAGAAGGCAAAGAAAAACAAACACAAGACCAATAATATATGTATACAAATATATATATTAATAACAAGTTACATGGAAACAGTTACAAAGGACAAAGTGTGTGTGTGAATATTATATATGTGCGTGTGTGTATGTGTATATTGTTCTTAGTGTGTTCCCAGCATTTGGGAAACGCTATCTCTGTGAGCATTCACATCTGCGAGGTGATAAGGCTGAAAGCCTGAGGAAAAAGAGAGATTTACCTCCAGGTGTCGGCCCAAAGGCCTGAGGGAAAAAGAGAAAGAGGCGAAGGGTCAGTGACTATTTATCGCCAGGGAAGAGAGACCCCTGGTGAAAGGGTTAACGAACTAAAGGAGGAGTTAACTCTGACACCATTTAACTTAATCTGAAGAGTCTGAGTGAAACAAAAATGGCAGTGACCATGAGAAATTGTTGTCAGTGTCTTTATAGTCATTTCCAGTAAATGGCAATTTCTTATTTTCCACTAAAATTGGCCAGTACAGGCAGGTAACAATGCAGCAGTGAAAGTGTTAAACTTTAAATAAATAATCTTAAACCATAACAACAATGTTATAAAGAACAAAAAGCATTTATACAATTTTCCTTTTAATGCATACCAACTTAGCCATTGCTATTTTGATCTTCCTCAATAATGTATCATCCATAAGAAGAAGCAAATTTTTCTGCCATGTCTCAATTGATTTCTGCTATGAAATCTTACTTTCTGAGTAACCTTCAATAAAAATAATGTTGAAACAAAAGAATTCTAAAAGTAATGTGTGGAAATGAAATTAATGAAACTTACCTAATATTTTTAGATAGCCAGAAATTATTTTAATCAAGCTTAGTTTCTGGTCATCATCTGAAATAATTATAATTAAATTAAAAAAAGAACAAATCAAATAGTAAAAAAAAAAAAATAAATTTGAAAATTCTGTATAAATGGTGAAATATCATTTCAATAAAATGTCTACATACAGGGATTATTACTGGGAGAATATGTGTTAACATTAAATGACTTATTTTACATCAAGTGAAACTCTCCAAAAGATCCATTCTATTTAATTAAATGTGTTTAAATTTTTATTTATGTACAACTGTGATGTGTGTGTGTGTGTGTGTGAAATCTTATCACGTTTTGAATATTTTAATCAAGTTTCTGGTATGCAATCTAATAATTAGTGACATAAAACAAGAAAGTTGTGATCTGTCAGTTACTGATAGGAAATTCTAGAATAGAATTTCCATTAGGGGACATGATTGTTGTTTTTCACTTTGCTCCTGGAACTGTTTCAGGGTTGGAGAATGCAAATTTTTTTTAATAAGATTTGTCAAACATTCAGGCCGATAGATAAAAATAAATAAATATATTGTTTAATAAATAAACAGAGCACTTACTCAAATATGAGTATCCATGAAAAATAATGTTTAAAATGATAAAAAAACTGTTGGATTAATAAAAGATCCATTCTGTAATTATCTTTGATTATATTTAAAAATTAAAATAAAAATGTCTAAGTATCATTAAAGCAGAATGAATTGATGATCTGGGAACAAAATTTAACCAAAATTACTTTTTTTTCTTAAAAAGCAGTGAATAACAACTTTTTTTTTGCAAGGATATTACTAATGTGGGGGTATTACTAATGGAGGGGGACATTAAGTCCAATGGAGAAGTGTACCAAGCCTGAAATGGACCCTGTTGTTAGAAGTGTATTTTTTCACATTAAAATTAGCTCACATCACATTCATAGATGGTTGGTGGGCGGTAGGCAAAAACTTTATCCGGGACGCAGAGTGAGATTCTCCTTTTCCCTCTTCACCTTGGTGATTAGCCTGCAAAATGGACTGCATGCTCTTGTTCCTAAGTTACACTTTGCTCTGTGTGTGTGTGTGTGTGTGTGTGTGTGTGTATATATATATATATATATATATATATATATTTATCCAGGTAAATTCTATGGATATCCATAACTAAATTGTGTTTATTTGATATGTTTATTGAGTATAGATAAAAAGAAGTCTGCAACATGTTCCATCTATAGTTTGGGATTTATATCTGGTGAATGTCGGTGCCAATAAATTACCTGAGAGTCATATAAGTGTTCCTCAAACCATATCCCTATATATATGAGAAGGAGGTGCATTATCTTGTTGGAACAAGCAATCAGCACAAAGAAATATTGTGAGTATAAATGGGTGAAAATGGTCTGGTATATGCATATCAATGCACTACAGATTCACTTGCAGACTCCAACAGAACATATCCCACCATTACAGTCATCATCAGCTTGCAGAACACCTTGTTGATAGAGTAAATCCCTAGCTTCTCTTCCACATATAAACATGAACATCTGCCTGAAAGAGTTGTAAACATGTCTTGCCTGATCAGTCTTTTGTGTGCAATAGTGATTTTCATGAGTCCACTTATAGGCTTCAATAAAGTAGCATTTTTGGTCAATGGCTATGAAACTTCATGGTATATACTACGTCAAATTGTATTACAAAAATGTGGCTGACCATTGTTATGCAAGAAGATTGGATCTTTTCTGTTGACTAGTACTTGACACATAGACTGCAATTTATGATGCATTTGATCTATTTTCTAATTAAGATTTCTAATACATATTGTAACCACTTTTCATTTTTAAAAAAATATTATTGCTACATATGGCATTTTTTGTTAAAAATAGGAACATGCTTTGCAATAGTTTTATTACATATACTACAATAATAAAATTAATCATTGAATTGATAAATATAACAGATTTCCTGTAAAATTTTGATAAAGACAAAAAAAGGTAAATATTGTTTTTATTATTATTTTAAGTTATTTGCTTCCATTTGAGATCTGTCCACATTCTTTCAAATAATCTTTAATGTTTAAGATTCCTGGTTGGATTTTACTTTAATAAATTTGAATATTAACTTAAATTAGTTACATTATATTTTTTTAAAGTTTTCTTAAAGTAAACCTTTTCAAAACTCATTATCTGGGAGCTTATATTAATTCATTAAAACCATGTTTAATTAAGACTTATCTTGTATTTTGTTCTCCACAATTCCAGATGCTGGCTATGGGAAGCTTCAAGATTTAATTGTGACAAGAGAATTTGAATGGATCAAGAATATGTCAGATAAGCTTTGTATTTTTGTATTACAAGTTGAAATCAACAGCTGGAGGGTTCAACTTTCACTGTTAGACTTGGCTCATAACTTACTCACTAATTGCAACAAGTGAGTTAATTGAATGTTTTTTTACAATTTTATCTTGTTTATTCATGGATGCATAAAACATGTGATGCCCAAGCTATAAAAATTACTTTTAATAAAATAATAATATTAAAATTGTATGAGAAAAAAATTAATTAAAATGTTGGAATTGTGTAAAAATTAATATAGAAACTCTTTAATAAAGATACAATTAAAATTGCATGGAAAATTAAGAATATTTTTGATGTGTAAAAATTAATATAAAAATTATTTTTAGTAAAAAAGATAATATTAAATTGTGTGAAAAACTAATTAAGAAAATTAGAATATTACTAAGGCAGTTTCTTTGAAAGAGGACCTGTCAAAATGAAGCCAAACAATTTAGGAAAAAAAAATCATGAATAAAAATTGATATTTAAAGAAAAAAAGTGAGGCTCCAAATTGATGTTCTCAAATCAGCCAAATTTAAATTGAAAACCGACACAGTTTATTTGGATAGTGGTTCTCAATTTTTTAACCAATAGGATAAAAAGTGTATGCCCCCCACCAAAGGAGTTGTATTTTGATCTGGTTGGACTCACTTGTTTGCTATATAAGAAGAAAATTTTGACTAAATTCAAAAAGTATTAAACCTCACTTGGTTGTGTAGAAGCTGTGATCTGTGCTGAGTAGAACAGCTTGCTCAAGCCTAAAAATGATTGACTGTACCAGGCATGTAAAGGCATACATTTAGCACAAAGGATTCAACTACTCAGGCAAGAAAGCAGTAACCTGGGATGATAAAAAGTTTCTACTACTACTGTTGTTGAAGGGGAAGAAAGAAGAAAAATCTTCTAAATTTGATATGTGAATGTCATTTCTAAACATGAGTTTTATCTCTTATATGAATGACTTTTATAAACTTATGAGTTTATCTCATTTGAATGTCTTTTCTAAACCTGTAAAAGATTTTCTCATATTTGAGAATGCCTGTTCCTAAAATCAGAATATTTGTCAAAAGGACCCAGAAAAGCGGCTTTGCCTGAGTTAGGTCAACTTTTCTCTCTCTCCACCCACCAATTCAAACTTTAATTTTCAACCTTTGAACCTTCAACATTTTGAATTTATGAATTTTTTAAAGTAAATTTCTTTTGTTGCTAAGAAATTGATTTATATGAACTATTGCTCTAAAAGAAAGTTGTTTAAATTCCTTTGCTGTTAAGGAAAACAGTAGTTTTTTAAGAGAGAAAAAAATTATATTTTGAAAGAACTTGATAGGGAGAATTTTGTGCAAAGTCAATATTGTATATTGTAAAAATATTTTGTTAAAAAAATGTTTCTTTACAAATTTTACTTTGAGTAAAGAAAGGGTCTTACCTTGTTCGTTAACGACTCTAGAATCTAAAAATATTTATAAAGGAAATAAAGAAATTTGAAACCCAATCAACTTTGAAATCTTCTTCCACCTAACCTTTTCTCTTTTTAGAGAATACAATTTTGTATTTTTTCTTGAAACTCCATCATTTTCTTGATATGGTACAAGCAAGTACTAACCCCGATAGTCTCGTGAGATGCGCCATTCTCGGATTTACAGAATCGGGAATTGTGTTCAGGAATGTAATTCTCGCATTCTGAATTGTTGTTGATATGGCGGCACTTTTAAGAAATAGCTTATCGGCTGTTGTCATTTAAGTGTTGTGTCCAGAAAACAGGTTCACATTTGGATCGCCAAACGAGCATAAAAGTAAGTAATCTGATTGTTTTTCTTATTTTTTAAACATTTATTCTGACAATTTTTTTTATCTTTATTACTTATTTAGAATGTATTTTCCACACGATTTGGTTAGAGACTGTTCTGTGTTGCATAAAAAAAACAGAACTTTGTAAAAATACTCAATTCAGATCTAATAAAAATGTTCTTTTTATTCTGATATAATTCTTTTCGCGTAATTATCTTTTAAGTTTTTAACGCATGTATGTTTTCAGTTTTACTCAACAATTGTTGTGTCAACAGTCAACATGTTAGTTTACTAAACTTCGAGTCTAAAACTAAAAGACTTAAAAAATGAGAATTGTGATCGAACATTAAAATCAAATAACAGATCAGTGCTTGTATATTTTTTATTTTAAAATTTTCCCTGATGTTTAAATTTTATTTTTTATGAAAATAAAAAAAAAGATTTTACAAGCTAGTTGAAATGTAATCAGTTGTATTCACTATTTACTTCTTGTTTATTAGTTTTTATGGATGATCATAGGGATCATATATTCATTGATTCGATTTAAAGTACTTTCAGTAATAATTTCAGGGCTATCAATCTGAAAATAAACGAATTTTTAAGTTTATAAGTTGCATTATTTCTTTTGTTGAAAATAATGAAAGATTGAGGACTCTAAAATACATAAAGGATCGAGGACACTAAAAAATACATCATGGAACTAATAAGTAAAAAAAAAAAATTCGAAATCAGTCATTTATGCACTCAACTCAATACTTACGTTTTTTTTTTTTTACAATGGATTGTTACAAACAAATGTTAGTAAGCCTTAAACCTTTCCATCATTTGCAAAGAAAGTTTAAGAAATATTTCAATTTAATACTTATTTAAAAGATTTCACAAAATCAAATCCAGCTCTAAAATAAAAATACTTAGTTATTTTTTTAAAAAAAGGAATAGGCTTTTCATTTATAAAAGGAGAGGTTACAACACTTGGTAAGTTTGGAAAATATTTTTTAAGATGTGTTCAAATGTTCTCAGCAACGTCGTTTTAAAAATTTAAGAGAATCAGTTTTTCGTTTGAAACTTTTTCACAAACATCGGATAGTTATATTATCAAATTTCCGCTTAATAAAAAAAAAATCAGAAGTTTGGTTGTCCTGTCTGCTTTAATATTTGTTAGTGCTTAAAATGTGATGAATTCCTTTAGTCTACTGTAGTTGTGATTTTCTAAGAGCAGAGGACCTTGTAAGGATCAAACTTGTTACTCAGTCATCAACTGATCTCTAACAAGACCAGCTTGCTAACCATTACACCACATCGAAGTGCTCAAGTCTATATGGTAGGGAATGCTGGAGGGATGAAGAGATTTGAAATGATAGATACTGATGAAAGCTATGAATATCATAAATAGAACATGTAAGCAATGAGGAAGTCTTAAAGAAAATAGGAATTACAAGGAAACTTTCTTAAAATCAGATTTCTGATGAGGAAAGAGGGCCTATAATTTAGGAACACACACAAGATATCTTGAAAGTAAGAGAAACTGGTGGAAACAGTGGGTAACCTATTTAATAAATATGCATGAATAGGGACCAAAACCTAGTAAAGGGCCAAAAGTTACTTAGAGCAATAAAAACTAGAAACTTGTGGAGAGCCATGATCACCCACCATCTAAAGAGACATGACACATAAAAGAAGAATATTTTAAGTTTCATGCATAGTGAGGAATTTAATAACACACTGTTATCCACTGTAAACAATAAAAGGACTGGGAACCTTTGTATACATTTAACAACTAAGAGTAACCTTTCAAGTTATTTAGTATAAAACAAAAGATTGTCATAATTTATATTATTATTTTAGATAATGTAAAAAAAAAAACAAACAAGGTTTATCCTGATGTGTTCAATTTTATTGTCAATCCAATAAATTGATGCAATCTTTTTTTTTTTAATCATGTCACTCAAACAAGGTAATAAAGCTACTAAGGCACAAGGGGTTACTGAGTGTAAGAGAATATAAGAAAAAGAAAACATTATTAAGGAGAGAGAACAATAAAAGAACAGGAATTAAGAAACAGAAGATAATGATTGACATTGCATTTAAACTTTTGAAGATCAGAGTTGAATAGAAAGCAAGAAGCCAGAAGAGAGTCCCACAAGTGAGAGAAGAAACTATTAGCATGGAATTTTGGTTATATCTAGCAATTATAAGTGTAAGATGATGAGACCTTGCCACCAATTCAGTACTTTGCATAAATTCATAAGGTCTAGATACCATAAAAGAAAGTTTATCAGAACAATTGCCATGAAAATATTTATTGAAAAGGGACTGGAAAGTTACATTATGATGATGGGAAAGTTACTGAAGCCGAGATGTCAGGTCAGGGCCAATCTATATAATCTGAAATATTTAAAATTCATTAACAAAGTTTGAACGCATATGTACATCATATCAAGTTATTCAATGGTATCATACTGGGTCGTTCCATATGGCATTTCTTGGGGACAATTGGGGTTACTTGGTAATTCTCCCCCTCAAGTAATATTCAACAGGTTTTACTGGATTACAGTGAATGTATATATTTTGTAAAAAAAACAAAAACAATTAAAAATTTTAAGAATTATTTGAATATGCATAATATTTTATTCATATTTATTCATATACTTACTTATGACTGTTTAACTCTTATTCTTGAAGAATAATTCAAATCAGTAAATAAACTTGTTAGATGCATCAGTCTACATGCTTCATCAGTTAGTCTAACTTGAAATAACTTTCAGATTAGCATTTGCTTATGTTAATTTTTTTAATCTATATAGCATTAATTTAATATGAAAGAGAAGAAATTTTTTTCTTTGTATTAAGTTAACTCGTTCTTTGTATATCTCAGGAATTGTGCCTGTTAAAATTTGAAGGTAACTGACATCTGAAAATTGTATTCATTGACAGAGATAAGAAATGAACATAGAGTCATGCCCATATTGTTATCCTGTACTGGTTTCATATAGCATGAATTTCTATCAAATGTTTGTCAGTAATATTACAATAGAAAAAGTAAGGTTTCAAATGGTACTCACAAGAAGAAAATCCACATTAATTAAGAAACAGAACCATCTACTTTGAGCCTATTAAAATGATTAGGTGTCCTTTACTGTTATTTAAAGAAAGCTAATGCAAAAGATACAACAGTTTATTTAATTTCATAAATGTTTCCATTATTTTTCTTGTATTATAATCACCTTTTTACCAGGCTTTACATAAAACTAATACAAATGATAGCATCAAGATGACAGAAAGCAACATTAAGATGTTTATAGCATCACTTAAATGAAACTTCTAAAAGATCTATTAATATATTCCATGCAAAATGAATAATAAGCCAACAAAAATGTGTACCTGCTTAATCTGCCTATATAGCTCAACATTAATAATTTATAAAAAAATACTTCCATTTTAATGTGTTTGAAATAAATTGATTTTTCATTTATTTTCATCAATTAGGTTGACAGACATTGGCCAAGATGGAAGGAGGTGAAGTGTTTCATATTGGGGGGCATAAAGTTATGTTTCCTTTCAAACCATATCCTACACAATTTGATATGATGAGTAAAGTGAGTATTTTATCAATTACTAATACATTTACTCAACATCTCTTGAGTGAACTATTAGATTTTTAAAATAATTTTGTATTTGATTCCCTATGATTTCTTGTGTTAAATTATAAATGCAATGTAAACATTTAAGTATTTGATACATAGATTTACTTTCAAAAAATTATGTCAAGCAAAAATTAATTGCAAATTCATATGAAAACTTTCAATTAAATATTGATGCTATTAATAGTAATACAGTATTTTAATATTTCAAATATTAGTTAAACAGATTTTCCTAATCCTTATTTCTTTTCTTGAAAATTACAGATTTTGAGGGGATTGGATAAAAGACAGAACTGTCTCTTAGAAAGTCCAACAGGAAGTGGGAAAACTTTGGCCTTGCTCTGTTCAAGTTTGGCTTGGCAGCAAACAGAATATGGTAAAGATTATTCTGTCTAAATCTTTAAATATTTTCTTTCATAAATTAGAAATAAACTCCTGCTATAATGTTACATTTACTTGATTATCTACCACCTTTTCTTATATATATACATATATATATTTATGTCATTCACAGACAGTACTGTTTTGCTGTATAACAGCTCCTCAGTGCGACTAGACAAGCAAATGCCTCAAGCCCAGATCGAAATCCAACCGATTTGGAGTCAGTCATAGCTTCTACCACTGAGCCATCTGTACTTGACAGAATGAGTCAGCCAAATCCAGCATATATTGTTTTTTTTTGTTTTTTTTTCTACAAACGTAAACAAATGTCAAGCAGCCATAGTGCTGCATTCATTTTACTGAAGGGCTTCGCATTTACACAGGTGACTGTTGTTTTTAGAATTAGTTTCTGATTCCACAGTGCTCAATTGAAAGTATATTTTCAAGAACTAAATTTTATATATTTATATATATAAATAGATTTTTATTAATCTGACAGATTTTTAGTGGATACTCATATTTGTGTAGGCACTTGGTTTATTTATTAAGCTGTATATTTATTTATTTTTGCCTATTGGCCTGAATGCTTGAGAAATTTTATTAAAGAAAAACTTGCACTTGCCAGCAGGATGTGAACCTGCATCCTCCAGGGCATTAGGGAGCTACCATTAAGCCAAGTGCACTCTAGCCAACTTATCCACAGAGAACAATCAGTCAGGCAAAGTTAAATTTTGTGCCTTTGAAGAAAATTTCTTTTGTCATAGATCTTTCAAAATTTTTCATATCTGCACAGTTTTGTATCCAAACGTAAACAAAGAGAATTTTAGAATGGATATTCTATTGATCCAACAGAGTTTTATCACTTTAAACATTATTTTTAGTAGATGCTCATATTTGAGTAGGTGCTCCATTTATTTATTAAATAGTATATTTATTTATTTTCGTCTACTGGCCTGAATATTTGAGAAATCTTATTTAAGAAAACTTATGATCTCTGTCAAGTAGCAAATATGTGTAGCCACTAAAAATCATGTTTAAAGTGATAAAAATATATATCTACATGCATGCATGTGTAAGTGTATTTATTTATTTATATCAGCTATTTTTTTTCAGTCCACTATAGAATCTAGATCTTCCTTATGTTTGTCAGATATAGAGAGTAATGACCCTTATCCTGCTACACTAACTCATTAGTAGAGGGGTAAATCACAGATCTATCTTTTTCTTAAACTGCCTTACCCAATGGCATTTGTTTGAAATGAATGCAATAGCTTCAATTGGAATTTGAACAGAGCCTGCTAATAACTGCTATGTCATCTACACATCTGTGTATTCAGAGAACTCCAAGATGGTGGAAGACATTGATTGAAAGAACTGTAAAAGTAATTTGTACTGCATCCAGTAACTTATTCTTTTTTTTATTTCTGATTCATGGTACTTAAGCATCCATTTTGTAGGTGTACATGGGCATAATTGGTGTTAGCCTTGAGTAGCTCAACCTTGTCTATCAGTGGCTCAAACTTTGGCGTACATGATGCCTCATCAAAACACTTTCGGTTTGAGACAACCATGAAGGGAGCAAATACCCATCATCTGTTCTCCATTGGTCATGAAACATTCCCTCATGTGGGGTTTCATTAGTAATGATACACAGCATGTGCTTGATGCAATGAAGAGCCTGGGGATGTACTGTCCACCACATGGGGGCCTGGAGACCTCTTGAATGCAGAGCCAAATTATCCAATTGTAATGTTCTACTAGACTTCCCACATGGATTATTAACAGTGGAATGATTCCTAGCCATACTTTGTGCTTTCAAAAATGAGGTGAGTTCTTTAGAAAGAAATGACTGGCCTCTGTCAGAATGAGTATACGCTGGTATTCCAAATAGGCAGAAAATATTTTGAAAACAGTAAATAACTGTTTGAGAGGTCAAGTCCTTGCAGGGAAACGGAAATCTGCTAAATTCATCGATTACGGTTAACATATACTGATTTTTATTATTTGTTAGTGGGGGCCCTTTATAGTCAATGATAAGTGTTGTAACCTAGGAAAAGGTTAATGAATAAGAATAATGAAAATTAAGTTTGGAAATGAAACGATAATATTTATAACAGAAACAACGTACTAGATGTGCCAGCGGCATGTAGTAAGTAATCAACTGCTAGTGGTGAGCTAGAAGTGAATCAAAGTGAATCCCAAGTGGAAGACAACATACAGTATATACCTCTGTATTTATAGGAATTAGGACATACCCATATGGTATAACAATAAGTCTCTCAAAGGGCTACATAGTTTTTATTACATGACTTTCATCCTTGAAATAAAATTGGGGTTTTATTTCAGAGCAAACAGAACAGATTTTTGTCATTCTTTTTATGTCTTCCATTGAATAACAAAGATTTTTACTTTGTACAAAATGGGCCATACATGTTATTTCAGGCTGAGACAAGGAATCATGAATCTCTGCTAATTTGTTTGGATTAGTGACTGAGCAGTGTGATCTAGATAATGTATCAGTAGTGTAGTTTTGCTTCCCTGAATATGATATCATAAGAATAACAAGAAAGTTAAAGTGGTCATTTTATAATCTTTTCATTTTTTATTTTTCTTGCCTTTCTGTCAAACATAAAATGATACAGATTTTTGATCTGTTATTAGTTGAAAATGCTTAACCCAGAAAATAATGTCACTACTTACGTAAAGACTCTACAATAACGTACACTTCTTTTTTGAAGGACATTTTACAATCTTTTACATTCAGTGACTGTTAATGTCTTAGAAAAAAATGCTATGGGTCTGCCATTTGTAGCAATGGATTTTTCTGAGGTGTCAGTTTCAACAACAAAAGGTATATTACAGCATTTACAAGGTCTTGCTTAATATTTTTAAAAGCTTCAACAACAGAATGTTCTAGTGGAAATTTTGAAATTATTACTCATGGATAGATTTTCTGGGGAAAAATGGTATACCCACTTAGAGAAACTGATTGCTCAACATAAGGAAGCTTTGTTAGTTGGAACAGGTAAATTTAGGAGGGGCTGCAAATATTCTGGATCAGGTTTTATCGTACCACTTGAAATGGTGCAACCCAGAAGGTTAATAGAATTTTGACAGAATATACTTTTATCCTGAAGTATAAACTAAAGAGACTGAAAATTGCAGTCCTGTGTCAAAATCCTTAGGTTTTTGAAATTAACAGAAAGTTAATAAGCACATTTAATCTGGTTTTACTTTCAGGGCCAATAGTGTCAATAAAATTACTAAAAGTTTTAAACCAATGGTGTCATTGGTCTGCAGCATCACTCACATTAGGGTCCACCTCGAAATGACAGGGTTTCAGATATCTTTCCATAGTTCATGTTGAATAAATTGTTGTGAGCTAAGAAGAAAGCATTTAGCTATATTCAACTTAGAATGTTGTTAGGTTGTTAACAGAACTCTTTGATTTGACTACAGTTTTTATAGGTTTTGTTAGGAGTAGGATCAGTAAGCAGAGATGGTGGTGAGTGTAGCATAGTTGTCGTCACAACAATCATTTGGGAGTGAAGATCCAATCTCAAGTTGTGTACTGGCCTTACAGCCATATCACATTAAAACACCAATTCTTGAATGATCACTAACATTAACAATGTCAAGCCTGGTCAGTACCTAGCTGGGTGACTACTTGGAAATACCAGGTGCTGTAAGTTTGGATGTCTGGGTGGTGTTATGGTTAACTGATCAGAGTTGTAAATTAGAAAGCAGAGTTCCAATTCCAGTAGGGTTTGTTATATTCACTTACATACAAACACCCTTTAGGAAAAGGTATAAATCCACCTCTTCTCCTCCTAACTATGAGTAGGACTAGTATCAGTAAATCATTATTTTCTACAAAACATTCTTATGCTCTAAAAATATTTTGTGGTTTAATCTGCAAAAGGTTGATAAGCTGTAAAAAAACAAATCAATCAAGGCATGTAATTGCCTCTCCAAGTGCAGCATTCCTGTATTGCCATTACATCATTTTAGATGCAATTTTCTTTTTTCCTAACTTTTGCTTCACATGAAAGAAAATCACACTGCCCTGTCCTGCCCTGCCCTTTAATAACAACACCTGAAATCAAGTTTGAATTACTGTTTCAATGTTTTTTTTCCATCTCCAATCAATTCTTCTCTGGCTGAAGATCTGGTTCAAACTGTGCTTATCTATGGATTTTTTGCATGTATTTTATGAACATTAAGCATGAATCAGAAATAAAAAAATAAGCCACTGGATGCATTACAAATTTATTTCATTTAACATGGCTGGTAGCAATTCAGAAAATTAGATGTAGATGGAAGTTCTGCCCTCATAATTTTGATATATTTATTGCCAGTCTTAGTGCTGAGTGTATTTAGTTCAAATAAGAAATGATTTGGAAGAAATACAACACAAATTAACTAATGACTCTACAGTAGCCAAATATGTGTTTTGAATGTGATTTTCATATTAGGATCAACAGAAGCAGTAATCATTAATAATATAAGCAGAAAAGGAGTTATATATTTTTATTATATATTATTTTTTTTCTTTTCAGCAAAATTAGAATCTGAAATAGATGAGCAGAAAAACTGTAAGTGTTATTTTTGTTAATATTTGTTGTTGAAACCACTGACACCTCCTTTTTGATACAGTTAACCATGAAATTCTTGGAACCAATGTGTTTATTTGCTGCCTTTTTAACTAACTTTTCATTTTTATATCTTTAGGAACTTTTATGTGATTTCAGATGAAGTCTTAGAGATTTAACTTTGTTTTCAGACAAATTAATTGGTAACTTCTTAATTTGCTGATTTATTGTTGTCTACAACAAGTAATCTGTCAGTCAGGTGTTATTTTGAAATGAAAAGAGAACTGAACAAAATATGTTAGAGAATTTTCTTTTTTTTTTAAATCAATTCTGGTTAAAATTATTTTTGTTTCTGTTAATACTGGCCACTAATGAAGATTCATTTAATCAAATTATAATTTTTAATGTATGATTTGAGACTTAAAAAGTTTCGTATTTTAGATTTGACAAATGTTTTTGAGATTTTTAGGGTATAAATAATTCTTGCTTTGCTGTGTTTTAATTTCTTGAATTCTTCAGATGTTCCATGTGAAGCCTGCCAGGAAAGTGAATCAGAAACACTTTTAAACAATAACAACAATGACCATCACAAAGAAGAACAAAAGAAAAATAACAACAGTATGTCTCTTTATTTGCATTGTTTTCTTCTTAAGCAATTTATATTCTCTAGTATATAGCTATGGAATATATAGGAATTGCCATAAAATATTTGGTGTTGTATTAAAAACTTGCTTAAAAATTATATCATTATAGGTATCTTCAATATGTTGCTAAAAAAGAGCATGCCCTGATGAAAAAATGGCTCCAAACATGATAAACAATTTTTTTATCATCTCAATGTTTATGTTAGTGTTAAAAGGAAAGACCAAAGTATTTTTTGATTGTTTTTTTTTTTAACATTTTTTTAATCCTTCCTAGCACATCCAAAAATTTTAGTTAAAAATCTTTTTTTTTTAAATCAGCAAAATTGCCATAAAATCAATCATGTCAGCCATTTTTGACAACTTTGTAAACAAAAGTGAAATTCTCCATTTAAAAATCTTGTAAAATTCAATTATACTTTTTTCAAAAGTTATTTCAGGAAAATTAGAAAATTTAAAGTTTACTTAATGTAATTGGAAGCAAACATTACTTAATTTTTTAGCAGAAAAAATTTAGTTGAAAATAAGAGAAGCATGTCTAACTGTTGTAATTGGTTTTGTGGGTGTGAATTGATGTTTACATCGAGGCAATTTTTTAGATGGAAGGACAGAAGTGACAGTTATTTTCGAACTTTAAGTGAACCAGCTTATATCTGTCTATAGATGGGATGAGGTACTATGATTATTTACATTATTTAGACTTATCCTCATCTTCATTGGCATATTCACCATGTTTCAGCTGTTGTATGCTCCAGCTTTCTTCAGGTATTTGGAATTTCAAACTGGACCCTTTATTTCGTCCACTGGGGCCGATTGTTCTAGTTCCATGTGTCATGTCTCTTCCAGATGTCTTATTTCTCTTTCACGCAACTCTCCATGTCTTTTGGTTCACCACTGCTGTAGCTTGGTATTGAACTCACAACTCTTTGAGTCTAGTCACTGGATCTAACCACCTTTATCCACTTTCAAAAGTCTTATATTTTATTGTTTTTTTTAGGTACTTTTTTTAACGAAGATATATCCGTAAAATTGAATCTAACAAAAAAATAATTAATAATTGCAGTATGTCACTAACTGAAAAACAATAAATTAATTATATTTAAAAAATAAAATTAAAATATTTAGTAAAATAGAATGTAAAAAAGAAAATTAAAAATTTTGAAAATGTGACGATAATGGTCAGTCAGAGAATTTGATACATGCTAGCCAGAAGGAAAGCAAAGCAATTTCTTAAAGCTTTTCTCTTAAAACATGTGACCTATTATTTATGAACTATGTATCCATAGTTTGGGAGAAAATGTTTTTAATACATTTTTTGCATATTAAAAAATATTTTAAAGATATTATTGTGTCACAGATTGTAATAAGCTTTCAAATTTATGATCTGTAAAAATAGATCTTTTTAATAATAACATTTCCAAAAATATGAGGATTCAAACTTAATTTTAAATTATTTAACAAATTTATCACATTTTGTATTTAAAATTGGAAAAAAAGAAAACAATTCTTGTAAAAATATTTGGGCTTCAGACATAGTGTCTTTAATATATATTTGTAAAATTCGTTAAAAGCTTTTTTAATTAAATAATGTTTTAGTTTTATTGGGTTTTGTATTTTACAATTTGGAGTTGAATTTAGTGTAACATCAGGTTGAAATTTACTAAAAAAAAAAATTGATTTATATTCTTCAAAGTCTTCAGCTTTTAACTAATATAATCTCAAAACTACACAGAAGTCAGATTTTTGAGTTTATAAAATTAAGTAAAGTGGTGTAACAGATATAAAAAAAATATTTTTATCATGACTTTCTAAAAAACAAACATTTTTAAAATAATTTCATTCATTTGCAAATAAGTTTTTGAAAGTTTCACTAAAATTCAGCAATTATTTGACTTTTGCAAGAATTTTCAAATTAATGTGTTTTTCAACTGAAAAAAGACACTAAAAAACTAATGGTAAATATTACGTGACTGCTGATGTTAAAAAAACAAAACAAAAAAAAAACAAGATTTTTAACCAAAATTTTGAACGTGCTAGAAAGGATTAAAAAATTTTTAAAAATAATTAAAAAATACTTTGGTCTTTCCTCTTAGCATATCATTTTTATCATTAAAAAACAATATTATAAAAGATCTTGAGAGATCAGTTTATTATGTTATGATAGCAGAAAAGCCTAGCTCAATATGTTGATATATATATATATATATATATATATATATATATATATATATATATATATATATATATATCATCAACACAATATTACCATTAGTGATAAATTTGAAATCAATTTCAAATAAAGTAATAATCCCACATTGCATAAATAAGATCGGATCAATCTGACATGTTTCTGAATTTTTATTTGAAATTTTCACTTTATACTGATTAATCTGTTATAAATATTTGCCACTAATTTAAGTGCATTCATAATGGTAAAGCTGTTTCCTTATAAAGAAATGTCCTTGGTAAGGCCATTTCCTTATATAGAAACGTTTGATATTCATTGACCAAGCAGCTTTATAAAATTTTTCTCTTAAAACAATTTTTCAGAAAAATAGCTTTCTCAGGTCTAGTAGTTATTATTGCTCTTTCCAGTATTGATGGGGGTTTCCTTCCTAATTGTTGGTTCCAATTCCATTTAGGAATGACTGCAAAAATCTTGCCCCTCCCCAATTTATAAGCAGAAACACACAAATGCATGCTGGGATTTTTTCCTAGTCAATAAATAGGCTAGTTCTCGGTTTCCTCTGACTCAGTCCTGGTCTGTCTTGACTTGAAGTCAGAATGTTATGTTCATTTGTTCAAACTTGCTTTTGCCTTGCATATATTGTTTGCTTGCTTTATATTATATTTTGCCTTATTCTTTTCTTTTTCTTGTTATTGTTTATTGCAAACTTTGTCAGTTCTGTTTGCTGGATAGTTACTTATTTTGCACTTGACCATGGCTACTCTCCATACTAATCTTTTATTTGAAGTAGTATAGAACATCAACATCTTCATTATGTCATTATTTTCTCTTTGAGTTACACATGATATTATTTTAGGTGTTATGCTTGTTGAAAGTCCTCAGTTGATATGGTTTCTGTTATTTGGTACAGTTCTTTGTTTGTGATTCTGTAGCGCCAGTCCACAAGGTTTGAAGAATTATTGTCTTTGTCAAAATCCGCTGGCTTTACTTGCACAAAGTTATTTTTAAGCATTAATGTTAGAAATCAGTTGTATACAGCTGATAGTTTAGATATTTCTGAACAAGTTTGGAGCCATGCCTGACATTCATATGAAAGTCTTGATCTGACAAGGCTATTTAAGAATATGACTTGAGTTTTCAGATTAATGTTTTGGCTTTGTAGCAATTTGCTGTGTTGGGTGAAACTACCTTAAACACAACCTATTCTATGTTCAATTTCTTTATCACATATTAAATTTCTTGTCACATAACTGATCCATACACCATGTTATTTGAAGTGTTTGGTATTTACTAATTCCACATCCTGAATTTTTATGATGGATTCAGGGTAGGTGTCATCACTGCTTTTATTCCAATTCTAGATCATTGTTTCTGTTTTGGAAGGGTTTATTTTGAGTCTTATTTCTTTGAACACTTGGTAGAGGTTGTTGACTATGGATATCTGTCATCAGCATAGCCATCCCCCTCATCATCAGTACATTGGTCTCAAGAGGGAAAGCAGAATTGCTCTCTTCTGTTAGTTGATTTGTAAATGTGGTAAATGATGTGCTTAAATGATCAGTTCCCATCTCTTCTCATTAAAGGGGATTATGTTGAAAAATATGTTTTGTGTAAAATAAGTTCTCTTTTCATCATTAGCCTATAGATGTTTATGGACCTGTGTATGTTGTGGGGCTGATAAGGATGTCAACCCCACAAGCTGGTTTATGCTGAAGAAAGGTGTGAACAGCCAAGACAATGAGGAGACAAAGGCACAGGGTTATATTTAGCAAAAACATCAGTTTTCTTACACCAAAACAATGTGTGTTTTTATAATGAAACAGAAAAGGATTGTTCCATGAGGAATGTTTGGATTGTAGTCAGATCTGGGTAGTCTGGTTTGGTAACCTGGGAGGTCATTGGTTGGCAAGTTGGTTGTTGGTTAGATGGCAGGTCAGGCTTCAAGGTCAGGTAAACATGACTGTTGGCTAAGGCAGGCAGGACAAGAAAAGGTTCTGGAACCAAAACAACAAAGTTTTGTAGCTTGGAGAGAATAAAGCCTTTTTGTGAGTGTTACGTGTTGATAATTGTAACAAAGGAAAAAAAAAATGATTTACCACAACACAGAGCTAAATCACAAACAAATATTTAATTTAATAAAACAGAACATAAAATATATACAGGATAAACAATTGTGGCCTACAAAACAGAAAACACAGAGTTACTGGCAAGTGTTACGAGGAAGAAGGAAAGGGAGTCAAATCTAAGTGCTACACGTATTTGGAAATCCACAAAGGTGTGTAAATAAATATTAATTTTTAGTTTGGTCAATGAAAATTAGTCAAAATTCTATTTACCAAATTTGTTCCATGAAATTCTCTTTTGGGTTTTGGTTAGTCGGCAACTTTTTATAGAGATTCTTGCGGCTGGATATAATAGTCCTTGAATCAAAAGCCGGAGTTGATACTGACAGCAATTTGTTTTCACCAACTGACAACCCTTTTCCAAAATCCCATTTTTATAGGGGCTAACACCTAATTTGCATATTTCTAGATGTTTCTCGAATCATCTAGATTTTTCTTGAATATACTAGAATGATCTAGAATCTTCCAAACATTCTATTTCTAATTTCTCTATTTTACAACTACTTCATGAATGAAAACTTTTTTGTAATAACAAGTAGAACTCAGTGGAATCCCCTTATTATAGAAATGCATCCTCGTAACAGTGAGAGTCTCTCCCAAGAACTTGGTTGTGGGGTTCACGGATGACGGGACCAGCAAGAACATATTAGTGACAGGAAGCTGGAATGGTTGCCACCTGGCTGTTTGCTTTGATGATTCAGGTGAATCCTTGGAAATATTCCAACTCACAGGTGGAAACCTCCTCCCTAAACAAGGCTGAGTTGGTGAGAAAATACTAACTTCAGTGGTGAATCAACTGTGGAAAGCAGAATCTCACTGAAGAGTATCACTCAGCAGGACACTGGGAAGATCAAAAGTGGATATTAAGATACTACACTGCCAATCTTAGTCCCCGAACTGAGAAGGTCATTTTTCTTAAAAAGAGATCAAATTTATGCCACTTCGTGTGTTCATCTACTCCCTGGCTACTAGGAGTATTAAGTGCTAAATATAAAAATATCCTGATAGTTGTTTAATTGCTAGTTAACATTTCATATTCAACATGCTTAAAGGTATGTTTTTAACTCTAAACATATCCTGATAGTTGTTTTAATTACCATTTATATATTAACATTTATATGTTAACATTTCCTTATACAACATCTACTCCCTGACTGCTGATTTAGTTCCAGGAGTAGAAATAGCTGTGAAGGTCAAAGTCATCCTAATTGTTTTTGTTTAGGAGCAGGCAGCAGCAACTGCAATATGTACATTGAAATCTCACTGTTTAGTTTGTCATATATTTCGGGTGTTACTTTTATTAAAAGTATAGTATATTTTAGTACCAGAAAATTACAATATGTACAATAAATATGGGGAGGTTATAATTGTAAGCTAATATAAACCTGCTACTGCTTTTCTGAACACATATATTCACTAATTTGTTACTTTTAATTATAGATCCATGCTGTGTACAAGAAGTTACAAATGATGATACATCAAATGAAACCTTTACTGCTGTTTCTACACATCACATGAATAACATTTGTCCCGATGATGATGATGAAGATTTTGTTGATTTGGATCATCATTTAAAATCGCGACGAAGCAACCAGGTAGTTTTATCCAAATTTGTATGTTTGCTACTAAAATAGATAGGAATATATATATTTGGTATCAAAGGTTTTCTCATTTTGCATACCTTTTAGGTATATATGTTTTGTTGCTTTTTTTTAGAATTCATTATTCTGTAAAAGACACTGCAGTGTTGTTAATTTAATAGCTAATATTATATCTAAAACTTCAGCAAGGTAACCAATATATCATTTTACAGTAATTTTTGTTTCAGATATTGAGGCTATTTCTTTATTTCTTTAGTAATTTTCAATAAACTTAAAACTTTGTAAAATATAACAAAGTTTTTTAATAAACAACTAATTTATTATAGCATAGAAAATAAATAATCAGAAAGGTTAAAATTCAAACTGATCATTAAATTAATTCTTTACTTTTAAACTTTATTTTTCTGCTTGTTTTTACTTAAATAGAAAACAAAACTAAGTCATCCCCATGTTACCATAGCCTATGAAATGCCAGACCAACATCAACATACCCATCCTAGCTGCAGCACAACTAATAACACTCTGAATACAAGTCCTTGCAAGAAACCTGTGTCCACCACGGACAAGAAAGAATGTACGTGTCAGTGCAATGAGAATAAGGGAGGACGAACTCCCAAAAGAAAGTAAATAGGATTTTTTTTCTTTCCTTTCACTTTTTAACAAACACCCTTTTTATGTAATTTCTAGTGGATAAGTGATTATTAAACTGATTTTTTAAAAAATTGGATGAATTTGTATTTTCAAGATTTATTGTGTGTGAAATATTGTGTTTTAGAAGTTTTTTGTTTATTTATATTCAGAGTACCTATAATCTTTTTTGGGAGTCGTACACACAAACAACTGAAGCAGGTGATTAAAGAATTAAAACAGTCACAATATAAGAATGTGAAGTAAGTAAAATATTATTACAATTAGTTTTATATTTTTATTTTATAACTAGCTGAAAAATGCTTTACTTAATGTTAATTAAATATACTTGTAAATTGTTTCAAATTAATGAAGTAAAATTTCATGATAGTATGTAATTAAAAAATCAGCAGGAAATGTGACAATACAGAAGGTGTACTTTTTTTAAAAAAAAATGGATTTTAATAAACATTTCTGAATTTGCATTCTCTAAAAAAAAAGTTTGTTTTTATAGATTCAAACTTTGTTGATATATGTTTTAAAGTAATTCAATATTTTCAAAATTTCAGATAATTTTACAAATCTGATTGAAATGATTGTAATGAAATACCGACACATACTCACTTTTCACTTTTACTTTCCATTGAATGAGAATGGGTAAGAAATTAAGTAGAAAAACCTATGACTTTCATATTTGTATTGTGATTCCTATGTGAAAGTGTGGTGAAATTTCTCCTATTCTGTTTGTCATAACTAGTTAATAGCCAGTGTACTGAAATATAAATGAATTCCTTCTATATTTAATTACTTTGGATCTTACATTTAAAGTATCTCAAATCTATAGGATCATGAAAATTCTTGGATACAGTTGATTGAAGAAAGGTTATATAAATTTATGTCACTTTCTATTTTTGTTGAAAGATTATTTTTCTTTGTTATAAATTTGGACAAATCACTAATATTTATTATAGTGGGTCCTTGATTTACAACAGAGCTCTCTTCTTATGATGTGTTGTAATGCAATTTTCTGTGTAAGTTGGAATGTAATCCCAATTTTCCAGGAATATGCACTTACATCACTCACCTATGCTAATGCAATAGTAATAATCTCGGACATGACAACACATTTCTATGATATATATTAACATAATTAGGACTAAATACATGACGGACATAAATATAATACATATAATGAAATGAATAGAATACATACGCTCATATGTATTTTTCTACTTTGCCGTTTGCATCATATGTACAAAGCAAATGGCAGAAGTCGAAACAAGATTAATGAAGATTGTGTTGTAACCATGAATCATCATAGACCTGAACTGTTGTAACATGGAGACTTACTGTATTTTGTATTGACTTTTTACACCAGTAATTTCTGGTTGTTTTCACTGAGATCAAGTGATAGCAAGCAAGTCTTGCTGATTTTAGTAATGTTGCTGTCTAGATAATTTTAATTTTTTCTTGTATTTTCAGTTCTTCTCTGTTGTTGTTTTTTTTTTTTTTTTGAGTTTTTCATCACTGTGTCAAGTGCTTGAATAATTTTTTAATAAACTATCCCTGTCATAGGCCATAATTCTTTTAGTTCTCTAACAAGGTCAGATATTTTTCCTGCTGTTTACTCTTTTATTTTAGTTTTACTTTGTGGTCTGTTGAAATTGTCTCATTCACTATCTGACAGCTCTTCTTTTCTTTGTTTATGATGATTAGACTCCCTGGACTGCATTGGGTGATCTATTTAAATTTCAAAGTTCCAAAGTACTTAAACTATTTGAATGATTAGTTGTTTGTGCAGTTCTCAGTGGATGATTGTTTCTACCCATTCATGTGTCTGTTTTTGCATCCCTTGTGAACTAATTTGCTACTTGATTATTATACAATATATTATTTTATTGCAGAATGAGTGTTCTTGGTAGCAGAGACCTCATGTGTATTAATCAACGTGTAAAAAATATGTCATCTATAACCGAAGGATGTAAAAATTTACTTGAAGTAAGTTTTATTACTACGTCCGCTTTACTTCACATAATTGCTTTAGCTCATTGTTAACCAACCTTGTTTATTTTCACTTTATTATTTCATAATGTTTTAGTTGGCATGTTCTCCAATCATTTTCAGAATTTACCCAACATTTTACATTTTATGATCTGTTGACAACCAAAATGCCCAATAATTGCTGTACTTGTTAATTTTAACAGTGGTTTGTAATTACTAGCGGTTCATTGAGTTAAATCCAATTAACCCTGCGTTATTTGGCTCAGATTCCCCTAAAATGAATAGTCCCCTGACGTCTGCCTTCCACAACAACTGAGCTACAACTATGCTACACTGCATGCTACTCACCCTCACTGAGTCAGGAGAGTAGTGGAAGGGGGCAAAAGAAACAATTTGCCAACTAGGAATTATCAGGTACTTTAAAAATTTGTGGGTAATAAAACACCCTATGTGACTAATGCAAGGTTAAAGATTTTTTTATATTTTTAAAATTATATGATGTGATAAAGTATGTTAACTTAATTTTTGAATGTATATTTAACTATAAAATATATTAAAAATACCTACTAAAGTAACTTCCAATAGTATTTAAATACATGACTTAATGCATGACTTCATGTTTTCCTTTCTACTTTGTTATCTACAGTAACTAACACTCAATTCTGAATGTATCTTATTATACAAAACAAAATTTTATTTTCAATATTAACAATCAGTGCTAACATACTTTAGATTTGAAGATTTTATAATTATTATGATCAATTCCTGTGTCTGTATACTGAAGTGTAAACTTTAAAAGGTCTAATCTTAATTTGAATCAGGCAATAGCTTATCATCACCTTGTATAGATAAACTATACCTATTTTCTATATAATATTATTTTCATTTTTATGATATATAATCAATATTTGCATTTAGACAAGTGTCCTCATCTTTGTTGTTATTGTCACAACATTTTTGCTGTTGTGACCTCTGATCTTCATATTAAATAAAAGGTTCTGTTTGAAATTCCCTGAAAGATACCTGGATCAGCAGACATCTGAACAAGGCCAAGAGCACAATAGCCAAAATATTGTAATAATAACAACAAAGATAAGGACATTAGTCCAAATGTAAGTAATGATAACTCCTCATCCCAGAAATTCACATAGAAAATATATAATCAGTTTAATAAGATTTTGTTCAGTTAATTTCTTTCAGCATATCTGATATCTAATTGACTAGAAAATAAAGGCTGTATGAAAATTGATTTTTATGTATGACTTATTTAAAGCAATTTTTTTTAGTATTTAAGTTTATGGCATGTTCATTTATAATATTAACTTAATTTAGATATATACAGTTATAAATATACAAATCATAAATGAGAAAACTTTTTTTCTAACATTCAACATTTACTTTGCTTTTATTTATTTTCCAGACAGACTTTTGCCGTTTTCACCACAAGTTAAAGAAGTTTTGTACACAAAGGGATATAAAAAATGCTGGCCTCACTGAAGCTTGGGATATTGAAGATCTTTTGAAAGTTTGCCGTAAAAATTCAGTATGATTTATAGTTTTTAAATTCATTTTGTGATGCAATCAAAGTTATGAAAATTTGTTTAATAATTTCATTTGACTCAAGAAAATTTCAGTAAGTCCTGTTTCAAAATAATACCTCAAAATTACCAGAATCTCAATACTTGCATGCACCATTATAACATCTGAAACAAAAAGTACAGCTGAATAGTACTGATAATGATATATATATTGACACGACACTGAGGTGAACATCAAGAGGTGACAGTCTGTTTCATGCTTGAGCGCAATCTTCAGGCCATATGTATTGTGTGTTAGCTTGACTATTTATATATCAGTGGAGCATTATGGGTAGCAAGGTCAGATATTTCCAGTCTATTGCATTATCCTAACAGTTGTTGGGCAGGTGGTAATGGTTATATTTCATATTATTCTAAAGGCTATTGAGTAGAAATAATTGTCGCCTCTTCATGTTGACCTCAGTGTCACATTTATATTTACATATGCTCTATCCCTGATATTGAGCACTTTTACCCATAAATATATCATATAAATCTTCATTGTTAAATATTAAAATATATTGCCTCAAGAAGAAACAAAATTATCTTTCATTCAGATTGGATTTTTTAAATTATTTTTTGAATTTTTTTTTTTTTTCAGGCCGTATGGCAGATTTTTGTAAAACCTTTTATGAAGAAGCATTGAAAAGTTCTCAGCCTAACCTCACTTCCCAAAATCAATATTACAATGACTAAACATTAAAATATTAATTTGGGCAAGTTTTGTCAAACTGAGAAATTTTCAGTAACCTCTCATTTTGATCATTCACTAAGCTAAAACCTAAATTTAGTTATTACTGTTATTTGGGAGTTAAATATTTTTGATATATGAAGAATTGTTATTTTGTAGTGAGCTTCTTTTTGTATTTGAAAATTAAGACCTATTTTTATGTACTTGGCTGATATAATACTGAAAAAAATTGAAAGGATTTTCTACATAAGATAAAGTATTGTGTAATTTTATAATAAATCTCTTCTCTGAGTGAATTACATGATTTTATCCTTTATATATTTTAAATTTTGCAAGCTAGATATTTCAGTAAACAATATGAGTCTCAGCATTACAATTAGAAAAAATATTAAACTTGTAGATTCAAATCAGCCTTTGTCAAGTGTTTTCAACGGTTGATGTCTTCTTATCAGGATATAGATTATAATATTTTATTTTTAAGACATGTACTGTTGGTCATTGTTTTAAAATACATCCTTCAAAAAGTGTGAAATATTTATATGAGCTAATAAAGTAATTTAAAAACAAACTTATTATTTTAAATTAGGGTTTGGTTTTAAGTAAATTACTGTATATTGTTGCTTATAAGATACATCTTTTCCTATAAAATATCTCTCAAAACTACACAGTGTCCTATAAATTGAAGGTTGGTGATGTGGAGTTATAAGTTTGGACTGTTGGGGTGAGCTTCCACTACCCAGTTACATCCAATTCTGAGCCCTCAAAAGTAAAGCAAGTCCAGTGTTCCAAAATTAATGTTCTGAGAGAAACTATGCAGTTAGGATTCATGGATATTGACAAATTAAATTTCCACTACAGTAATACCTGCTTAAGTAACACCTTATTTTTTATTTTTTAAACTACTTGTCACAAAGCAGCATCACTTTAAGAATAATACTATTGTTTTTTTACTATGCTTTCTTTAGCACATGCTGGGTATTTTTGCTTGATTAATGCTTGTGATAAACTTGTCAAGATTACTGGTAATGAGGATTTCAAGCTATAATACTGGTATAAGGATTCAGCAGTGTGGTAAACACTATCATATGTTTTAACCTACACATAAATCAGACTTAACCTTATTTCTGTATTCAAATTTACACGTATCTAATTTAAAATTAATGCTCCATCCAGATTTGTGAGGATTTCAGGCTGCAATAAGGTTAAGTTTCAGTGGTATTATGCACTCTGACTTCTCTTCCAATTATTACATTCTAAATAGTTACCATAAATGTGGTACTTCTCAGTTGGTAATGAATTTTGTCATTAGTTAGGTTTTCATGCTAAAATATGCTATTCATTAGGTACAATTGGGGATAGTAAGAAGTGCTATGACGAATAAAGAAAAAAACTTTTTTAATTTCTTCAAAATTATTGTGGGGGGCGTCTAATATATTGGAGCATCTTATAAACAGTAAAATATGGTATGTTATAGGTTTTATTATAAGGATTTTAAAATACCAAATTGCTTTGACATGTTTATTAAAAATATAAATAAAAATCTCCCTGAAAGCTTTTTTTTTCTCTTTTTTTTTTTTACATAAATGAAAATATAATAAAGCCATAAATTACTTGCATTAAATTCCAACTTTTTAAAATCTGTACTTTAATTTAGGATTTCCTGTATTACTGTTCAGAAGTTGGTTTTATTAAAACACACACACACACACACACACACACACACACACACACATGGGGGATACTGATTGATCTATTTCCCAAAATATGGATTCCCATTTTCATTGAACTTTTCATCAAGTTTGACTATTTCCTCATGTTACCTATGAAATACAGTGTTGGGCGGGTAGGACCTTTGGTTAATATATAATAGCTTTCAAGTTTGTTGTAATGTACATATCTGACCTATAGCTCATACAGTCTAGACCTGAATTTGGCTATAAAACTCCTAAAAAACATTCCTTGAGGCTGAGCACTGATAATTAAAAAAATTGCCAAAAACTTGTTGAAAATAATGATTGATCAGGTAACATGTAATATTTTAACTACTCCTAAATTTTCTGAGCACACGCACTTATATATAATATATATATGTATGTATGAATGTTAAAAAGTATTTACCCTAAAATTAATGAGTTTGAAAAAGTTTTATTCACCATTTGGAAAGAATATTTTTTTAGATATTAATTAAATACATTGGATTTTATACAAATTATGAAATTTTCTTGATATGATTTATTATTCACTGATGAAATTCTATTTTCTTCTTTATGTAGATTTCTGCCTGTCCTTATTTTCTTTCCCGGTCACTGCTGTCACAGTCAAATATCATTTTTTGTCCATATAACTATTTCATTGACCCTATCATACGACAGAATGTAAGTATATAAAAAATATTCACTCTTTGTATTGATGTCTTTTGATGTTAGAATACCTAAAGGATCTTTCATTTAAATGTACATTTCTGTTCTGTTTAAAAATAGGGTATAGCATCCGCTAAAAATAACGTTTGAAGTAATAAAAATCCTTAATTCTTTAAAAATTGTTTCGTTTATGTTTTGGATATGAAATTGAGCATATATGGGCTTTATGAATAAGGGTATCTGCATTAAATAAAAAGGAAAATATAACCTTGCTGCTTTGTAGCTATAAGAGAGTGTTACAACCCAGCAAGGTTTTATTTACCCTTTTTATTTATATTTTATATATATATATATATATATATATATTAAACTCCAAATCATTCCACTTGCCAAATTTCTGATGAAGCTAAATAAAATAAATAACAAAACATCAAATTTATAATTTTTTCATACTTCTCTTAAGTGTGTGTGTGCTACACCAAGTGTATTAGTAATTTTTTTGTAATGTTTATAGCTCTTTGCTATACTACAGTTATCTTGCTTGTACCATGGGCACTTCTAAGCAGTGTAATGGTTAGCAAGCTTGTCTCACTAGAATGACTGAGTATTGAGTTCAATCCTCACTGAGTGCCCCTACTTTCGGCCTTGTGCCACATCTAAACTATGCTTGGAAAATCACTATCTTGCTTGTATCATAAACACCGGGTAACAGTACTATGACAATAGAGATAAACATTAGGGAATTTCAAACTGAACCTATGAGACAGTAACCTAATGAATTAAAGCATTGGTTCATGTCTTTGGTGACATAGTAAATTTGAGTTCAATCCCTGTGCCAGATAGTACAGACTTAGACCCAGTGGGAATAGGGGGAGCAATAAGAGAGAAGTATTAAATAAGAACCAAATAAGATATCCCAAGATATGGACAGTGTAAAGGAAAGTAGAAAGAAAGAAATATCAATTATAAGAAGACAGAATGTATGGTCTTTAATAATAGATACAATCGAAGATGCAAGCTAGATGCAGTTGGAGATGTCATAAAATAATGCAGAATTTTATCTAGGAAGTGTTTCAATAGTTGATGGAAAATGTGTCAGAGCAAACAAAAGCTTCATTGGAAGAGTAAAATATGTTTCCCAAAAGCTAAACAAAATATTAAAACAAGAAAATATTGTTAAAAATAATGAAAAGACTTCTGAACTGCTCTGTAATATCACTCCTCATATATGGTCATGAATACTGAACAATTTTCTCACAGTTGAAAAGGAAACGAGGCAACAGAGATGTGGTTCTACAGAAAGATACTAGAACATATAAACAACAATGAAATTTTAAGAAATGAAAAGGACCCTTGCACTTAGAATCAGAAAGAAATAATTGAAATTTATGTAACACATAGTGAGGATAGAGAGCTTAGAGAATTTGATATTCACAGGACATTGAAGTGAAGAAGAAAAAGTGATTTACCTAGCAAATGTGTATAAGTGGATGGCAGAACATGGACTGGGGGGAATAGCAAAAGAACAAACATTGGTTAGAGATACAAAGAATAGGACGCTGTAGAGAGCTATGGTTGCTGACATCCTATAGGGACACAGCGTATAAAAGAAGTAGATATGAATTAAAAAAAATAACTTGTAGAAAAAGGAGGATTATTTTTTACAAGGAATACTGATTTTCATTAAGTTCTTCATATTGAAGAATATTCATTTTTTTGTTTTTCAAGATTATAAATTTATAAATGGATTGACCATTATTTAAAATCTTTTTTTTTGTACTATAAGAACTTTTGACTTGAAATTATTCCTAAATTATTTCATCAGTTTCTCTATTAGATAACCTGATGGAAATGTTAATGTTCTTTGTACAGCCAACATTCTTCTGACTAGTCTGACATATACTAACAGAAAGGCTTGATGGCAAACATATATATGGGATGCTTTGAGGAAGTGGCTTTAGGAACAGCACCACTAAAGCTATCAGTATGGCTAAGATACATAGATGAGACCTTTCATACTTTGGCCTTACCATGAATCTGTGCAAATACTGCTGGAACATGTGAACTTAATAAAACCTTTGATCCAATTCGCAATAGAAAAAGAAACTAGTAATCAACAAGCCTTGTATGTACTAATAACTCACACAGAGAATGAGTTCAAAGCATCTGTATATTACAAACCAACCAAAGTTCACTGGACATAACTCAACTTCAAATCCTACCATACATGCAGTGTAAAAAAAAGAGATTATCTAATGCTTACAACACCTTACAAAAATCATATAAGTGGTGACACAGACACATACCAACAAAAAATGATCATCATTGAACATAACTTTCAAAATAACAATTACCTTGCAAACATAACATCATCTTCTGCAGGAGGAAACTGATTGCCACAGTCTGTGTTCCTTATGTTAAGGTATTATTGGAAAAGATTCAGATGATCTGTAGTCTATACAGCATCAGAACAATATTTACAAGGAGCTCCATCCTACAGATAAATCTCTGCTGGGTTAGACCTATGACAGAGGAGAACATGACCAAGAACTGTGTGGATGTCATTCCTTGCAGTTGTGGCAAAAAATATGAAAGAGAAACTAGCCAGCCCCTAAAAGTAAGGCTGGAGAAACATTAAAAATCCATAATTAAGGAGTGAGAGAAATCAAAAAGTACTGATCATGTATAGAGAGAGAAGAGTAGTCATCAACTCCTGTGGAATGAAGTAAAAATGCTGTACAGATGAACATTTGAGAGTAAAATGTCTGAAAGAATCAGTGCATATGCTAGGCTATGTGGACCTCCTTATTAGGCCTAGCAGAGAAATAAATATGATATGGGCACTATTAATAATTAAAGAAAGAGAAGTAACAGCAAGGCTTCAACAGCAGCTGCAATAAAAAGTGAAACATTGGTGAGTGCAGTTAAGCTTGACAAGTAGCAGCAGCATTCATCAGGAGGTAGGTTAGGTTTAAAGTTTTCTTCACTTAGGTCTTCACTCAAAATTGTCCCACAAGACACTTGTTGATTAGTGTTGATTCGTAAATTTGGTGACATAGTAATTGTGAGCCAGGTAGTATGCACTTGGACTCAGTGGAACTGGACAAGCAATGATTAAGCAGTATTAAATAAGAACTAGATGAGATATCCCTGGACATGGACAGCTGAATGATAACAATCTACCTTGTAGAGTAAATTATGGGTTCACTTCGAAATTCCATGAAGCTTACTCAGATTGACAGTCACCTGATGATGGCTGGATAACAACAACAAAGATGGAGACAATATTCAGTGTATAAATAATAACAACTCATCCCAGAAATTTGGACAGAAAAGTCCACTGTCTGCTATTTGTACATTGGCTTTTTTTTTTTTTTCACCACAAGAAAGGCAATAAAACCACTATGGGACAAAAGGTTACTGAGTGTTAGAGAATATGAGAAAAAAAATCACTACTAAGGAAAGAGAACAATAAAAGAAAGGAATTAAGAAGACAGAAGATAATGATTAACATTGCATCTAAATTTTTGAAGACAAAAGTTGACTGGGAAGCAATAAGCCAGAAGAGATTTCCACAAGCAAGAAGTGTGCTAGAAGAAGCTGTTAGCATAGAACTTACGGTTCCTACTATGCCATTAAAAAAGGATGAAATCCTGCCACCAATCTAGTACTATGTTTAAATTTATAAAGTCTATGTACCATATAAGAAAGTCCATTAGAACAATTACCATGAATGTACTTATTATAAAAAATAGCTTTTGAAATAGACTTCTGGCTAGAAAACATTGTTTATTTTTCCTAGTTTAAATTCTTGAGGGATGGAAGTAACTGGTATTTTTCTTCCCTTCATAGATATTTCATAATAGAGACTTGTTGGTTGGATTGACCAAAAATAAAATTCAAATTTTGATTCTTACATTTATGTTTTATGTAATATACTTGAACAAGTTTTACAAAAAAAAATCTTATTTTTATCATATATTAATCATTTTAAAGGAAAAAACTTTAAATATTACAGTTTAAAGTAAAAAAATAATTAAATTTTATAAACCTTTTTAAAAATCTAAAATACATCAAATTATTTGTAATTTTGAAAACAATTTGCTGATATATTGTCTAGTATTTTTTGTTATTTGGTTTCCAATCCTGTAGCAAAATCTTCCTTGTAGTTGTATTATAAGTTATAATAATAAAATGACAATGTTGACAGTAATTAGAACTGGTGTTACTAATTACTGTATATACTGATGTATAGTGTAAGTTTTTGTTATTAGTTTCTTATGCACAAAATAGGGGTTTGCACTATACACAGGTAATTTTTTTGAAGAGGTTAGAGATAATGCATTTTTAGTGACTGGTTACATGATACACAGGTAATTTTTTTCTGGAGTAGATAAAATTAATTTAAAAGAGGTCACACTATACATTAAGTCAGCTTATACATGATTATATTCATTAACAGAATAATTAATAGCATCTGTTGACTTTTAAATGAGGCTTTGGCAAAGCAATAACTTATATAAAAGTTAAGTTCAAATCAACCATCACTAAAAATATACCCTTTCCTTAATAGTTCTTGCCATCTTAACTCTATTTTGTACAACATTCTCATAAATGTTATTTTTTTGTTGTTTAAATGTTTCAAAATTATACAATTTTTTTTTTTATTGCGTTTACCACAATTTTTTTTTTCTTGAAGTATACACATTGACATGAAAAAATGTTTTGTCCAAGTTTTTAAAATCAATGAAGAAATTTAATGGTTAAAACCAGAATTGATTTTAAACTGCAAACAATTTTAAGTTTCCATAATTCCTAGCATAATTAACATACTTTATTGATTATTTTAAACCCTCCCTCACATTCCTTAAGAATGATTAAATTTTTTTAAACTAGTATTTTCTTAAATTCATTGTAATTTTGTTAGATAAAAATTGATTTTTGGTTGCTGTTCATTCAATCTTTTTTTAGAATCATTTTTTAGTATGTAATTATTATATTATTTTATATTAATTTATAAAACTTAATTTCTGTTTGAAATATAAAATTATCAGTTTGTCTTTTATAGATCTATTATTGGCAAATATTTTACAAATTAAAAATCAAAGCTGAAAATAGTTTTAAAAACTAATTCTAGATCAGGTATTACACTCAAGTGTCCTGGAGATATTTTGTGGCATTAAAATGATTTAATATTTAATGTTCCTTTTTAGTTCATTAAATATTCTCTTTTGATCAGGTTGGAATTGAACTTTCTGGGAACATAGTAATTGTGGATGAAGCTCACAATATTGAGGGGTCATGCAGAGAGGCAACAAGTTTCTCCATTACCAAAACTGCTTTCATAAACCTCAAGAAAGAAATTCTAAAATTGCGTAAGTAACACTTTAAAGAAGCAATTACTTACTGAATTCAATTTACAGATTTTTTTTCTATGTTTCTGTCTTCTTTATGGAAAACACACTGATTTTAATAATATGATATTTGGTCAGTATGATCACATGGTTGAATGCTTAGAATGCTTTGTTTTCCAAGCATGAGACACAAGTTTGAATTTCACTGTAGTCAATTTATCAGAGGAACATAACTTCTTGATGTTATCAGTCTGAAGAGGTGATCTCAGTGTGCGGCACATTTGGAAAGTGCATGAAAACCATACCACAGGTTGACCAAGCCTTGTGAATTAAATTGGGTAGACAGAACTATTTGGAAGCTGTCAATGGTGATGCTAGTATGAAGTCACAAATCATTGTGACCAAGTGTTTGAGTGTACTGGCCTTGTTCAAATTGTTGATCATACCAGTTAATGTGCTCTTTCCCAGACACTGTAACTAAGGTCTGCTCAGCATAGTTACAGTATAAACTACAGGTTAGCTCTCTGGGTGTTGAACAAACACAATGTGCCTGAGCAAACATCTGCAACAGGGATTGGCTAGCCAGTTGAGTAGACAAACCTAGTTGGATACGAGTGGCCAGCCATTATAGATTTGTTTGGCATTTCTGCTTTAAGGATAAATATATTATTTTAGTAATCAGTATCACAGTAAAAGTACATATTTCTCCTCTAAATTTTCTTTTTAATTTGAGAGGAGAGCAATTGTTAATTTTAGACTAATAAGCTTCATCTTTATACAAATACAACATACAGGGTGCGATGGATAAATTGTCGTTTAAATTACACAAAAAATGAAAATAACACCGACATCCCATTTTAACAGATATATTTACCAAAATTACACAAAAATATCTTGACATACTAAAGAGTAAATTTATTCAATAAAATTGCCAGACAACTTCAGAATCTCCTGCAAACAGTTTTCTTGTTAATTTGGTAAATGCTGCCATAATCCTTGCCTTCAGTTCCTCTTTGGTGTTACAAGGAGTTTTGATGGTCTCTCTCTCAACTACGCCCTCCACATAATAATCAAGAGGGTTGCAGTCTGAGGAGTTAGTTGGCCAGATGTAAGGGGTGATGTGGTTGCAGCCATGACTGGGTTCTCCTACTTGTGTGGCATGGTGCAGAGTCCTATTGCCAGACATAGTGTCTTCCAACAGCCACCCTTGACCCAGGGTAGCACTACCTCCTCAAGCTACTTGATGTAGGCCTCCATATTGAATCTAGGGCCCTCAGAATGATCACAGTGAGTTTTCCAAGTTGTCATACCTTTGTAATCACCAATAGACTCATTCAAATCTTTTTTAATCCTCTGCACTATCTTCAGATTGACACCCAAACACTCTCAAATGTTTGTATTGAGATTCCAACATGAATACCATGCAGTACAGCATGCCATTTCGAAATTCCTGACAAAGTGAATTGCGTCATGGTGCTCTTTTTCCCACAGACTGTGCCCAACTGACCCTACTATACTGTACAGTTGACAAAATCAAAAACAAACAATGTGTACGCATGAAATTAAAAATATAAAATGATGACAATATACCCATCACACCCTACATGTATTTAGCCTTGTTACTCCAAACCCACTCCAAAAAAAGAAAATCCAATACTATGTAAAAACTTTTAACTTTTACTTTTTGCTCATGATTAGACCTGATTTTTATAAAATATTCTTGCATCTATATATCAAGAAAATTGTTCTAATTTACAACATTAACATGAAATGAAAAACTGTTATTGTATTATAGTTGATTCAACATTCTTTATTGGATCACTAATAAGTATTTGTTTTTATTTTCTACAAATTATTTTAATCATCTTAAGCAATTTATTTTTTTTTTTTTTTGGAATGCATTTATTATTCAGTTCCATTAAATTCACTCATATTGAACAACTTATCTTGCTTTTTTTCAAATGTGTAGGTAGTGTGCCAGCTATCAGCATGGAAAGTAGAAATCCTCCTTAGTTTGTTGCATTCTCTTTGTGCAAATGCCCTATAAGTCTACTAAAAATATAGTCCAAAACTGATTTTTTTTTTTTTTAATTTGGTCATAACAATAATTGCATATGTAAGAATATCAGCATCAAAAGTAATACATTAGACACACATAATTTCAAATACTTGTTATTGTATTAACAAACAGTTTAACAAAGTCAGTTTGTTCATTGTTTCACAAAAATAAAGACAAACTCTGGGCTTTATTTTGTTGTGGACATTGAATCTGGTTGAGTCATGTGAACTTTGAAAAAGGACATCCTTGCTTTACTAGATGAAAGACTATTTAAATTCCAGGATCAGTGAAATCCTAGTGTCTGTATGAAATTTTGATCAAATGACTATTCTCTTTATTTTAATTGTATTGTGGAATAATTGCTTGAAATTTGTTAACTTGTCCATTTATACTTGGCATTTTTTTTTCAAATTTTGTTTTATTCAATTTTCTTTTTTATTTAGTTACTTACAATCAAAACTTGAAAGAATACAATATTTTACTGAATCTGGTAAGTATTTATTTAAAAAGAAATACCTTCATTATTTTAATATGTTAAGAATTTCATTTACTTTGTATATGAGCAATTTATTATGAGAACTATCATTGTCTTTGATGATGATGATAATAATATGTAGCAATATGTGTGTACGTACATACATGCATGCACATTTCAATTCATATTTAAAAAATACCTTCTCAAATCCTTTTCACTCTATCAGTTGTCAGAAGCAAATATTGATAAATAACATGTATGTTTCTTTCAAAAATGAAGTATTTACATTGAAATAAATGATATTCTTCAACAAAGAAATCCTTCTTGTAATTTGTTAGGTGTCATTTGATTTGAGTAGAATTTCATTATTGAAGACTCTGACAAGGCAACATTTATTCCTTGAGTATCAGATTCTATTTCAATGATTTGTGTGTTGAGTACATTTCCCTGATCTAAGACTGATTTTGTTATTTATTTGTCATTTTGAAGCAACTTTCAATTTATTTTCCAAAATATTTTGCACTCTTGTAATTTGTATGATGAACTGACAGATTTTTCTGTGAGAAATTGGAAAATACTTTATAAAATGTTGAAATTTGTTGTTGATATTTTATTTCTTTCAGGCCCAGCAGTTTATTTCCTTAATTGATACTTATTCAAATCAACTTAACCAAAAGGACTTCAACCAATCCTGCAAAATATGGTCAGGCTTTGATATTGTGGCGCAAATGGTCAATATAGATATTGGTCCAAAAGATTACAATTTTATATTAGTAAGTAGCATTTTACTGATTTTACATTTAGTTTAGAATTTCTGCTTGAATTGTGCATTCATCCATGAGTAAATTTAAACCAATATAAATTTTTATCTAAAAAATTGCATACAAATATTTAGTATATTCTTTCAATTATATTTCTATACATTTTTAAAATAACTTTTTTGAGAATTATTTTTCATATTAAAGTTGTAAACTTATTTTAGTTGTAAACTTTGTTAATCTTAATTTGCATTTGTCATTCTTTATTCAAGTTTGTTTTTACCTTAGATATGGATGTCCATAGCATTCTGAACAAATATATGCTTTAATCATCACCTTAAAATGAAATCTTGATGTGAAAAATCACATTTAAACATAAGTGATATTTTAAAAATACTTTTCTTTTTTTAACCAAAACATTTTATCCTGAAGCAATATACACATGCATAAGGAATTAATGAACTTTTAATTCAACATTATTTCTTATTACTATAAATGTTATATTTAGTGGATACACATGTTTTTTAAACAGGATAATCAATGCCTACTGGCCTGGGTTTTTCAAAAGTCTTTAACAAAGAAAATGTGTCTTTTAGCAGGGTTTGAACCTCTGTGCTCCTTACATAAGGGAAACCACCGTATAGCCTGTTGTACTTTTAAACCACTCAGCTACAAAGGATTTTACAAAAAAAGCAAGGTTCAATTACCCTTATGAAGGAAAGAGTCTGTAGTGGATGATATGCATATAACACCATCTATGATTTCTGCTATCATCTCCAAACTCAGTCAGCAAAAAGCATGCATACTTGATGCTATCTCTAATTTTCCTAAAGAAATGTGCTACTGAACGTGCTCCTGTTCTTTATAAACTCAACAATGAATACCCTGCTGCTTCTTACTTTCCAACTTGTTGGAAATCTTCTTCTGTACTTCTTATTTTTAAGAACTCAAGTAAACCATCTGATCCTTCAAACTCTTGACATATTAGTCCTCTACCTTTTTTGGTGGGGAGGGGGCAAAGTACTTGAGGCTCTAATCAACTCTGGATTGGTTAAGAATCTTCTTTCAGTCAAACGATATGACTTTGGCCTCTCTAGGTCAACTGCATTAACAGCTATTACTGAAAGATTCTGTGAAACTTTCTGTAATATGGCTTTAGATATTTCGAAGGCTGACAGAGATTGACATGCTGATCTTTTTCACAAGCTGAAGGGCTATGACATCTTCAGCTGAATTCTTGATTTGATCCAATCTTTCTTAACAAATCATATAATAAAAAACGTCACACTGTTTTAGATCTTTTTGAATTAATGTGGGTATCTCCCAGGGCTCTATCCTTGGGCCCACTTTGTTTCTTACCTTCATCAATGACCTTCCTGATATCATTAGTTTCCAATTTGGTGTCTATGCTGATGACATAACTATTTACTTCTGTCTTAATATTAAGTCTGAGAGGCTCAATAAAGTCAAATTAGCAGCTGATCTTGAAACTGTCCTTCAATTTGTTAACTGGAGCAACAAATGGCTTGTGAACTTTAATGCTTCCAAAACAAAACTGTTGTCTTTTAGTCATCTTGATGGAACATTTTTGCCCTCTGATGCCAACCTTTTCTCTTGTCTCCTGTTTTCCATTGACATAAGTGGGATGATTATATTGAATCAATTGCTAGGTATGTTGCTAGAGAATTTGGTTCACTGTTTTGTTCCGGATAATTTTTCTCACTAGAATCCATCTTGCACATTTATAAGTCTACCATTCATCCGTGCATTGAATATTGTTGTCATATCTGGTCTGGTACTCCTGCTATATATCGCAAGATTCTTGGCAAGATCCAAAGAAGAGTTTGCAATGTTATCAGTCCTGACCTAGCATCTTGACTTCAGATGGTTTCTTATCACCATAATGTAACTTCCCTGTGACATTTCTGTAAATATTTTTGTGACGTCGTCCCCTGGTCGCAGCGCCAACTGTGACGTCCTCGCCGCGGTGCCAGCTGTTCGCTCCTTGCTGCTTCGTTCGGGTGTCGCCGCTCCAAACGTGACGTCCGCCTGTCGCGTCAGTCGTGTTGTCTCGTCCTGTGATGACCAACTGGCTCAGTATCGGTCGCGGCACCCAAATGTGACGTTCTAACCTTTTGGTGATTCGGGTCGGAATCTGGTTAGATTTGATATCAGCCTCGTCGTTCCCAACTTGCTTCCAACGCCTGGTTACCAAAGTAACTGCATTGACCTCCAGTCTGCCTACCCACGTTGTGAATTGATCTTAGAGATCAATCAGTAGTTGGGGCCGTAATGCAAATCGGTTTCAACGGGGGGGACACCACACAAATATGCATAAAAGAAAATAAAATGAAAACTCAAAAGTTCAAGGTATCAAAGAAAAAGAATAACAAACTTTATGTCTAGTTGTTCGATACATAGGACTGCATCTATCTCCCGACCCGTTCTATGGATTGTGACACGTTGTTTTCCGTTAGGCGAGTTTTAACGCTTCAAGTTGTTTGCTCTTTAAGAAATTGGTGTTTCGGTGTGTCTTATTTTGGTGGTCTGGATCTAAGTCGCTCTTCAAAATAATTGTTCTTGGATTGATGAGGAGTCCGGAATGTGCGTGAATCTTGGTCAGCTATCTGCGAGGCTTGCTTCAACTGGAACTCGAACTGAAAACTTAACTGCAACTCTTCTCGAACTGATTTCTGCTTGCTGCGGCTTAGCTTATATGGACGCCGACCAAAACCGGGGTGGGTTTGTCGGCGTCAGGGGTTCCTCGATAATTCTAATTACATATCCACCTCTCTGGTTAGGAATTTCCACTTTTTTTCCATTTTTAGGAGCCTTTTCTTACTCCTCCTTCTCACCATACTTCAGAGGGGCGTGAGCTGCCCTCCCCACTTCTTCGTAGCAGCTTCTCATACCTATCCTCTGGATGGGCGGCGACAACTTCCTTCGTGCGTCACGTGATCACCACTCGACCAATGATGTCTTAGTCGGGCGTGGACAATCCAGCGGCTCTGTTTCAGGAAAAAAAAAATATCTTGCTTAACTAAAAATTAAAATTATCTTTTCTTTTCCTTTTCTTCCTCTTAATCGCAGTTATCATTTTCTCTAGCCGCAAAACAGGACAAGACGATGGTCATAACTCTTGTTCTACACCTGGACTTCGTCCGTCATCTTATCGCTAATTATCCGAATGGGTGGTCTTTTTAACACGGCCAAACGTAAGCCCCGAAAAGAACATTTCTAAGTTCCCATTCATTTCCTTTCGGTACACATTTCTGATAACATAATTTTATTATACAGAGGCTAAAGATGTTCCGTTGAAAGAAATCGGTCAGTGGACACATGGGTATGCGGCTTTTAATTTTTCATATCTATCCAAAGCCCTTTGGTCCACCTATTTTCCGTCACTTATCGAAATAACATTTTCATTTGGATTTTTCTTTGGCCAGTTGGCCAGCAGTTTGTTTACGTATTCCAGATAACACAGCCGTCGCCAAAACACACCTGATTCCTTTATCCACTCAGAATTTCCCTGTCATTGTAATGACACTCTTTCGCCATTTGTTACTTATCAAAATATCCTTTACCCATTGTCTCTTAGCCGTGGTGTTCTGCTTATCATCCACGCTTTGGGTCTTAGCCTCTCCTTTCCTTCTTTTCTTTCTTTTCTTTTTTCTGCCTCGTTAAATGGTGCCACATTTTCATGACAATTGTTCTGATGGTACCTCTCTTTTTCTTGATTTGGTATCTCAACTTCATGAACTTAAACATAGTACTAGATTTATAATAATAAGCAATATTTGATATTTTTACCAAAAGATCAACTAATCAAATAATTTTTTGAAGCAAAATTTTCAGTTTAGATTTTATTCAAGCTATTTGTTATGAAATTAAAAAAAATCATTGTATTTGAAAACAATTTAAACTTTGTTTATATTTCTGAGATGAAGTATTGTAACTAATTACACTATCTACATTGTTCAGACTGTTGTCCTCATCTTTATTGTCATATTCATGTTTCAGCCATTGTACGCTCCAGCCTTCTTCAGGTGATATATGTTGGAATTTCAAACCAAACCCTTTATTTTCTCCACCAGGGTAGATTGTTCTAGTTCCATGTGCCATGTCTTTTCTGGGTATCTTAGTTTCAGTTAATTCCCTTTAGTTACTCAACACTCCAAGATTTTCTTCACCTCTGCTGTGGCCAAGTATTGAACAACTCTTTGGGTTAAGTCACCGGATTACTTCAACCAACGCTTTTATTCACTGGGCCATGTGTATATCACTTGAAGAAGTCTGGAGCGTACACTAGCCAAAACATTGTGAATATGACAATAGAAATGAGGATAACAGTTCAAACAATGTAAATAGTGTAAATAACATAAACCTTAGCCTAAAAAACTGTAGATTCTTTACTTTAGTTGTTTTCTTTGTAAAAATTGTGGTGCTACTACTGTTTCATTGCAGAATAATTTCAAAAATTTGTGTGCTGACATAGAGAAAAGGAAAGAGAAGAAGAATGTATTCGTTTCAAGTTTGTCAAGTACTAGTTTTAGTACACTTGAACAGCTGTTTATCATTTTTGGATTTTTCTATGCAAATGATTTGAAAAATGCAGAGGATTTTAGGTGAGTAGGAATTTGTAAATTCACTTGATGAATCTATGTATTATATATCTGATAAGATCACTGCAATTTATTCAAGTCAGTCTATAATATTTCAAACTTGGTATATAAGTAAATTATTCAGTTAATAAATAAAAAATTAATGGTTAAGTGATTTGAGGTTTCAGTTCAAATATCAGTATATTTTGTAGTTTATTTATACTATTTACATTCAAACTATTGTTCTCATCTTTGTTGTTGTCATTTTATCTTATTTTTTTAATCATTTCACCACAAGTAAGGCAATGAAGACCTTCAATATGCTGAAGAATAATAAATTACTAAAGTATTAAATAAGAGACATCACCATGATTTTTTGCTTTCCTACTTTGAGAAATGAAATGGAATAGGTCAAGATGTAGCTATGGGCTTTAAACAGGGTTTAATGCTATTTAGCTGCAGAGTGATTATTAGGGCACCCCATTTATCTGTATTTGACGTGGTAACTGCTTTAGGTTTTTTGGCGGGGAAGGGTTTATCAAACATCAGTGGCATGTGAAAACTGCAGAAATCTATTGGTGATGCAAGAATGAAACTACTGGTGACTAACACCGATGATAACCACTGAATAGAAGAAAATATTACATCAAATCGCATCCGAGTTCAACACAGGTGCCACTCAACATGTTAGTCAATGATCTGTACAGCATATACTGCTTTCCATGGCATTTTGTAGTCATTGATCAATAAGGGTACCATCTTATCTAGGTCAGAGACCATTGCCATTAGCCTGTGGAAAAGTGGCAATATGTCACCTGGTCAGGTGAGTCACTTTTGCTGCTCTTTTGGGTTGGTTGGTTGTTTTTGTTTAGTGACTACGGGTTTTTAATGACAAAATCTTTTGCATGCAATTTTATTCTTTTGGAGATAATAATGGTTTTAATGATACAAGTTTTTATAATTAATCCATAGATGGAGGGGAGAAAAATGGATTCATTCGTTACTGAATGGTATTTGTGTGTAAGTGAATGTAATGAACGCAACTGAAATTGGAATTCTAAGCCATTAGCCATAACATTAACCTCACATCGAAGCTTACAGCAAATTCCAAAGCAGTCACCCATCTCAAGTACATACAGTTACTGGTGTTTCAATGTGATGTGACTGTAAGCCTGCTCTTTTTTTGGGGGGGAGGGGGTAAACATTTCTGTTCACATGTGGAAGAGATTGCATGAATCTATGGATGCAGCCTATCAACAGAGTGTTGTGCAAGCTGTTGGTGGTTTAGTAATATATTCTTTTAAAGTTCACAATGATCACTAAGGAAACTGGAGTCTGTCTTGACACATGTGACATACACAAATCCTGTTACAGATCATCTACAATATTTTATCCTAGCTATAGTTCCTGGTGATAATGGTTTGTTCCAGTAAGATAACACAAATATGCTTGCTTGACACAAAACTTTTTCCAAGAACTTCATTGCTGTATGAATGGGGCGTGTTGCAAACAACACTAAATTACCTCAATCCAACAAACTTAACTCACCATTATGGACATCTCTGGTCAGCACTACCAAACTTTGCTTGTCTAAATGTTAAATATCCTGTTACTTTTGAATTTTATTTTTAATTTGTTTAAATTTTTTCCTCTGTCCATGTCTTCCCCAGCCATCCTGTTTTTGTTTTTAACCCTTGCTTCAACGTATATATACAGAGTGTATCAAAAATATGTTTACAAACTTTAGGAGTGGGTCCTCACACCAAAACGAGGGTAAAAGACCATATAAACATATGTCCACAAATCCTTTGTTTTTGAGCTATTAAGTTTAAAGAAAGTTTATGGTAGGTAGTGCTGTGTTGCCATGTAGACTAGGTTACATTTGTCATTTGTGTACATTTGTGGCTAGTCTGTCTTCAATGTGTGTAGTAGTGAATTAACTGAGAAGTGTTCCGTTAGGCAGATATGATTTTTTACATACAGCCACGTGAATGGTAATGAACACAAGGCTGCACGACAGTATCAGATTGCGTTTCCAGACCAGAAGCAGCCAAGTCACTTAAGAACTTAAAAATGAAGGATTTATGACCATAAATTTATATTTATATGTACTTTTGTACCTAATTTAGTGTGAGGAACCTGTCTCTAATGTTTGCAAAAATATTTTTGATACAACCTATATATATATATATATATACACATTCATCTCTACTGATTATTTGCTTATTAATATAGCATTATTTTATTGAGGGCACTGCATTTAATGGAAGTTTTTTTATTTGGTAAACTGACTGTGGATATTGACACATTTCCAAATAGGGAATTTTGATCTTTTAGATTTGTAAAAATGTAAGACCTGAAAAAAATGAGAGAAAAGTAACCTGGAACGGCTAATTGCTACCCCACCATCCCCTAGTAGGTACTTTGACCTGGCCTGAGAAATTTAAATTCAACTCTGTAAGTGTTAATCTGAATATCCTTGGCTTCTTCTGTACTTTTGTTCAACACTTCCAGGAAGTAACTTTGCTTATCTAAATGTTATCATGTTAATTTTGAATTCAATTTTTTTTTTTCAACTGTCCATGACTTCTCCAGCCATCCTGTTTTTGTCTTTTAAGGAAACATCAGAACTGGTTGGGGCTTACAGCTTTTTTGGCAGTCTTCCTTGAGATGATGGCTCAATAAAATTGCCCAGCCTCCTGTGCTGCAAACAAACTAATAGGAGTAGATAATCTCACCTATCATTTGGCTCACACTCCTTCCATATCTATTGGGCAGAAGTGTAAGGACCATACCTTGTTTTCCTATTCAGGATATGGTTTACCAGTTCTTTCTTTTTCTTTCCGAGCCTTAATGATTTAACTGTCTTAACTTTATGGTGATTGGACTAGTCAGTAGCTGCGACTTTCCATTATGAGGGTGTCTGGTTGGCAGTTTGCTGGTTGCTATTTCTAACCTGTCATTATGAATCTGAACTCTTTGGTAGCGCTTAAAGAGGCTGCTCTGAACAACAGACTGGTTCGTATGGTCATTGACGATAGTGATAATTATGTTGGCCTTTTATTTTTCTCATCAATACAAATCTCCTCATGGCAAAGATGATGAAACAAAATACGAGAAAACCAGCAAACAAAAAACTACCTACCCCGCTTAACCTTTCTTTTCCAATGTTCGTGGTATCCACTCCAACTTCAGCAGTATAGAATCATTTCTTATGGAATGGTTGCTGGATGCCCTTGCACTTTACAAAACAAACTTAAATTCTGGCATTGCTACTAATGAATTCTCTGTTCCAGGTTATTTTCCACTTTGCCAAAAATATTCCAGCATTCACATGCATAGCATTGGTGTATACATGCAGGATAATCTCACAATGACAAGGGAATTGTCTCTTGAGTCCTCATATAGAGGCAGATGATTAATAGAGAGCAGTTTTGTGGGTGTTAGAGTTAATAAGTTATCCTTTGCCCCAGTTAACAACAAACTGAAGGTTTTGACTATCAGCTGCCATTTTGACCTTATCAAACTGATCAGACTTTCTACCAAGACAGGAGTAAATGATTGTGTCATCAGCATAGATACCAAGTTGAGAACTGATGTCATCGGGAAGATCAGTAATGAAAATTAAGAACAAAGTAGAAGCAAGGATAGAGCTCTGGTGGGGGACATCTGCATTAATATGAAAGGAACTGGAAAAATGGACATTCAGGATTACTTTCATTTCACAATTTGATAGGAAAGATTGGATCAGTTCAAAAATTTGTCCAGAGTCATTGTAACTTTTCCACTTGTCAAGAAGACCTGCATGCCAAACCCTGTTGAAAGTTCTCTGCCCTCCATCAGCATGGCTGATGCTGACCTCCAGGAGAGTGACTCATTGTGCCTTCTAAGTAGAATGACTATATTGCTAGGTTAGCTGCTTGGAAAGTTGGTTCACTGTGTCATGCTAGACAATTTTTCTCTCCAGAATCGATCTTACATATCTATAAGTCTGCCATTCGTCCAGGCTTAACACATTTGGTCTAGTGCTCCTGCTATTTATCTAGAGTTCTTTGATAAAATCCAAAGAAGAATCAGCAATATTATTGGCCCTGTTTTAGCATCTCGGCTTCAGTCTCTTTCCCATTGCTGTAAGGTTGCCTTCCTGTGCCTTTTCTATAAATTCTTTCATTGTAATTGTTCAGATGGTGCATAGACTCTTTGAATTTAAGCGCAGTACTAGACTGGCAATGAGGTTTCATCAATTTACACTCAAATTGGCAAGATGTAACCATAAATTCTATGCTTTTCTTGCACTTCTTGCTTGTGGAACTCCCTTTTGGCCCCATGCTTTCCAGCCAACTCCACTTTGCAAAAATTTAATTGCAATGTCAATTACTATCTACTGTCTTCCTGATTACTCTTTTGTTCTGTTTCTAACTCTTCCACAGCCCTTGTGTCTCAGTGGCTTTAATGCCTTGCTTGGGGTGAAATAAAAAAAAATGTATAGATAGGTGAGTGTGTATGTAATATGTTTATATATTAAGATCTATATATTCATGTGTGTGAGTGTATGTTATGTATTTAAGGATAGAATTAATTCACTTAGGAGGTTTCTTTTTCTGCAGTCAACGTAGTTGGTGTTTGACGCAAAACTTTTATCTCACTTGTGTTGCTCTGAACGAATGATGATTGCTGTTGGTACTCTTGTGTGTTGCTCCTGTGTATGGTTGCTGTGAGTACTTTTGTGTGTGCTTGATGTGAGTCCCCCAAGTGGCTTTAGGTGTGTACTTATATAGCTCAGAGGTAGGCTCTAAATGAAGGCCAAAATTTAATATTTTTTTGGCTGTGTATCCATTGGTTAGGAAGGGTCACATGGTGTGTTTACTGCTATGTCCGCATGATGATGACAGCAAATCTGCTTTTACATGTCTATTTTTAGACTTGATGAAATTGGTAATTTGAAAATGTATTTTCATTTATTTATTTTTGTTTATTTTCAAGTCCCAACAAATAAAATTAAATGATGTGTTTAGGTAATGATCTCTCATACAGTCAATCAGCAACTCTTGGCATTTTAAATGTTTATAGAGAAATTTGTATCTTGATTATATAGTGTCATCAATATTGATTTATTTTTTTTAAATATGGATACTTTATTTGGCATTGAATCTTTTTCATTTAACTCCAGTATAATTGTATTTATTTTCTATATTTCCAGGATGGCAATTGTTAAAAGTATCAGCACTTTTCAGGTTTTTGAACCTGTAAAGAAAAAATCACACAAAACAACTCAGTTACAGATTCCTACTCAAGAGTTTACATTACATTTATGGTGTATGAATCCAGGTGTTGTATGTATTAATTACTGGTATTTAATTTTCACTAGATTAATTGATTATTTTTTTTACAGCTTATTAATCTTTTGCAATTCAGAAAATATTTTTAGATTATAAGATTTTTTTTTTGAATAATAATGATTTACTGATTCAAATGCTAACATTAATCCATAGCTAGGATGAGAAGAGGTGAATTCATACCTTACATAACTGCAATTGGCACTTGGCTCTCCAATTTCTAATTCTGAGCTGTTATCCATTATACTACTAGCACATCCAAGCTTACAGTACCTGACTTTCCCAATTGGTCACCCATCTAGGTACTGAGCAGATTTGACATTACTTAAATGATCATATGAGAACTAGTGTTTCAATTTGATGTGGCTGTAAGCCAATTTTCTCTAGAATAATCCTCAAATGGCTAAATCTAAATCATTTTCATCTTGGTCAATAAAATGCTTCTTTTGCTTTTTATTGCAATTCTCAGATTGTGATTCTATGATTGTTAGCAGTGCCAAAATAAGATGAAAGAAATATGTTAAAAAATTCATAATGTTTAACAAATATCGCCTAATCAGGTTCTTTTTTACTTATCTATCATTATTTCAATATATTAATCCTTCTATAATAATTACTTATGCATCCCAATGTATAATTGACAGCTTTTCATCCATGTTTTACTTTTATTGAGTCTCACTTTTATTAGACAAGTAAATTTATAAGCATAAAGAAAATTATATTAAGAGTTACAATTAACATTTTGAATATAAATTAATACTACCTTGTTTCAGTTCTCATGACCATTTACTTGTAGTTATTTACTAACAGTGGTGGAATGGATGGAAAGTTTCCACTGAGGAAAACTCGTAAAAGGGCCCAGTGAAAAGGACACACTTAATCCTAAAACAAGGAACTAAGGATAAAGGATATCTATTATCTTTTTTTTTTCCCAGTTATTATTATGGACCATCACTTTGGGGCCCACCAGGAAATTTCCCAGTATCCCAGTCTGCCACTGTTTAGTAAGCATACTTTTGGCACAATACTATAAGTTGGAGAACCCAGTAAGGATTTAAATCACTTGTAATGACAAGCTTGTAACCATTACAGCCAATGAATATTTTTTGTATGTGAATTCATCTTGTAAGATTGACATAATTTTTTTTTTTCTTTTTTAAATTGCAGGCTTTTGGTGATTTTCATGCTACTCATAGTGTTATCCTGACCAGTGGAACTCTTTCACCAATGATTTCCTTCCAGTCAGAACTACAAATGCCTTTTCAAATTAGTATGGAAGGTAGACATGTTATTACACCTTCACAGGTAGTACTATTTACTAATTTTCTATTTTGTTCAGTGTCTTGAGAAAAATAAACATTTCCAGATAATAGCAAAATGCATTTATTTATTACAGATCTCTTTTACCATTTGCTTTCATATGATTGAGATTTCTCTATTAAGGATTTTCTATTTTGTTCAGTTTGGCTCTAAATTTTTCACAAAAAAATTGTCCGAGGGAACAATACTCTAGTGCAGTGGTTTTCAACCATATCTTACCCATAATAATAATAATATAATAAATGTTAATATTTATATAATTTTCCTATATATATATATATATATATATATATATACCTCTACGAAAATCACTAAAAAAAACAGTATAGCATGATGAAAAAGACGTCAAACTTGACAAAAACAAAATTTTATTGTCTAAATGTTAATGTTATTATAAAGAAGAAAGACCAAAGTTTTTTTTAATTATTTTTAAAAAATTTTCTTTCTTTTTAGAACATTCTAAATTTTGATTTTAAAAAAAACCTTGTTTCTCTTTGAATCACCGGAACTAGTAAATAACATATACAATTTTTAGTATGTTTTTTTGGTATGACACCCATTAATTTGGAAAATCTTGCAAAAATATAAATAATTGTCGGATGTTAATGAAACTTTCAGGAACTATTCACAGATGATCGAAATTATTACAAATAAGTTTTTTTTTTTATTAAAGTCATGGCAGAAATATTTTTTTTTAAATTTATTAACCCCCCCCTAACTAATTTTATGAAAACGCTAGAAATTCGATCAAGTCTAGGTTAATGATTACAATAGTTAAAAGCACAAGGCTGAGGAATGCAAATCATGTTTTTAATTGGATCCGCAGTACCTGAAAATCAGCTCTGAATTGTAACATACAAAACTCAATAAATCAAATATGTTATTTAATTTCAAATGTTTTTATTTGCTTTTAGTTGTTTTTATGAATATGGACAATATTTTCTGAAAGCAAAAAAATTTTTGATGAAAAATGAATTTTTAATACAATTATTTGTTATTTCTTTAATTATAATAGATTTTTACATTTAAGTTGTTAAAATATTATAAAATTAGTTAAAAGCTGCATCACGTTTCCTAAGTTTCCTTATGTGATAGATCTTTTTTTAGCACGTAAATTGTATTGTTTTCACTAATCTGCAGTAATTAAGAAATGTAATTTTGTGTTCATAAAAATCATTAAAATGGCTGTAATTAAAAAGTACAGAAGGTCACAAGCAGTAAAACGTCATGTGGCTTGAGTGTAAGCGTTCTCTGCTGAACATCGATTACATTACATTATTGCAAATTCTGAGCATTTTGAATTAGCGTTTTTTACTAATTAAAAAAATTTGAACATCATCCTAAGCCATTTTCATCATCAACATTACTACATTTTTAAAAGTACCATTTATTTCTTTTACATATTTCATTGCAATTTCAATTTTTTTGAAGTTGTTTTACAGTTTTCAGTTTTCAGTGAGTCGTCTTTATTTCAATTTTATGTGAATTTCTTATTTCAAACAAACTGTTTTCAGTTCTATCCTTAAGTGTTGTTGTCATCACCCTGCTCAAAAGGTGTTAAAAAACAAAAATACATCAAGCCATTGTTCAAACATAGATTAAAAAAAAAGCTGTACAGCACTTGTATTTTAATTTATTTATAGTATTTATAATTTCTACAGATAGTATCGACAAACTTATGGTGTAAGCTACAGTAATAAAAAAAGCAAAATAAAAGAAATTGGAATGCTGAAAGGTTTTTTGTTTACTTTAATAATTACGAGGTACTACATAAGCTGGTTCATGTAAAAAAAAAAAAAAAAAACATTACGTCAATTATGTCCTTCCGTATGATAACTCGAATCTCAGGTTAGCTGTCGATATGTGATGACAGCAATAATTCATCACTTGTCAACAGCCAACAATGTTAAGATTGCCTCCTTTTTATTTTAAACAACATTTTTCTTTGAAGAAAGTAAGCAAAAGTTTTTTTCAAAATATATTAAATAATCTTTAAATTTGCTAATTTTCGTCAAATAAATTTTGAAAAACGTATAATTGATTTTTGGAAGAATTTTAAACTAGGATTTTAACTTTAACTAGGATTTTTTAAAAATGGCTGATATCTAGTTTCTTTTAGTAATTTTGCTGAAAAAAAAAAGAACAAGATTTTTAACTAAAATTTTGGACATGCAATGAGTAAAAAAATTTTTAAAATAATCAAAAATACTTTGGTATTTCTTTTTAATAATGATATATATACTTAAGCAGATAAAAAAATTTTTCATCAAGTTTAAGGCTGTTCTTGTCATGCTATGCTATTTTATTGATTTTCATGGAGTTACATATATATAATCCTTCTTTTATATATCCTTTGTTTTTATTCAACTTTTACTGTCAAAACATCCAGTAGAGTAAAAGGGACGCTAACTTACATTGCTTTATCATGTTTTCTGCTAAATTTAGAGGTTTTTAGAATTTTAATATGGTGTAGATTATTGTAGAAATTCCAAATCTCATTTGTGACAATTGCTCCAAAGTGAAATTGCTCTATGGACCACTAAAATATTATGGGGAACCCCCAATCTTCCATGTTTTTAGTGTGGACGCCCCCAGTAATATTACATGGACATATATACCCCGGTTGAGAACCACTGGTCTAGTGGATTAAAGTATTGGTTTGTGTGAATTTGGTGATATAGTAATTCTGATTTCAATACCTGGGTCAGGCAGTGTGTCTCGGAGTGAGCAATAGCTAAGCAATACTAAAAATAAAAACTAGATGAGATATCCCTAGATATGGGCAGTGGAACAAGAACAATCTATGCCCGTAGATTAAATAAAGGATTATGTTCAGAATCCCTGAAGGTTCTAAAATGGTGCAGCCACTCATGTCTGAGGATGCCTGTCTACTAGGGCAGATAACAGGTGCCTGCTCAGGCATATTTTTGTTTGTTTAACATCCACAGATCCTACCTGTTGTTGCAACTGTGCTGAGTGGACCATAGTTACAGTTTCTGGGAGAGTGCATGTTATTTAGCATGATCAACATTCTGAACAAGGTAGCACGCTCAAACCCTTGGTCATGCTGACTTGCGACTTTGTGCTAGCACAACCAACAATGTCTCCCAAGGGTTCCATTTACCCAATTTCACTCACATGGCTTGGGTCAAAGGTGTCGTACACTGGGATCACCTCCTCCAGACTAATGACATCAAGAAGCCAGCTTCCTGACAAATTGATCATAGTGAGAATCAAACCCAGGTCTCATAGTCAGAAAGTGAATGTTCTAACCACTAAGCCACATGTAGGTTACCTGGGTCAATATACATCTGAAGAAGGCTGGATAATGACAAAGATGAGGACAATAGTCCGAATGTAAATAGTGTAAATAATCATAACGGATGTTTTAATTGTAATCTAGTCAATGGAATAAAGTTGTAATTGTCTCAACAAACATAAAAGCCCAATAATAAAACAGTGATAAAAAGATCAATCATAACATTGCCATTATATTTATATATATATATATATATATATATATATATATATATATATATATATATACACACACCACATTCCCTTTTTGGTTGAACAGAAAATATTATAAATGATAATGCTTCATCTAAAGTCTTTGTAGTCTGTTACATCTCCTTGCCTTGATATAAATAAATAAATATATGTTGGCTAGAAGGCAGCAATATAGCTATATGTTTTTTAAACAATGCCTTCTGGTAAAAACCTTTGTGGCCATTCTGGTAATGGTTCTGTTAGAGTGAACTGGGCTCCTGAGGATAAGTTATGTTTGCTTCTTACCAGAGCTTTATTCTTCACTTTCAGTCCATGCAGTTTTTTATGTTTGTAGCTGAGAGCTCCAATAAAAAGGAACAGAAATAAAATGAAAGACAAGTTAAAAATTAATAATGGAGAAAGTACTGACTTGATTACCAATTCACTCGGCCATTATTTACTTGCACATACATCCCAACATCTTTATTACAGTTTCTCTTCTTATAGTAATCATGTTATGGCACCACATTACTTTTAATAGTCTTACCTTATCAACTTTTCCACAAAATATAATTGTAAAGAAATCAATGTTCCTTTGTTATTACACTGCAATTTATCATTACTGATAATTAAGCCTTCATATTCTCTTTTAGATAAGTCTTATAAATCACAAATAACACTTACTAAGCAATAGTAAAATTTCCAACTAACCTTATTCATATTTACTGTTTAGCTTAGTATCATATGATGCTAAGAGTACAAAGATTTTTTTTTTAATATTATGCTAATCTTACAAGCTTGCCCTAGAAAATTAGCATATGAAATTTTGGCTTTTATCTAGGCTGAATCACTGACCTGTTATACAAGTGGGGTAAACATAACTATCTTAGTCATGAGATAAATCACTTTCTACATAATCATATTACTATTATACAGAGAAAAGCAAAGTAATATTTTAATGAAAGAGATTATGGAAGGGTGACATCAAAGATATTAAGTTCTCTATAGTTTTTTAATGTTTCCTTTTTTATATAAAAATCCTAATTATACATTACTATGACTAAAATTTTGCTCATTTTTATGTGTTTTGGCATTCTTAAAATATTATGATCCTAACATAATAAAAACATGGATATTTATTTTATCTTTTATTATCCTATACATCATATTCATTAAAATATTTAATTTTAACAAAATGACATGCAAATAACGCTGTATTTAAACCATGTACTTTGTAGTATGCCAAAAAAAAAAAAATACAAATGTTGTTTATTGCTAATCTCCCAGTTAGATGCAGGATAGAAAATGTGAAAATTGAATTTGAATATTGCTAATTACCATATATACTTGCATGTCATATAACTTTTGAAGACTTAATTTTGAAGCTAATTTTAAGGGTGTTGCATCATACACAAGATATAAAATTAGCATATGTACTGCTGGCTCAGGCTATGCTGTTGACCTAACTATATATCCATTTACTGTAGTCAAATTAGCTTCAAAATTAGGTCTTCAAATGTTACATGATATGTGAATATATACGGTAAATTAAACAAATTTAAAATAGAAATAAAAATTATACATTAGAATTCATGAGATTTTAGTACACTATTATGCAACCAACATTGAAATATATCTTAAAAAGAACAAAATTGAAATATATTTTAAAAAATGCCATAGTGTATGCCTTCATAAATTTCCACAGCTCCCTTTTTTATGAATTGCCATGTATTCTGGGGAAAGATAGTGAATTAGTTTTTTGTTGCCTACTCTACAGTTTGGAATTTGGAATTTGAAATTTTCTTTCTTTTAGACTAGTTCCCCCTCCCCAAATCTAGAGAGTCCAGTCTACCATGCTAACTAATCTATAGCTAGAGAGGGAAGAGACAGAATAATGCCAAAGACATTTGTGCAAAAGTGAATGCAATAGACTAGCCCAGAATTTGAACTTAACCTGCCAATTTCATTTTCTTCACTGATGACCATTACACTGGCCAAACATCCTTTGAAATGTATAACAACTCTAATTAGGTATTTTAATTATGATGCTGCTTTCTTATGTGTACTGTACTTTTTAAATTTTCAAATAATGATCAAGATAGAAACAACACATTTTAGTTTTGGGCTTTATTATTCCATATATTATATATAGAATGATAAATATAATTCATTAAAACATTTTGAAGTATATTTTTTTTAATATTTGATTTTAGGTGTGGATTGGGAGCCTTGGGTCAGGTCCATCAGGAAAGCAGCTGAAAGCAACTTACAAGATTGCTGAAACTTACATGTTCCAGGATGAGTTAGGAAGCCTTGTGCTTGATGTTTGTCTGGTAGGTAATCACTTGTAGGATCAACAAATTTATTTACATTAATTCATAGTGTACAATAGCATTTAGTAACCCATTTAGTCATGAATTCTTTCCACTTTGTTTCATTAAGTCTTTATGAACTGTGAGAGAAAATGAACAGGTGAGAATTTTGAGATATTTAAACAAATCCATCTGTGTTTGATATTTTGTTTTTAATCATTTCATTCCAAGCAAGGCAATAAAGCTAATAATGCACAAGTGGTTACTGGGTGTTAGAGAATATGAGAAAAAAAGACACTATTAAGGAGAGAGAGCAATAAAAGAACAGGAATTAAGAAGACAGAAGATAACGATTAACATTGCATTTAAATTTTTGAACACAATTTGACTGGGAAGCAAGAAGCTGAAAGTGAATTTCACAAGCGAGAAGTGCGATAGAAGAAACAATTAGCATAAAACTTATGGTTACATCTAGCAGCCATTTCAACTGTAAATTGATGAGACCTTGCTGCCAATCTAGTACTGCACTTAAATTCATAAAGTTTGGGTATCACAGAGGAAAGTTCATCAGAACAATTACCATGAAAGTATTTATAGAAAAAGCACCGACAAGCTACGTTATGGTGGTGGGTTGTGGCTGCAGCTGAGATGTCAGGTTAGAACTTTGCAGATTCTACTTTGGATTTTATCTAGAATATCTAAATACTTAGAAGCACCAGACCAGAAAAGCAATGGTAGATTTATATATATGCAAGATAGATTCTGGTGGGGAAAAATTGTCTAGCACAACATCTGGGACCAACCTTCCTAGCAGATCTAAAAATCGATTCAAATAGAGCAGTTTCATTTTGAGATGTTAAAATTAACAAATCATTCTTTACCCTAGTTACCAACAGATCAGCTGCCAATTTGACTATCAAATCAATCAGACTTACTATTAAGACAGGAGTAAATAGTTGTCATCAGCTTAGATACCGAGTTGTTGATGAAAAACCTAAGTTCAAAGATAGAGCCCTGAGTAACACCTGCATTAATGCAAAAAGATTGAGATGAGTGGCCATTCAAGACAACCTTCGATTTGATAAAGATTGAATCAGTTCAAAAATTTGTTGAGAAATACTATTAGAAATTAGGTGTATTATACCATTAACTAATGAATTTAGCATAATATAAAGATATTGAGAATGTTAGCAAAATTTAAAATTGTATTCAATAAAAATTTATAGTTTGAGAATTTCAAATAAAATGATATCAACTGAATAAGTCATCCAAAGACAGAATGATAAGAGAACAAAGCTCACAACATTGATAGATTTAAAAACAACAAAGCAGGGATAAAGACTGAACTGGGCAAATTTACATGAAGATGATCAGATTTTTGTTTAAAAAAAAAAATATAAATGACAGTAATCCCAGGAAAACATTGAATATTAATAACATTTCATCTTAATTTATTCAAAGAAAGAAATTATCTTGGTTTCAACTTTTATAAATTGCTTAATTTTCTGTTATTTGAATATTTCAAATTTAACTAAAACTGTCAGTGTAGTTTCTGAATTTTTATGACTACAAATGGCAATATTATAATATATTATATATATTATAATATATTATAACTAGAATATGCCATAAATATTAGAAGGAAATTTGAAAGATTTCTTTTAACTTGTCTTTCTTGACATTTTGTTTGGCTGTTTATATTTTTTAATGCTATCAAACTATTTTATTTCAGCAAAGAATTTATATAACTGCATTTAAGAATTAATATGAATTCCAATGAAAACTAATTTCTTTATTAATTCTTTTGTCTCAAGATAAAATTTTATTTACTTTCAATCTTCTTATTGATCATTTATCTATGATCTTTGTGTAGGTTTTGGATCATCAGAAATCATGTTGATAAAATGTTATTTTTAAAGAAACAGAAAATGTGCAAAGATTCATTTTATTTTCAGAAAGTTCCAAATGGAGTCTTATGTTTTTTGTCTTCATACACATTCTTAGACAAACTCACTAAAAGATGGCAGGTAAGTTAGTCTTTGATATTTCTTTAATTTTTGATAGTGTAAAAATTCTCTTTATACCTAGTTTTTACACAGCCTGAAAATATTGAGGTGTTTATTGTTAAGCACTGATTAATAAATTTTTATTTATATTCAGACTTATGATCTTTGTGGTTATTATAATAGTGTTTCAGCCACTGAGTCTTCAAGCCTTCATCAGGTGTCTGTTAATCCAAGTAACCTTCAAGGAATTTCAAACTGAACCCTTTATTTAATCTACATGAGTAGATTGTCAATGTCTTGGGCTATCTTATCTTGTTCTTTTTTAGTACTGATCAGTTATTGCTCACCTTGTTTCTAGGTTGATAACACATTCTGAGCACCATCTTTTGCTCCAAGGGAAATTTTAAAAAATGCCTTTGAAATTTACTCATCTTCTTATTGTTTATGTAATCAGGCAACTGTATTACGTCATTTACAAGAAAGAGAAAAAATTCAGAACCTAGTAAAATGGTTTCTACATGAATTTATGGAAGGAAATAAGTCACTGCTTAAAGACATGTCTCTTGTTCAAACAGAGAAAAAAACAATTTGGAACATGATAGTCACTAGCAATGAAAAAGCGATTTATTACAAGAATCCAAAAGAAAATCATGCTTATATCTTAAGACCATTTTCAACATAAATGGAGTCTACTGAGAAAAAATAGTTTTCTATGTTTAATGGGATTCAAAGAGAATTCTTTATTTTGAATTCCTAGAAGCTGGACAAATTGTTGCTGTGTAATGCTCCCATGAGCAATTGGCTTGTTTCATTGCCACATTGGAAGAATATGTCAGAATGTAAAATGGCATGTAGGCAGAAAGACATAAATTAATTATACCACAATATGAAAGAAGCAATGTTGAGAGCTCTAAGCATTCTTTCATTGGAATTTGGTACAGATATCAGTTATTGCAACATTTACACTTTTACAATGAATTGTAAGCAAAATCTCAAGAAAATGATTGAGGAATTTATTCTTTTATCTCCTATGTTTCTTCAGGATATAGATGATCATGGTTCTCTACATCTTCCTTTATACTCTGTATTGCCAAGATTCAGAAAGATAGTAAAGTGGTTTCCTATTGTCATCTAGGTATTTTTTTTAATTCAGAGTTGTCCATTTCCAAGATTAGTTGCCAACTAAAGCAAGAGAACTAGTTTTCTTTCCTATTTAATCCATAACTGGGGAGGGAGGAACACTAATTTGAACTCAGTTTGCTGATTTCTTTTTTTGCATTGTTAATAAAGAAAATGTAATTTTCATGAAGAAAACAACAGTTTTGCTTGTGTAACAAGGCACAAATTCTTTGTTTAAAACTGTTTTTCTTCAAATTTATATTCTAAATTCAATACTGTTTTAAAAGTTTATATTCACTTGATGATTACTGCAAACAAATGTAATAAATTTTAATACGATTGGAAAATTTGATTTTTGATTTCTCAATATTACAATTACAATTTTTTTTTATAAGCAATGTAGTATTTTAACCTGTACTTGGATTGCTTAATCTTTATACAAAAATTTGTGGCTTAAATTCTTGATACTTGGCTCTAATAAATAGAAAAAAAGATATTTCACTGTAACTAAGCTGGTAGAATTCTTGAATACAATTTAAAATAACATATTTAGTAACAGCTTTTGTTTAATTTTACATTTCTCTTTTTTTCTAGTTGCTTAAACCACATCAATTTCAGTCATGGAGTTATTTAAAATTTGTTCAATTTAAAGTTGCTTATAAACAAACTTCTAGCAGTAATGTGGTCACATAATACATTTCAATGAAATTCAAGAAGAAATTTTGCTATAGACAAGGTTGAGATATGAACGCAACTGACAAAAAGTAATATTTATGCCGAGTTCAAAAAAAAAAAGATAAAAACTTACTTTACATTTTCTATCTTTTGATTTATTACATTTCCTTTTCATAATATTCTTTTCTCATTTAAAACTCATTTTGCTGTTTTTTTTTATTTCAGACTACAGGAGTATGGGAAAAAATATTAAAACGTAAAGCTATCATTGCAGAACCTCGTTCAGGAAAAAAAGAGGTGTTTGAAAAAATTTGGACGCAATTTCTACAATATGCAGATGGACAGTTCCCTTCTGGTAAATATTTAACAAAAAAATTAAACTCCTATTTTTGTTTCATTACAATTAGCAGCATTAATAATCACCATATTGATAATATTGATTTAAGATTCATTGTTTACAATGGTATTTGCAGGGCTGTTTCATATTGTAATCATACAAGTTCCAGAATTTTCCATTTTAAACTTCAGTAGATAGCCTCCTCATCACAATATCAGTTAGTAAGTTTGAGAAGTTTTGAGTCATAAACAATCTAAATTTTGTTTGGATCAGCACATTAGAGGTAGTACTACCTATAAATTGAAGGTTACTTGCCTTTTACAAAACTAATTTACTAGTTCAATTAAGGCCAGAAGGACTTTCTCTTCCTGAAGGGTTTTATCATATATTCAATAATAGTAATAGGAGTAGATATGTTTGTCTATCATCTGGTTCACATTCCTCCCTTGTCTTTTGAACAGTAGAGGTTTATCCATTGTTTCTTGTTTAAGATTAGGTTTCCAGTTCCTTCTAGAATCTTTTCATTCTCTTTCAATTCCAGTAGTTCCTTGTGTTTTAGTGGCATTATCTCTTTGCTTCAGGTGAATTGACTAAAATAAATTAACCTATTGCATAAAATTTCATTAAAATTTTAGCTCTTTTTGTTTAATTTCACCTTGCTGGCTAATGGTAATCTTAGGACTGGCAGATTTTAAATTTTAGGTAAACCCTCTCTAAAAAAAAATTGTGTGAAATGACAAAATGAAATAAAATTTTGTGTTACATATCTTATTTGTCAAAAGAACTCCTTCAGACTAATAATGGTTTCATTGTTGGAATCTTTATATATGTGGATTGACGAAATAAAGCAAATGCCGGTTGCAATTCTATATCGAGAAATATTTTCTGATATATATGATATACAAACCTATGTGAGTGTGCGTGTCTGTATATAAACATGCCTCTTGTATATGGGCAAATATTGTAATAATTGTAGTTTATTGAGAAACATTAATTTAAACTGAAGTAAAAGATTGAATATTAATAATGAGACCACTTTTATTGATACTGTGAAAAAGAGAATTAGAAAAATGCTAACAAGTGTAAATGGGGTGGGGTGCAAAAAAATAACTTTGTCCTGAGTTTTTATACTAGATTTTCTCCCTATTTTCATTTCAGAAGATGAAACTAAATTTGATGATAATCATGAAAACAACAATGATAATGAAGATGTCAAAGAAGATCTTCGTGATGGAGCTTTATTTTTAGCTGTATGCAGAGGGAAACTGAGTGAGGGAACAGATTTTGCAAACAACAGTGCCCGAGCTGTGATAACAGTAAGATTTTTATATAATATGATTAATAGATATGTCTTCTTACATGATGGGAGTGTTTTGAAATATTTTTTTATATAAGAATGTACTGTTTATTAACTTTGTTTAAAAATAATAGAAATACCTGATAGCAAGAACTAACTGGACATCAACTTTTACCAGATTTGTTCTTGTTGATCTCATGATTTATCTAAATATAGTTATTGTTCTATTTTTAAAAATAAAACAATTTTCTTATATATTCTTAAACTTTTTATGCAATATAATTTAACAATTATTCTTTTAGCAACTTGTTTTATCTGTAAAAAAAAAATGTTTTTGTCCTGTGAATATTTGTTTTTTATCTTAATTTGTTATCTTTGAGAACAATTAAAGGTTTTTTTTTAATGTCTGACTACAGTGAAAGCAGTTTACACAAATTGTATCCCTTATATTTGGTACTTCCAAAAATTCATTAAAAAATGAGCATACATGATGAAAAAATGCCCCAAACTTAAAAACAAAGTTTTATCGTCAAAATCTTTTTATTAAGAGGATTGACCAAAGGATATTTCATTAATTTTTTTTTTTTTTTTTTTTATTGAGTTGGTCAGAAAGTTCTGACTCATTTAGGAAGCAGAAAGAAAACAACAAAATTTTATGGAGCAACACCAACATTTATTCTTCAAAATAAAGTCCATCATTCTCAACAACCTTCTGCCAGTGATCAGCCATTATCCTAATCTGTCCCAGATACCTTTCCGCTGGCTTTAAATCAAAAAACAATAAGTTTCCTTCATTTCATCAAAAAGTGTTGAATTGCTGGTTGCAGAGGAAGTGTACCATTGAATTGAATAGGCCACAGTTACCCGGAGCAGCATCCTGACAAAATGGTGGTTGTGAAAGAATCTCAACACCATCCATCTGTTTGAACTTTTCTTTAGTCAACCTGGCAGTGTGTGGCCTCAAATTGTCTTGCTGAAACAAAGCCGACCTCAATTGACCAAATCAGAATAATCCTTCTTTAGTTTGTTGTACACACCGTGTAACTGCTGGCAATACAGTTTAGTGTTGATGGTGCGACTGTGTGGAACAGGCTCAAAATGCAGTACTCCTTGGAAATTCCAAAAGACAGAGATCAAGATTTGTTGTTTACTTTCCGCTTCCTAAGTGAATGAGGACTTCCCAGCCTACCTAATAGAACATTTAAAATTTTGGTTTTCTTGCATCATCAGGTGACCATAAATTAGCATGGGAAATTTTAGCATCTTTTTTCAGTGAAAAACCCATTGATTTTGGGAATTCTTGTAAAAATCAGATAATTGTTGGAAACTTTCACAAATGAATTAAATTATTTTAGAAACATATCTTTTCAGAAAATCATGGTAAAAATATTTTATTTTTTTTATTTTTTACATCTTTTACCCAAAAGCTTACTACAATTCAGCAAACCCTTGTATCTTAAAAAAAATTTTAATTCTTTTTTTGTGTGTTTATAAACAGGCCAATTTTTGTTAAACTTTAAATCAGCTAATCTTCCCCAAATAAAGTTTCAGAAAAGTATTTTTATTTTTGAAAGATTTTTTTAATAAAGAGAATTATATTATGCTGACAGATTTGTAAATATGGTTAAAATCAACTTTTTAGTGATTTAAAAAAAAATTTTTCCAGTCAATTTAAATTAGTTTTTGAAATACAGCAAAGTATTTTGCTTATTGGAAATATTAAATTTTATTTATTAGCTTGAAATTAAAACTAAAATAAAAGCTTCAAGAAAGATTTTTTATTTTGAAAAATTCATTTTAAACCTTAGGTATCACTTTTCTTATATTAATTACTTCTACCATTTTAACAATAAATCTAAATTATTTAAATTTTCTTGAACATTGTCATAAAGAAATCCTATCATATTTAATTTCTATTGAGACAGGGTTTAGAGTTTATAATTGAAGGAATAAAATGAATTATTTTTCTAAAATCATTGAAAATTAATTTTCTCAGAAATGAACATTTCTGACTTTTTTGTTGAAATATTTAATATATAAAACATAAAATGTATTTTTCTTGTACTGAAAATTAGGTTTGAACTTAACACTTTTAATATGTATACTTAAATTCTAGATTAGTCTAATTTGCTTCATTTATTCACTATTGTATATGGTAACAACTTCTATCGGTTACATGTCAACTAAAAAAATATTTATACTTGATGTTTGAAAAAATTATTTCCATTTAAAAAGTTTATATAAAATTACAAACGTAATTTCTAAATGGATTTTATTTTTAATTTGACATTTTTATTACTTAGAGGAATCAATTTCCTTCCCCTATAAAGGACTATAACTGAAAATACAATTGACTTACTTCCCTTATTCAAAGATGAGCGCGCCATTTCTGAATTGAACATGACGACAAGCTGATACGCACGTGGAATACATTGTTTCAGTCCTTGCTGTTCTCAGATAGTGAATGAATAAATGTTTATGTGTTAAAATACACTTCTTTCGGTTTTGTTCATCCCAACAGTCTGGGATATAATAATTACTTCAAAGTTATTTTTAATGGTTATCCGTATTTGAAATAGACATAGTCTAGGCTGGTAGATGTTTAAAATAAAAATAAAAGTGTCTATTTCAAATATGCTGATCACTAAAAATAATGTTTGTAGTAATAAAAATATCACATTATTATTTCTTTAGAAATTGCCTTCTTTACGTTTCAGATATGAAACTGAGTTGATATGGATTTTGAGAAAAGATTTGAAAGAAGAAATGGGCTTTCTTTAAATGGGAAACAAAACTTAGTGGGTTGTTCGCTCTCTGTGGCTGAGCAGTCTAAGGCACACCGGATCAAACGGTGGTTTTTTTTTTTCTATGACGAGGTATACAGGTTCAAACCCTGCCAGAGAGAGCTCATTTTCTTTATTAAGATTTCTCAGATGGCAGGCATACCATTACCCACTGTTTAAAATTAAAATAGGTTGCCTATTTCAAATATGGGTATCCACTAAAAATAACATTTGAAGTAATAAATTTACTATGTTTATATAATAAAATAATACTATGTTTATAAATTAACTAAAGGTTTATTTAATGTATGATATCACAGGTAGGATTTATAAAATATATCACTAAATTTTCGTTTAGTCTAATAATTATAGTAACTCAGCAGATGTCGATAGTACATTTCGTGTGTGAATATATACAGGTGCGATGGATAAATTGTCGTCTAAATTACACAAAAATAACAATTACACTGACATCTCATTTAACAGATATATTTACCAAAATTACACAAAAATATCTTGAAATACTAAAGAGTAAATTGACTTCAACCACAGTCTCCAGACAACTGGAATGCAAACTCTTCTGGATGGTCTCCTTGTTTAAGTTGATGAATGCTGCCATAATCCTTACATTCACTTCATCTTTGGTGTTATTACAAGAAGTTTTGTTGGTCCCTTGCTCAACTGCACACCATACATAATAATCAAGGAGTTAGGTGGCCAGATGTAAGAGGTGATGTAGTTGCAGAAATTGTATGATAGCAATGACTGGGTTGTCCTGCTTGTGTGGCAAGGTGTGGAGTCCTGTTGTCAGACATAGGATCTTCCAGCAGCCACCCTCTTGACTCAGGACAGCACTACCTCCTCAAGTCACTTGATGTATGTCTCAATGTTGAATTTGAGGCCCTCACCAACAAATTCAAAAGTTTTTTTCTTATCAGAATGAGTTCTTATCAGAAGTGAGTTTTCTGAGTTGCTGTACCTTCATAATCACCATCAAACCCATCCAACTCTTTCCGAATCCTCTGCACTATCCTCAGACTGACACCTAAAACAGTCTAAAATGTTTGTATTGGAGTTACTGGTGCAAATGCCAAGCAGTGCAACATGCTGTTTCCAAATTTATGGCATAGTGAATTGTGTCATAATGATTTCTTTCTCACAGACGGTGCCCAACTGACACTACTATACAGTTGACAAAATAAAAAAAAAACAATACACATATGCAAAATTAAAAATATAAAATGGCAAGAATTTACCCATAGTATAGGGAACTTAATATAACTTCACAGGCATATAGAGAGGGTATAAAACTTCTCTGTGCTGTGTCCCTTCAGGATGTAAGTCATCATGGTTCTCAACAATTTCCTGTTCTTTGTAGCTTTTTTGTAAATTTTGTCTTTTTGCTTTCTCTCCTAATCCCTTTTCTGTCAACCATTTACACAAGTTCATTAGATAAGTTATGTGCTGCTTTCCTCTGTCCTTTTTGTCTTCAATATGCCCTGCGAGTGCCAAATTTTTTAAGCTCTTTCCCCCAACTCAAACACAGATTTTGGTGAGTGTTAGATTTGATCCAAGACGGTAAACAGAGGAATGAAAATAACCATAGTAACAGTAGCATTTAAAATGGAATTTGATAATGTAACTGAACTTTGCAATGTTTGATTTAAAATTTATTTAAGTTTCAACAATGAGTTTGACTGTTGTCTGGTAAAAATCAGGAGGGTTGGGATTTTTAATAGTCAGATATTAATGCAAGCGTTATTGACACTCGAGATATTTATATAATTAAAAAAAAAACTGTTGGGATAAAAATAAGGAGTTATTCGTTTTTTTCTTTTTGAGAATTCTATAAAAGTGCTAACCACTCATCATTTTGATATCCAAATCTTAGTGGATAATCTGATCATTTTATTTACCTAATATCTTTCTTTTCTTTTCTGAGGTTGGAATTCCGTATCCATATGTAAATGATGTTCAGGTAAGTTTTTATTAAGTTGTATGGCAGTTGCATTTAAATTCATATTATTCTCTAAATCATGATGTTTATTTTTGCAAGCAACATATAGACATCACAGCTCATCTGACAAAAATGTTGGATATTTTTTAAAGTCATTTCTTTAAAGTGCTACACAAAGGTTCAGGGAATTTGAACAGATTGCTCATGTTGTTCATTTGTTAAGTTAGCCTATATTTCATACGTCTCTGGAAATCACTCTGCCATGAAATAACCTCATTTTGTACTTTTTTTTTTTTTTTTTTTTTTGCTTTATGTTCCCTAAAAAAAAGCTTTCAAGTAGCAGTTCAAGTTTAAGCACAAATATTAGATTTTTTTTAACAAGCCTTTCAAGAATCCATATTGATTACTATTAATTTATTAGTAACTTTTTTGAAATCTATAACCTAGAGCAGTGGTTACCAAATTTTTTCTTCTGGGTCACATTTTGGGAATGAAATTTTGCTTGTGCCTCACCAAATTTTATGTGCTAAAAAGTACATTTAAAAATAAAAAACAGGGAGGGTTAAACGGAGATAGCCACGGATTCAAAGTCAGAACATTATCATTGATAACTCTCTCCTCCAGTTTTTAGACTCTAGTTACTATATTTTTAATACTTGATATAATACAGAAATATCAGAATGTTAAAATCGATCAGTAATTATGTATAACTATTTATACTGGGACTCATGCATACAGTTACAAGTAATCTATAATAATATTTTAAATTCATATTTTGGCATGTGAATTTTTTTTAAACTGTTTCTAAATCTTTGATTGTCTTTCAGTCATTCTCCCCTCACTTGCTATCCTCTTCTGTCCCACCTATGAGGTGTGCCACACCATTTGGGAACCACTAGAGTATAGGTATACACATACAAGTTTAATTAAATAAAAAGATTAACATATACTTTATATATTTTTATCTTGTCTTTTATAATAAAATTCAGTGGAATATAACAAAAAATGTTTCAATCATGTCATGCATTATGATTACAATTGACCTGAAAGTGGATCTTCCATACTTTACTTTACTTGGCCTTATGTAATTGATTATTTTGTTAAAAAAAACAAGAATTTAGGTGAAAAATTGTGCAACTTATACACATGTAAACTTTGACTGCTGCATTATTATAGCATTGTTTCCAGGCTGTGCTGACCCATTTAAAAAAATAGGAAATTGCTATTTACTGGAAACAAATGACTATAAAGATACAGAGATCTCTCATGAGTGCAGCCATTTTCATTATAATCAGATACTCTGCAGTACAAAGCTAAATGACACTCAACACACAATATTATAAAAATACATCACAAACCGGTTTTATTGTATGCTACTAAATGTTTATACTAGTTTGTTAATAGCAGTAAGCACACTAGGGACTGACATTTCACAATATCTTGAAAATATATATGTATCAACAGCAGGCAATGTAAGTTTTATAAATAAGTATAGGTACATCTACAGCAGTAGAAGTGTTAACTGCACTAATTACTTTGGCTATTTACATATAAAGAATATAAGAAAACAAAAAACTGTCAATATTAGAACCACCTCAGTCACAATGGCTCCGATGTTTTAATCCTTAGTATTTATTATTACCATTTATTGTGTTCATAATTTTGGAAAATTTATTTGATGTAATATGCAGATTATGGAATCTATTAACTTTGATTTATATTATTTACAGTTAGATTAATAACCTCATCTTTGTTGTTAATATCACAAGGTTTTGGTCATTTGCATTCATCTTGTCTGGTTTTCGCATGTCCACACATTGAGAGCACCTGTCTCGACTGAGAAAAACACTGGTGTTATATAGCTCTCCCAGTCCCAGACCCATGCTGACTATTGGCTAATACCTACCCAGTATCATTCATATGCAAATAGTCTATGCCACCTACTCAAAGTAGGTCTTTTTTCAACTGCCTATTGTGAAAGGGGATGCAACTCCTGGTGCACACAGGAACACGTACAACTAACTCAGAGTCTTTTATCGGACTGACCCAATTCTCTGTTACATCATTGTACTCTCTGGTCTTCAGGTTTCTGTTAATCCAGTTAACCTTCAGAGAATTTTGAATTGAACCCTTTATTTAATCCCATGGGACAATAGCCTAAAAGATTAAAGTGTTGGTTTGTAAATTTAGTGACATAGTAATTATGAATCCCTGGCCCTAGTTATAAATACTCTGACTCGGTGGAAACAAAGCAAGCAATAACTGAGCAGAGTTGAAAAAGAACAAGACAAGATGTACCTAAACATGAACAGCTGAATGAGAACAATCTACCCATGTTGAATAAATATAGGGTTCAGTTCAAAATTCACTGATTACCCAGTGTTATGTGCCGCTGTGAGTAGATCTCTTACTGATTCACTCCTACATGTTGATAGGATGTGAATGCTAAGAAAGCAAAACACAAAATAAAAAAGTTGTCTTCTACATAGGAGCTCTGAATATCATATCCAATCCATAAAACAAATCCTCACAATAAAATACAATAACTAATCCTGAACATTTCTGAAAAAAAAAAACATGACCCTGGGGACCACAAGATTTGTTTAAAAGGAAAGCCCCTCATAACAACTAACACAGTTGTGGGCTAAAAGACAACCTGCCAACAAGCAGGCGTGCTGTTGCCATCACCACCATGATCTCACCCAAGCTTCCCTAATCTCACCCGACTCTTCACATGCAGAATTCAACAGAGACCTTCCACTCGATCAACGTTCACTATCTACACCTAACCCCTCATCACTGCTGTCATAACCTCAGTAACCAACATGCTCTACCACAAATCAAACCACCACTGTGACCATGATTGACCAATCCATCTTGCCAGACAGTTCAGCTTCAACATCTCAGTATCACACGACTTCCAGCCCATCGAACACCTGACAGGTGTCAATTTCAACCTTAAATGCATGCATCAAACCCCATCAATGGCTAATCCACTCGGGACTTATCCCCTAACCTTAACTGTAACCTCGGCCAACCAACCCAAGAAATCAGTCAACTCCCAGCCCTACTGACAGCACCCTTATACCTAATTGCTTTCCTTACCAACAGCAACTGAAGAATCATACATGAACAATTTTTGCTACCTTTCAAACATTTGTGTATATATTCCAAATTTTGACAAACACACTTGAAACTTGTTTGTTCCTTACCTTTGCAATCAAATGCTCATTATAACAACAAACACCTGAAGGAGGCTGGAGAGCATAATGGTCAAAACAATGTGATAGTAACATTAAAGATGAGGATGTTAGTAAATAATGTAAATAAGGGTAAGTCTTCATCCCAGAAATTGAAACAGAAACTGTTAGGTTTTAGTTTCTTCTTCATTGTACTTTTTTATACATTAACCAAAAAAATTAATAATATTTAACAGATATCTTATTAAATTAATAAATATTTGGTGTTTAATGTGCAAAATATATAAAAACTTAGAATTGATTATTTATTATTTAAAATCCTTTAATGCTCAAAAATAAAATATTGAATCTTTATTTTATTTATTTTACTCTATATTAATTGAAATTCTTGCCTTAAAATATGTTTGCTGAATTTTGTTTACTTAAACATTAAAAAGGCTTTTACTTAAAACTTATTTTCAGATTGGCTTGAAGAAAGAATATAACGAAATGCATAAAACCTCTCGACATTTGCTTTCTGGAAGTGAATGGTTTGAAATTCAAGCCTATCGAGCTTTGAATCAAGCACTTGGCAGATGCATTCGACATAAGTAAGTTAGATTTGATCTACATACCATGTGGAATCTTTTTAAATATGCATGCATACATCTTCAAATGTTCCTTCAGGATCTTGAATCAAAAAAATGTTTTATTTAAAACACATGTACATTACTCTAAAATTATGAAGGATATTAAATTTTTTATTTTTTTAAGTTACTGGATTTTTGTTTAAGATCTTTAACTCTCTCTACTAATACTGAGCATTTCGACTTCACATATCTCTCTCTTCTTTCTCTACTAATCCTGAACCTTTCAACTTCCTGTATATATATATATATATATACACACACACACACACTAATCCTGAGCTTTTCAACTTCCTGTATCTCTCCCTCTCTCTTTTTCTACTAATCATGAGCATTTCGATTTCCTGTATATCACTCTCTTTTTTTCTTAATCCCAAGCCTTTTGACTTCCTATATCTCTCTCGCTTTCTCTACTAATCCTGAGCATTTCAACTTCCTTTATGTCTATCTAATAATCCAGAGCATTTTGACTTCATGTCTCTCTCTCTATCAATCCTGGGTATTTCAATGTCATGTATCTCCTTCTTTCCTGTTCACTTGTTTTCAATAATGTCCAATCCAGACCCAGACACTTGATCCAAATTTAAGCCATTCTTTTATGTTGTTGGATTAATCACTTATAACTGGAATAATATTTTGCAATTCCTTCACCCAGACAGATGTTTGTGTGTGTGTTTTTTTTGTTTGTTTTTTTTTCATGTATGCTGATTAGTATCCCCATCTTCATTTCATACACTATTTACATTCAGACTATTGTTATCATCTTTGTTGTTGTTATCACAAGATTTCTGGTTTTTGTACCCCCTGCTCTTCATCAGGTATTATTTTTCTCCTAGAAATTCCAATATACCCACAATATCTATATGTGATATTAGTGAGATACCTTGCCACCTGGTCCAAATCTCTTACAAGATATCTCTTAAATTACTCTAGGACAAAAAAATTATATATCTCATCAGCCAGTTTGAAACAAAGAATTTTGTCACAAGATATCTTGTCAGCCATTCCAAAGTTGTTAAATTCTATTTTTGCCAATTAATTTCAATATTTTAATTATTTTTCAGTATCTATTTTCTATTTAATGTCCATGATTAATTGATTTATTTTTTACAGTTTATCAACATTTTGCAGGTTATTTTAAAACCAGAAAATATTTTTAGATTCAAAGAAATTTTTGGAGATAATAATGATTTACTGATACAGGTCCTAATATTTAACCCATAACTGGGAGGCAAAGAGGTTGATTCATACCTTTCCCAAGGATATTTGTGCATAAGTGAATATAACAAAACTGACTGGAATTTCAATTTCCAATTCCAAGCAAGTATTGATTACACCACCTACACATCCAAGTTTACAGTACCTGATATCCCCAAGTGGTCAGCCATCTAGGAACTGACCATGTTGATGTTGTTTAACTTTCATGATTGTACAAGAACTGATGTCCATATCATGATAAACATATTTAATCATTAGATAATATTGCTATTATATGTAATAATTAAATTCTGTACACTCTTGAACCAGTATCTTATATCCTGTGAATTAACTGTACAGGAATTTTATCTTGTCTGTTATCTATGAAGTGAATTAGTATATAGAGGATAAAAATAACAGGGTTTAACTTTTGTAACATTGAAACATTATCAGATGTTAGACTTAACACTAACAAAATTAGAATTGCTCTATAGTAACTTGCTAATAGGAAACGAAGATTTATGTTGTTATTTTAAGAGCACAACTGAAATTATTTCCTTTCCTGGAGAATTCTTTCTTTCAAAATATAGTAATATTATATAAATTTATTTTTTGAGGACACGTTTTTTAAATTCCCTCCTTTCAGTTCAATGTGACCCAAGAATTTGGGATATTAATAATTGAATAATTGTGGCAAAAATAGCTTTTTTTTTTCTTAATATGTTCAGATGTAATTTTCTTATGTTAAAATATCCCAATAATTTTAGTGTTACAGTTGCACAAATGTGTATTTTGTAGACCAAATAAGGTTTGCCTATTTTGCTGAGTGTTTTAGTGTGTTAAATGTGTCACTGTACACCTTTACATTTAGACTAGTGTACTCATCTTGTTTGTTATACCCTCTGGTTCTCTTCACATATCTGTTGGACTTGGTAATCTTGGAATTGTGAACTGAACCTTTTATTCAATCCATAGAAGAAGTAGATTGTTCTCCTATGTTTAAAGGATAGTGTGTATCACATGTCCATTTCTTAGGAAATAGAATATGTGACTTTTTTTTTGTGCTACCTGACTGAGGGATTGAACTCACAACTACCAGAAAATCATATATCTCCAAGAGAAAGTGTTGAGTAAAACATGTCTGGTTCCCTGGTAGTTGGGTATTCACTTCCTGAACTCTTAGTAGAAGAAATGGGTAAGTGACACAAAGGTAAATAGATTGGAGAGAATTAATTAATTCGATATCCCCTAAGTATGGGAAATAGAATAAGAACAATCTGTCTCTGCAGATTGCATAAAGGGTTCAGTTCAAAATTCTGAAACGTTTATGGACATGTGATACACACTATCCTTTAAACATAGGAGAACAATCTGTATAACTGACACCTGAGGAAACCTGGAGGGTACGTTGGCTGACACTTTGTGTGTATAAGAACAAGGTAAGTATACTAGTCTAAATGCAAAGGCTTATAATAATGATACTTCCTCATTTCCAACCTTCCTACATAAATTGTTAAATTTGTATTTTAAAAACTTTCATATAAACACACACACACACGGTCCTATATATCTACACATGTGTCTAATGAAACAATATATTTAAAAAAAAATCTTTTGATTTTCTCTGTAACACTAGTCTTAAATGTGCCAAATATATATATACATATTTGATATGTTCAGTGTTTTACAGGCAGGTTGAATCGAAAGTTTACAATATTGTCTGACTTCTGAGTTTATAATGAAGTACAGAATATTAGATCACTGAATATATTACATCTAAAATACCACTTACAATGAATACATTTTTATATCTATTTCATGAAATAATTTATCAATATGTTTATTAATGTTACCTCGTTATTTTTAAAAATTTTATTTTAGGTATTTCATATCCATGAAATACTTTTGCACTTTTATTTTCTATTTTTAATAGAGATGATTGGGGTGCCATAATCTTAGTAGATGATCGATTTTTACATGGAGAAAAATATGTTAAAGGTGAGAAATTGGCAAACACTTTGTTTCAATTTAGTGCTTTTCTTTTTTATTTATAATTAAAAAAAAAATATCTCAAAAGCTATTTGAGTTTTCATCTTTTCAACTAACCACCAAGATAACAGTATTTAATTAACTTATCATTTACAGTGAAAGATGAAATTTACACAACATAAATTTCTATATATCAGAACAATGTTAGGTAATTTGTTTTTGTTTTTTTTTTTTTTTTTTTTTTTCCACTTTGTCATTCAGCACTTAAAACTTATATCAAATTATTAATCTGCAAAGTTCCAATTTTCAGCATTTATAGTTATTAAATTATTAGAAATGTTATATCCTTCAAATAACACATGTTCAAATAGAGCTGAGCATTTTGCTGTTAAATATTTGTTTTCATTTAGTGTATACTATGACATTCACACACCAGGTATAAATAAGGGACAATGTATCAAATAGTCTGTCTGGGTGATAGTCTGATTTACACTATCTGTTTTCATCTTGACTTTTTCTTTGTGGACAAGTTGAACATTTTTATAAGGCCCAATTTCAACCACTCAACCTTCTACAAATTAACTACTGCATATCCATGATGTAAATAGTTTTCATGTTTTTTAGTTTTGTTTGAATTTAATGTATGCAACATATTAAAATATTGAAAGTCAGCCATGTTGTTATATTAGAGCATTTTGTCCAAATAATCCACACACATCATAACATTAATTTTTAATGTTAGAATTTTTTAGAAGAAGAATTATCAGTATTTTATACTCTTATATTCAGATTAGTATCCTCATCTTCATTATTTACATTTGGACTATTGTCCCCATCGTTGTTGTTGTTATCACATTTCAGTCGTTGAGCCCTCTGACCTTGTATTTATCTGAGTAACCTACATAGATAACAGCAACAAAGATGAGGACAATAATCCAAATGTAAATAATGATAACCCCTCATCCCATTAAATTCAGACAGAAATTATCCATATTTTGTTTGTTATATTTACAATGTGTCTGTTGTACTTGAATACTTTTTTTTCTTTTTTTTTTTAAATCAATCATCTGAAACAATGCGATAATGTCACTAAGAGGTAAGGGACTACTGCAAGTGAAAGAGAATGAAAAGATTTTAGAAGAGACCAGAAACTCCTGCCTAACCAGGAAACCAGGGATAAACCTCTATTCCTGTTCAAAAGGGAGGAATGTGAACTAGGCGATACTTTGTCTTACTTTCATCTTTTTCTTTTACAATTGGAGCACTTGTATGAAGTGCATTCAAAAAGTATCCAACTCTACTTTTTCCTGAAAGAAACTAATGCTGCATGGGCAAAATCCTTTTGGGTGGGAGGTGACACCACCCTTCCTACTCATGTGCAAAATTTTTTTCACCAGTAGGCCACAACAGTTCCTGGCTGTTACACTTAGAATACAGATGTTTTGGCGATGCTGCCATAGGTAAATCTTGGATCAGGTAGTGGTAAAACTGCTTCTAACATTGCTGCACATCAGTGGAGAGTGAGTCACACTCAGGCAGGCCATCCACAAACCAAAATGAGGAGCTGATTGCAAAATCTCAGCAAATAGTCATAGAAAACGGTCATGTAACAATCCAGAAAATTGTTCATGAAGTGGGAATAAGCACAGAATCAGTGCATTCTATTCTAATGGAGGATTTTTGCATGCAGAGAGTGTCACATGCTACCAAGTCAAGAGAGTAGGGAACCTGTCAAGTAAATGGTGTGTTGTTCTTGACCAGAAAAGCTTGATGCACTATCCCTGCTCAGTGCATTTGGTCATCTTGCATGAAAAAGAAAATCAGACGAGTGTGAACTATACATCTGTACTCTAGGCATAACACCTGGAAAGTGATGTAACCTACCCACACAAAATTTTTCATATGTGCAGGAAGGGTGGCATCACCTCCACCCAAAGTATTTTACCCATGCAGTTTAGTTTTGGTGTGAAAAAAATAAAGTCAGATACTTTTTGAATGCACCTCATACACTTGAATCTGATACCTCTCTTTCTTTTATAATTAGAACAATTAATCAGTTGGTTTTGTGATTTAGTCCCAATAAATACAGAGAAAATATTTTTAATACATTTTTTTTCTGAGAATATTTCTGAGATTTTTTTTTCTTTCAGGACTGTCAAAGTGGGTCCGGGCTATGTTGAAACCACACTATAATTATTATGCTGCTATGAAAAGTCTTGAACATTTTGCAAGAAAAAAGTCCAATGGGTAAGTTTATTTTAAAAACCTATTTTATTATTAAACTGATGAATATTATAAAATTTTTTATCACTCCTAAATCTAAGTTTTTGTGCCAAACACAAAATCTATTTAGTAGAAATAGAAAGGGAAAAAGAAAACTCGTGCTTCTCTTCTCCTTGAGATGAAAATAGATGCAATTCACAAAATAAGACTCAACCACCGCATAAAATTTTAAAGGAAAAACATTTATTATACAAGTTTGAAAAAAAAGAAAAAAAGGAAAAATACAACATTTGCACAAAATTTTCCTTTTGTGTGCCTATTACAAATTTCTGATAAGAAGGATTGCCATTGAAAAATGGAAAAAAAATTATGATTTTAAGGATTCAATGACCAAAAGAGAAAACAATTCAAGAAAGCAGAAAAACAAAGGTGTAACCACCTTTCAAAAAAAAAAACAAAATCACCTATTTTTACTTTTCCCATGAGTGTCTCTGAGACACAGTAATTTTAGAAGTTCCTTTTAAATTCATACTGTTCATGCTTAGAAAAATTTCCTTGAATTCTTTTCGTTCTTTGTTGTCCAACTGCAGGAGAATTTTCACCTGTGAACTTCTAGGCTCTCTGCAGCAGGCTTATAATTGGTGCTTTCTTGTTGCTCTCTTTTTGATGTGAAATGCCTTCTGCTCCTTGATGTTAATTGCCTTGCCCCCTTGTTGTCAAAAAGTCTTCTCCCCTCTACTGAATTGATTTCTATATATTCGGAAAAATAGGCTCACAAGGCCTATTTCATTCAGGTTTTTACTGGAGCTTGAGACCACATCTCTCATTGGTCAGTATATATGAAAAAACAAGAAATAGATCCTTCGCAATTTTAGTGGTTTTTAACTGCTGAGCTGAAAAAGATATGCACGTGTAACAATTTTTTCCACAAACCACCTGGCCTTCATAAAAATATACTTCTCTCAAAAGAATGTATACAAAGAAACAACCTAGACAATTAAACATTTATTCAACACTTCACTTCATTTTGATATAAATATTACAAAAATAAATGACAAGAAAATTTCTTTTAAAGTTCAAATTGAACTGATATATTAACATTGAAAAATAGAATCACTACTGAGAATTCTATGTGGTTTACTTTTCTTGGATCTTATGGATAAATTCAAAATTACTTGAATTTATTTTTGGTGCAGATCATAACTTCTGGAATATGATGAATAGGTGAAGACATCTGATTATACTGTAAAGAATTATTTATAATTTTTTACATTTAATTTATTTATCTTTATAAGTTATAGAATTGATTTGATTTTTACATTAGCTATTGTTTCAATTATAAATAACTGCATTATTATTTATATAAGGTTATTCTATATCTGTCTATCTTTCTAAGATGAGGTATTGTAACTATTTTCACTATTTACATTGTTTAGACTGTTGTCCTCATATTTATTGTCATATTCACGACATTTCAGCCATTGTAAGCTCTGGCCTTCCTCAAGTAATATATGTTTGAATTTTAAACCAAGCCCTTTATTTAGTCCATGGAGTTGATTGTTCTAGTTCCACGTGCTATGCCATGCCTTTTCTGGATATCTCAGTTTCAGTTATTTCCCTTTAGTAACTCAGCTCTCCAAGTTTTTGTTCATGTCTGCTGTGGCCAGGTATTGAACTCATAACTCTTTGGGTCAAGTCACTGGATTACTTCAACCAGCACTTTTATCCATTGGGCCATGTGTCCTTGGGGACAATATAGATGAGGACAGTTCAAACAATGTAAGTAGTGTAAAAAGGTTATTCTAGTTGAAACAGTGAGCTGAATCCATGCTTGGGTTGCTGCTTTTACTGTTATTTTACTGTCTCTAAAGACATTATTATTATTACTAACTATAAACTGTGTTTCTCTTTAAATAACTAAAAGGACTGTCTTTTGTGTGTATAACCTCAATATTTGTTTGCTTTTTCTTTTTGATCTGTTTTCATTAAGAGGAACATTTTCATTGACTTGATTTTGTTTTGTTTACAGTGATAATGTTAATCATGTTGACTCAGAACAATCGATTTTGGATACAACACTTACAAAGAACACTTCAGAACAATCTTTTAAAAATATGACAGCAATGAATGTGAATACTTTGAAGAATCTTTGTTCTAACACTCCAGGTCCAAGTGGCTTGCATATCCAACCTCTCATCACCAGTACTCCACTTAATAATAAAAATAAATGCTCAAGCATCACAGAAACTTCCGATTTATTACCAGTAACTATAAATAGTATCTCTGTAATTCCTAAAACTCTGGAAAGTTTTATTGACAAAATTGAAATTGATCAAAGTGAGTGTTCGACTGTCTTTCCGATAAATTCAGAATTTAATAGCATTATTACTGACACACCAAGGTCTTTGAAGAAGAGTAACAATGCTCGAGAAAACCTGAAATTTGAAAAAGATCATTTGAATTGCATGGCTCTGGAAAAGACATATTGCAATTTAGAATCCACAGTAAAGCCTGTTGATGAGACTAGTGTAGAGCTTGAACTTACTAACACTCAACTTGTTGATGAGACATTAAAATCAGAGGTTCTTTTAGCAGAAACTGATGTAGTTCCTACATCTGAGTCTGATTGTGAAAAAGTCATTGAAACCGAGTTGAATAATAAACCTGATTCTAATCATTTGCACCAAACTGATAGTCAAAGCAGTCCAGGTTTATTCAGCAACTCAGACAGTGATATCTTGTCAATAGATGAGAGTTATTTAGAAGAGCTCAGTAGGACTGTTGTCGCAAAAGGTTCTCCTTCAAAAAAACATGTCCCAAATTCCTCAGAGTGTGATAATGATCTTTTGTCATGTATTGAAAATGAGGCAGACTGTACATCTTCCAAACCAGAATTTTCTGTTTATACCATTGCAGAAACTTCAGACAATGATACTGAATTGTTGTCATTTGTTGAAAGTGAAGCAGAGAACTTGTCAGCATTTACAACTGATAAATCCAAACCCCTCGCCTCATTGCCCGATGTAGATATGAATGATGAAGACCTTTTATCATTTGTGGAAAGTGAGGAAAGCAGCAATGCACTCCTCAATGTTGCTGCTCCTATGAACAAGAGTAAAGAGGAGTACCAAAAAGGAGCACAAAGTAAAAAGAAGGAAAATGCTTCCAATTCTGATACAAGACAGTTACTCTCAAGACGACCACTTTTTAAAACATCTTGTAAACCAAGTCAGAGTATTAGTAACCAAATGTCAATTTGCAATGTGAGAACAGCTCCAAAAAAATCTGGCTGTGAAGATGTTTATTTTAATGAATTCGAACCCAATTTCAAAGAGAGTGAAGAAGATTCAGATTATCTGAAGACTAAACGGTTTACAAATAGAAAGAAGCGCCATTGTACAGGGGGTATTAATGCACCTCGGAAAAAAGTTAAAAGTATTGTGTTTGAGCCACCAGAAGAAGAGGTAAGTTGATTCTTTTTCTTTTTTTTCAACAACTGCCATTTAAAAGCATTTGTTTTCTGTAATTTTTTTTTATCTGTAACTAAATATATCTTCTTTTTTTTTTTTACTGAAATCAGAACAGTGAAGTTATTTGCCAAACCTGCCAGGAAACATTACTTACAGTTCATCAAAGTAAGCTTCATCTTGATTTATAAATTTAGCAAAATATTGCAAAAGTAAATAATAAAATCTTTATTAAACTCAGAATTGATAAGAGAATATAGTAATGAATTTAAACTAAAGAACTAATGCTACACTACTACCCTGGAAAAAATTATGGAAATGGTACATGTAGATGATGTTCACTTTGGGTTTTTTATTTAGTAGTAAATAAACAAATATAATATTATGGAATAACCCAATCTTGAGGAAAAAATTATGGAATTAATTAACAAAAAATTAGAATTAATGCTTAGTTGCCCCATCTTGAGCTTCTATTATAGCCTTATTTCTTATAAGTGGTCCTAACTTTTTACTTTGTTTTGTTTTTTTTACAATAATTTTCACTCTGTACAAAACCCAAGATCTACTTGAAGAGTAAGAGGTAAGAGGCCCAGTTTATGCGAATATGTGGAGAAGAGAACATTTAATCCTAGATTTGAACAGGTTAAGCTCTTAGTGGTCAGGAAATCATCCTCTTGGAAGTCGGTTCCACAAAGTAATGGTTTGTGGGAAGAAGCTGTTAAGAGTGGAATTTACATCTCACTAATGGAATAGAAAGGGTATGAGGGTGGTTCGCTACAATAAGTATAGCATGAAGGGACTTAGATGTGAAGGTTAGAACTAGTGGAAATAGCGATAGAATAGCAAGAGGATTCAGATATATTTATATTATTAATAGATGTAGTATTTTAAATCTTTCTTGGATTTGGATGAGCCCTATTTAAACATTACAACAGTGACTGACTATATACTTTCTTTCACAGTCAATACTGGTGGTGTCCTGTCTCTTGTTGTGAGCCATCTGTTGGCTCAAACTCTTGCGGTTTCTCTGCCATAATGGTAGAGAGTATCACAAATGTTTCTTTTGTTTTTCAAACAATTCCACTCAAGTTTGTTAGATTCACTTAGATGCAAATACCCTTGGGAAAAAGTTATGAATCCAACTCTTCTCTCCTCCCAGCTATGGGTTGACAGACTGGATTTTATAGCTTTAGTGTGGAAATTGGTCTAGGATAAGGACAACTCTGAATTCAAAATGAGTTAAACTATGAATTAAATGGCCTCACCAACCTGCAGTTGACTACATGTGATGAGTATATGGCTACACCCCAATCAGGAAAGGGTTCTTCTAAGGCAGTCTTTCTTAAACTTTTTAAGCAATGGCACACCTAAGAGCAAATGAAAATATTATGGCACACTTAGCAAATTTTATTAAAGGGTATACATTTAAATGTTATGAAATAAGACCATAGATTTAAAAAAAAAATACACACACAAATATGAACTTACTTTATTTTAATGTTTCTATTCAACTATTTGTGCAGCTTATTTAATGGGAAATCTGTGCCTGGTGTTTGTTTTTTTTTTTTGGCGATTTCTTCAATGTTTGGTCAAATGTGCTTTAAACAGACTCTCATTTCTTCTTCAGTTGAGTGTAGTCATATTTTTGATGTTATTTATGGTTGAGAAGCATACTAGTGTGCCGCAGCAATGCAAGGAAGAATCACTGCTTTGAAAAGGCCATGGATCTGTTCTAATGTGCTTTCAAACAATAACAGGGAATTAATGAGTAGAACAATTATCAACAAAAACAATACTTAACAAGTGATAAAATGTGTAAAAATGCTGGTCAACATAGCAAAAATTTGACATAAAAACGTTTTGCATATTACCTGTTATTAGTTTTTTTTTTTTTTTTTATTTAGCAATAAATAATGTGAACATTCTCTAAATGGATTAATTCCATAATTTTTGTCAGGGTTAGTAGACGAATCAAAGAAGCATTGTAAAATAATATAAATTGAAAATGATTTAATCAAAATTAATTGTTAGCTTTAAATCTCATTCACTTCACTTTTGTCATGTTATTGTGCATCTCTTTCCTAGAACTGGAGGGCCTATATCAAATTTCATTTTTCCACTGGGAGCAAATTATTTCTTTTTTGTTTCAGTTTGGGCTTCCAGTATGTAGTTGAAGAAATTGTTACTTTTTACATTTAAAATATTAGCTTATTTAATCAAAGTATAAGATTTATTTTTTATTTTATTACCTTCATATTTTCTATGTTATTTTATGTTTTTGTTGCAAAAACAAACATTTTTTTGTGCAAAATTAACTAAAAAATGTGATTCAGGAAACCTGGTTTTGTTACTTAGAAGATAATTTAACATTTCTTGCTTTAAGTTAATATTCTTGTCTATGATTATTTTATTCCTAAAAGAATATAAACTAATGAAAATAAACTTTATTCTTGTATAATTTATATTTCTGTTTCTAAGAAATGAAAATATATATTGATTTTTTACTACACATCATAAACTGAAATCTAACATTTTAATTTTGCTTTATAAATTTAGAAATAATTTATTAATCCTTTTTGTTCTAGTCTTTTGTATTATACAAATATTACAAAGTCTCTCCTAAGAAAGTTAATTTTAATAATGTTTTATGTTTAATTTTTAATAGACTTTTCATCTGAAGATATTTTCCTTTGATTCTGTTTTTAAACAGTGAAATTTATTTAAAAATGCTATTATTTGTTACATAAAATTAATTTAATATTTTTCTCTGATATTGTTGTACATAACAACAAATATATTGATGATAAACTTTTTTATGAGTAATTTGTGTTTTTCTTTCTAAAAGATATTTTTTTAAAATGTTGAATTGTAGTCTAGTTTCCATAAAAAAGTTAAATAGAGGCAAATATATTCTATACAACAAAATTAATGAAAATTAATTTATTAAGAATGTTGTGTAAAGTTAATGTCATAATTAAATTCCATAAATTTAATCCAATATTTTTAGATATTGTAAATGAGGTGTACAAAACAATAACCCTGCTGTTAAACTACACAATTTTAACAGTCAATATTTTTCTAATTGTATTTTTCTACTTCTCTAATCATAAAAACATATATTTATGACAAAATAAGTCAGTATAACAATAGTTACTTTAATTCTAAACATTAGAATAATTAAAATTAAAAGTTACTTTCATGTTTATTTTGTTTCACGTCATATTTTTGTTCCAGAATTCTTAGTTTTAATATGATTTTTTTTTCTTCAGTCATAGCAAGGAAACCCAAAGTTCCTCCATTTTTAATGAATATATTTGCCAAGAATCTTCGTTCTACAGAAATATTTTTTCTTGACACCCTCAAGTCTTCTTGTGAAGAACTTGATCATCTTGTGCCTATTACATCATCAGACAATGGTAAAAATTTTAATATCTTTTTTATTGAAACTACTTTTTATAAAAGCTGCATCCCTGATAATTAAGAATTAGTAATAATATCTTGGTTTTTATATTACTTCTTTTTACCAGTTATTCAAAATGTTCAAGTTTAAGTGTTGAATTCTAATTACATTATTAACTGAGATGGTAGCTCAGATATTGTTCTAACATGGCTTTGTTCTCGTATTTAAATTTTTTTTTTTAATAAGCAATTGTAAAGTTGAATGTTGACAGACATTCAGTTAGATCATAAGCATTTAAAAAATGAAAATCTTGTACAAACTTGTACTAAAAAACTGTTTCCTTTATTTTTAAAAAAATATAATATGCCACTTAGGTATTGCATTGAATTCTGCCTGGTTCCCTGATTTGGCCTGCTGTGTCCAGTATTTACAATGTCCAAAATGCCCAGCAATTAAAGCAAGAAATCCTGTGTCACCAATTATTGGTGCCAAAGTAGTGATCGGTACAAATGAATATTCAACAGGACAAGTAAGTGTAAATCTGCAAGGGATGAGGGTGTACAGACATATAAGTTTCTTTTTCTAGTTTATAAAAATTGTCCTTTTATTTATATGAAGTTTTTACTTATTTCTTGAATGAAATTATCCCTTTCTCATCTGATCTGACCTTTTTCTCGAATAAAATTAATTTTTGACTTTACCTACTTTTGAAATAAAATATACAAAGATCAATTATGAATATTTGCAAATGATTTTTTATAGATTTTCCACATCAATCACTTTTTGGAATAAATTTTATTTATCTCATATAGCAAAGTTATATGACAATATTGTCATTTTTGCTTCATTGACATTAGCATCAAGAATATTGTATCTTTATTCAGAAAGATGATATAATTCTTAATTATATTCCTGAAGATACTTTGTCACAATTCTTTCAATTCTGTGAGAAATTCATTGGGATTAAACATTGGCAAGTTAGAAAAAAGATATTTTATTTGGTGGTTTTCATCTTCTTCAATTCTTTTGTAAATAAATCTATTCTGTATTATAAAAAAAGTATTTTTATCTCTAAGTGTTTGAAAGTAAAATGAGAAATATTTTTTAATGAGTTTTGAAAGGAACATCAACAGAAGTATATATAACTTTGACCAGAAATGCTAAATTCACATTTACAAAAAGAAAACAAAATACACGATTTCAAATGCTTATTTTCAAGGTTGGAAAGCAGGCTAACAATCTTGGCTGGTGGCCACATCATGTTGAAACACTGGTTCCCATATTATCACCAAAGTTAAGCAATGTCAAGCCTGATCAGTACCTATATGGGTAACCGTTTGGGAATATCAGGTACTGTAAGCTTGAATGTGCAGGTGGTGTAATGAATAATGACTCAGAATTGTTAATCAGAGTGTTGAGTTCCATTTTCCATTGAACTTGTTATATTCACTTGCACACAAATAGCCTTAGGAAAAGTATGAATCCACCACTTTTCCCTCTAGCTATTGGTTAATTAGTAAGACTTGTATCACTAAAACCCTTACTATTTAAAAAAATAATATAAAATTGCATACAAAATATTTAGATTTCAGCAATAATTAACCCACAGAGATTGATATGCCATTAAACAAAAACAACCCAGCAACAATCTTCTTGTGTATATTTCCTTATCTCCTTGGTTATTTTCCTTGTCTCCTTTGACTTTGTGTTGTTTTGAGCAGAGAAGCTATGATAAAGGTAGTTTGAAAATATTTTGTTTTGAATGTAGTATTTGAAGAAACAAATTATAAATTATTATTTGAGAGCTTTAGACAAATTACCTTTTTGATTTGCCATCACATTAAGCTTAATGCCAAGAAAATACTTTTGCTGAAAGCTTTACTGAAAGCTTTACTTTATTTCATGTAATTCATATCTTTAAATCGGTGGTTCCCAAACAGTGCTGCGCACCTTATAGGTGTAGTGGAAGAGTATAGCAGGTGAGGTGGTATGATTGAAAGATAAAGATTTAGAAACAGTTTCAAAAAATTCATATGCCAAAAATAAACATGATTTCAAAATTTCAAATGTTATTATGGATTACTTGTAATTCTATTCATGAGTCCCAGTATAAATAGTTATAAATAATTATTGGCTGATTTTATCAGTGATATTTTTGCATTATATCAAGTATTAAGAATATAGTAACTAGGATCAGCAAACTGGAGGAGAGAGTTATCAATGATAACGTTCTGACTTTGAATCCGTGGTTATCTCCCTTTACCCCCAAACCATTCTGTTTTTTACTTTTAAATATACTTTTTATCACATAAAATTTGGTGAGGCACAAACAAATTTTCATTCCAAAAATGCGGCCTAAAGAGAAAAAAATTTTGGAATCACGGCTCTAAATAAACAATTATTTTTCACGATAAATTTAAATTTAGTTAAACTTGTCTATAAAGATGTCTCATCCAGTTCTTATATTTAAGTTGAAGTAGCAGCATTCTTTGAAGAAATTGTATAAATTTATTTTCTCTGTTTATCACACCTTATGAAGTGTTACTGATTTGTTTTTATTTAGAATTCATAAACCAGTTTTGATATTTTAAAGTTTTAAATGTGCCAAGGAAAATGGCTTTATATATATATATATATATATATATATATATAAACTTTGTAGATTTGCTGAGTTTTAGCTAGGTGTTTTACTTCTTTCATTGGCTCTTCTATCTTGGAATTTCAATATTTTACTATCACTACACAAAAGGAACCATTTGTATCTACAATAAATTTGACTACTTTGTCTACAAACCTTTGAGTCAGAATCTAGAAAGCTATAATATCAGATTTTATATGCAAGTCAATGATTTCCCAATAAAGTTTCTATAAACCAAATAACCAGTGGTAAAATATTCAGGATATTTATATATAAATATACCAAATGAATTTCAACTTTGTCTATTTTTAGAATTATTTATAATAACTTGTTTGGTGGCCTCAGTTTTTTTATTATGCAACACGAGCTGTTCATCATATGAATAAAGATATAGAACAGTATAATTATCAATATGTATTTTTAAATTTCAGATATATAAAGATTGTCATTAGAAAGGTATGAGCTTAAGATAGAAACAAGATCTTGTAAAGTTAGTGAATGTTGGAAATTGTGGAAAAGTAATTGAAAATATTGAGAAGATAAAACCAAAGACTGTATTTAAGAATGTTTCAAAAAGAGATTTGAGCAAAATTAGTAGGGTAATGAGGATTATCTAGCAAGAAAATATATGAAGAAATTAGTGTTTCAGTTGTAAACAGAAAAAAGCTGCAGAATATTAAGATATATTGGCTCAAGACACAAAAGTAACTACCATCTTAGAATAAAAATCACAATGAGAAATATACTGGATAAAGAAGTACATTAAAACTGGTTACTTAACAGTAATTTTCAGTGATTACATTAGATAGAGCTGATGACTGGTTTGGATCCCACATAGAAATAGACAACCAACACATTAGACAGCAGAGGTGAGCTGTTGTTGGTAGTAAAAAAATATTAGACTAAAGAATATATTCATGCATGGTAATGTTCCTTCATTCTGCAAAACTGACCACCTTGCTAAGAAGGTTTCAGTTACCAAATTCATGTTAGTGTCCAGCCTTTCCAGATATTAATCAAATAGAAAAGTGAGCCATCATTAAAAGAGATTTATATGGGAATGGAAAGTAATATTCTCGGGCTAACATTCTCAGCTGACATGAAGTGGAAAGACTATATTGAATCTATTGCTAGGTCAGCTGCTAAGAAGTTTGGTTCATGCCAGAATATACTGTACATATCTATAAGCCTACCATTGATCTATGCTTAGAATATATGGTCCAGTGCCCCCTGCTCATTGATATAATCCAAAAAAGAATCAGTATTATTATTTATTCCTCATCTGGTGTCTCAGCTTCAGTCAACTTTCCCACTGCCATAAGATTGCCTCTCTATGTCTTTTCTATAAATATTTTCATGTTAATTGTTCAGGTGAGCTCTTTTCTATGGTACCTAGATTTTTTGAATTTTAGTGCAGTACCAGACTGGCATTTAGATCTCATCAATTTACAGTTGAGCTGGCTAGGTGTAACTGAAAATTCTATGCTAATAGTTTCTTTTCTTGCACTTCCCACTTGTGGAACTCCCTTCCAGCTCCATATTTTCCAGCCAACTTTAATCTGCAAAAAATTTAAATGCAATGTCAATTGCTATATACTGTCCTCCTGATTACTCTTTCTTCTTCCCACTCATTATTAATGTTTATGTTCCTAATTATTCCATACCCTGTAACCTCTTGTATCTTAGTGGCTTTACTGTCTTGCATGGAGTGATACTGATTAAAAAATTATATTCAAGTAGACGAGATATCTGCAAGTAATATTAAAGTTGAAACAGTAGAAAAATTAATGAAAGAAAGAAAGATAAATGTCATTGAGCTCATATTAATATGTAAAAGAAGGAAATAATTTATTCAGGTGTATGAGATACTGTGTTAATTAAATACATCTCTATCTCTTTGGGGTTTATTTAAAGATAAAAAATTATATTGAATAATTGCACTGAGACTTTCAAAACAAGCTATCAGTATTCTGATATAAGATAGATACAAGCTGATATTCATGATATATAAATATATCCTGAAAATTTTACCAACATCAGAGTTAATATCTATTTTTTTTTTCTGAAAATAGGTGAAAATCTCAAATGAAAATTAACATCAAACTTGTCATTGTTGTTTTTGCTTTAATGTATACCATTGTCATATATCTATACTGACCTATATTCAATTAGCCCCTGATAAGCTAGAAAATAGGTCATAAGTGTTGCTAATCTGATCTTTTTTTTTTTTTTTGCTCTTTTCTGCAGGTGTGGCTCTTGGGATCAACTGTAAAAATTAATCATTCTCATTAATGAATTCTACACACAAAATTGTATCAAGTTTTTATATGGAATATAAATGTTGAAAATAAATCCTTATTTTTTTATATAAGATTTTTTGAATTTGTTTTTATTTTTTATTACAAGTCATATAAACTGGCTACCAAGTTCCTTATCTGAGTCTCTACAGAAAATTGTCTTTTTCTTTACTTTTTTTTTTTTTATAAACCTCTGGTATACATTTCAATGCAATGTTTCAAATATTTTAATATTATGGGTTGATCATGACAAACTTAGAACTCCAAACAATACTATTCTAGATTTTCTTTTTTAATCATTTCACCCCAAACAAAGCTATGAAGTTACTAAGATTCAAGGGATTAGTAAGAGTGAAAGAATTTGAGTAAAACATCATTGAGAAGAGAATGTGATAATTTCTGATGATAACTAATGAGGTATTCCTGAGAATATCAAACAATAAAATCTTTTGAAAGTATTTTGTTTGAGCTTATTAGTGTAGATAATATCATTTTTAAATATCTTTCAAAGGATAATTATATGAATTTAATTTTACACAGTCCTTAGCTGCCATACTGATTAAAGAATTTAGTTGAATATTGTAATGCATAAGTTATTCTAATACATAAAATTTAACCCATCATTAGTAAGTTTTCTTGATCAGTTTGTCTCATTGTCAACTCATTGGATTTATTTTCAATAAGTTTTATAAAATAAATTAGAACTTAACCACATTTCCAAAATTCTTTACTAATTTTGTTAATACTGAATTCTTTTGACAGCATAAAACCAGCATAAAAATAGAGATGGTGCAGAAAAATACTCTTTTAATGATTTGAGGTTTTGGTGAGGTGTTAAAAGGTTAAGAATATTGGTTATTTAATGATAACATTTCTATCTACACAGATACTAATGTGAAGACAGTCTATACATTTCTGTGTTAACAAGTGTGATAAACCAATGAAGAATAAAACAGAATAAATAATCTTTTTTTTTTCTGTATTTCAGTTAAAGTTTAAGAATATTTACAAGTTTGTCTGGCTTTCTGCAGATATTTTTTTTTTTTTTTTTGCTGTATTCTAAATTTCTTAGCGCAGACTCCCCAGCTGTGTCTACATTTTCAGTCGATTGTGAATGGACAGACATCACTTCTGCTTTCTGGATCAAACCAAACACAATGTAGGCAGGAAGGAGGATTAAACCAGCAGACCAGTCGATTAATCTATTGATGCTCAGGGGACCTATGGCCACTCCCTTAAGTTCGGTTAAGATCGAGTAGACACCTCCACCCAGAAAGTTGATGCCAATGACAATAAAACTTACCACTTGTTCAATCAGACCATCACTGATTACCATTAACCAAAGTGATCAAATTCTGTCTTATATACAAACATACATAGTAATTTCTTTCCTTCAGTCACAAGCCATCCCTATCATTCATGCAAATGAACACTCATAACACCAATTCTAAATTACAGCAAGATTTTTTTTAATAAAATCCAGTGTATATTTTTGGGGACAGTTTGTATAAAGGAATTAATAACCCAACAAAAATACAAGTTGAAAGAAATATTATTTGCAATATTTACCTGGACCTTTTGAAATATGGGTGCTGGTGATATGTACACATTTGGGCTGTAGATATAGGATAATTTCAGCCACATTGCATCAGGTTCAATTGCAATATAAACTGTCAAATGTTTTCAAAGCAGCCTGAAAGATAGAAGGAATAAAGAAATAAAATTAACATATATATATATATATATATATTTAAAAATAAAATTCCATCACTACATAAGAGTTGTCATGTTTCAAAACAAGAGCCGAATACTTCAATATAATTATTTGAATTAAAGTACCAAGCTCTGTTCCATCTTCAAGTGAAATTTTTTTTTTTTTTTTTTTTTGGAATAACTAATTCCTGAAATTTACGCATTTTATAAGCATATTCATTATTAAAATTAAAATTACTATGGTAACAGCTAGAGCAATTATTTAAAGAAAAGGGGCATAAGGGTTAATAATTTGTATCAATATCTCAGTTACATTCAAAGACGTCAAGTCAGGGTAAGGTTGGGGTGTCTAAATTCAAAGCAGAAGATGACATTGTCTAATCTGGTTAAGTGTCTATGGAGATTTATTTATTTTTTAATTTTATTTTTTATTTTTTTCCTGAAAGGTTTTTGTGTATATAAAAAAAACTGTCATAATTCACTAACATTTGTTTTTTTGATAACTTCATAAAGGATTTTTTTTTTTTAATTTTTTTTTATTGGGTAGGACATTTAAACTTTGTATTTAGACTATGGAGTTTAAAATTTGTATTTATTTTATTGTTTGTTTGTTTTTTATGCTAATTATTCAATGCGAAAATTTGATGATGTCGGCAAAAAGCCATTAACTCATGTCTATTGTTTAATAAATTTTTATTATTTAGAAACTTGATAATGTGTAATTTTTCATGTAGGCATAAAGGGCATGGGTCATACCAAGTTTTACAAGTTCTTGTTTTGTTTATAATTTTCCATTTTACTTTTGGTGTTTTATTCATTTCCTTCAAATGCCAAAAATATTTAGATAGAAATGTCTGATTTCTTTTATTAATATTGTTGAAGTAGCACTTATGCTGCCTCCATCTGGTTTTAAATTCATTCTTCGTAGACCCAATGTATATCATATTAGTATTAGAACTCTCAATGGATGAGAGTATAGATTGGTATACCACAGATTTTACACAGCATATATTTTCCAATGGGCAGTCTTCTGGTTACAGTCACATAATTTTTCACTATTTTTGTCTAATTTAAGTGTAGGGTTTTTATTAATACTATTCTGGCATGGGGGTTTATTCAGGATTTTATTGTGTTTTTTTATTATACTTTCTAGATTTTCAGTGCAACTGTAACTTAATTTTAGTGTGTTTTTATTAAATATTTTACTAAGTCTACTATTAGTAGGAAAGTGCTTTTTAGTTAAAGCTAGGAATTTATGTCCTAGCTTAATACTAACCATTTGGTTGAATGGAGGGGTATACCAAATGATTTTTCTTTTCCTGTTTTTCTTCTGGTTAGTACAATTGTTTCTATAATTGATGCTAGCATTTTTGTATCCACTATTTTTTAGGGCTGCGTTATAAAAATTACTGTGTTGTTGGAATATTTCTTCATTAGCGGAGTTAATGCTGATTCTATTCTCTATTGATGAGGGTATATGCTTATATATATAGTTAAACCTAGAGAGCCAGACAAACCTACCAAGGTTTCACCTAAGTGGATCGTCAGGGAAGACTGGCTTATGATCCGCTTAGGTGAAAACCTTGGTAGGTTTGTCTGGCTCTCTAGGTTTAACTAGGTCAGCTCTACTTACTGTATTGAGCACTTTATTCCGTTATATTGCTTGCTCCTATCGGGGTTTTTTCTTTGAGCCTTGGACTTGCATGCTAGATGATAATTTTCCGCTAACGTACACGTTCTTGGTTCTTTCTATTTTTATACCTTTTTTTTTCCCCCTTGGTATTGGTTTGATTATTTGCAAATCAAGATATCGAAGGTTTTCCGGACGAGTATAATTTCTTATACTTATAAGATTATTACTAAAGAGGTTATAGTAGTTCCAATGAGAGAAAAGTGTGTATATTAAAAAGAAGAGAGATACCGCAAACGTTTTTGGTTGTAATGTGTATTTTTTTTAAAAAATATTATGCTTTATTTTCCATAATTTTACTACACGAGTTTCTGGTCCCGCGACCGTCATCAGGAAAAGGGTGGAGATTTCTACATATTAAAAATAATGGATTTTTTTTCTCTATGTTTTTCGATGTTAAATATTCTCGATATGAGACATTCTCTTTTTTTTGTGTTAGTAATCCAAATTTCTTTCTTGAGAGTAAAGAGTTCTGCTTGAAGGGTCATAAAACAATTAAGATTGGTCCGAGAGTGGTTGAATTAGTTATCGGGTATCATAACTTTTAATGTTTTAATGACCTCTGTGTGTTCTTAGATCTATTTCCATTTACGTGTGTTTCTCTCAGCATGCGTTAATGTATGTGTATATTCCCTCTCCATACATACACACTGTCTCACTATGAGGAATTAGTAAACACATTTGTACACACACACACTGTCCCATTACAAGGAATCAGTACATACACACACACATACTTCCCAAGTTATATATATATATATATATATATATATATATATATATATATACATACATACATATAGATGTTTTCCTGAAAAAAAAAAGAAATAAGACATTACAAGAGAATATAAGGAGGAAAGCTGTACTGGACGTGGGTGTCAAGAGGTGAAACAGAAAAACATGAGCTCAAGTGGAGTGACATATTTGATACTCACAAGACATACTAAAGGCAAGAGGGATAAAGGAAAGCAACATAATCTTCCTAATGAGATTGTGTAAATGGTTGGCAGAATAAAGAATTGGAGGGATAGCAAAAAAGACAAACTTTATTAAAAGCTACAAAGGACAGGAAACTGTGGAGAGCCATGATTGCCCACTTCCTGAAGGGACATGGTACATAGAAGAAAGTGTGACAAAATCAACAGTGGTTTAGAAATAGTAAAAACTAACAGGGATATCTGGCATTGCTCAGATCTCTGAATAATAGTGTATTATTAAAAATGCATTGATATTTTTCAGCCATCTTATGGAAAATAATTTTTTATTCAATCTTTAAAAAATAAACTTCATTGTTTTTTGGTTTCTTACAAAATAACTAACTTTAGGAAAATACCACGCTCGGGGAGGAGAGCTCATGGGGCTGATCATCCCCATATTTTTATTCAAAAAGACACTTTATTTTTCAAATTAAATACTAACATAAATACTCTGTTAATAATGTTTTCAAACAAATCAAATCGATTTATAAGTTCATTAACCTTTTCTCAAATTATTATTTATAAAAAAGTAAATAAACTTAAATTAAGATATATTTAAACATATTTATTTTAATTCATTAATTTTTTTTCAGGGAAAAAGTATAGGAGGTCTTA